TTTTGCTTCATTCAAATGTTGTGAAGGTCGATTATAATTATTTAAATATTTTATCATCTGTTTTTTGCTTTCTAGCAATGTACAGTTGAATGAAAAGTCAACATAGAAATAGTAACCAATGCTGATAAGCGTTGGATTTGCGAGTAATGCAAAAATAATGAGGTTTTATTGTATAATAGCAATGTGTCATAATGGTTTGTTGGTTTATATTTACAAAGAAAATGTATAGTTTATATATTTATTATGGCGACTATCAAGAAAAAAGAAGAATAAAATTAGCAGACCTGATATTTCAAGACGATTAGGCCTTTTTTTTACCTCACAATATTCTGCATATTGCTCATAAATATCCACTCCCAAGAATCTGCTTAGAGAAGTTCTCGGCGTCAAGTTTGGATCTACTATTGGCTGTCTTTCTCTGGGCATGGTTGTGGGCCTCCTTGGACTGAGTGCGCTCACTAAGAAGCCTCCGGCGCGTTTGATTGTAGGCTTTCCATTGACCATGGATCTATTCACTCTTTCAATTGCCATCCTCGTCGATTCACCTATACGATCTCTTGTATTTTCTGCAGAGTATTCAATGGATTTCTTTAGCATGTCTTCAAAGGTGTTTGGTTTTTTCCTCTTTGCTTCTTTCTCTTCTTTTTCTTTTTGCAGCATTTCTGCAAGAGATCTCTTCTTTGGTTCCTTCTTTGGTTTCTTTTCTGCCTCATCTAAGAATATAATGCTTAGTATAGTATATACCTTTCTTTCTGGTTTTATTACTTTTTGTCTCTACTCCAAGGTTAACAAATTTTGCAACACTATCCACATACATTTCCATCCATTCATCATGATATTCTTCACGCAGATGCTTCATGAGATCAGTTAGGTCGTCCTTAAACCTATAAATATGTATATCAATAATTGTTTATGGATGTTAATTAAGGATAATACCATCTCTCTAGCATAAAAAAAAAGTTGAGCTCATACTGATCCACTTCATCAATAACATCATCAACTTTTGATACTACATCAAGAAGAGACGTTTCACTAAAAGTAATGGCGAAATGAGAGCGAGCGTGCTCTGTTAATTCTCTCTGCAGGCGTTTGTTCTTTTCACTATCTGATAATGGACTTGTCATCGCCAACTTTGCCATAAAGCAGTAAATAATTGTTTGAAGTCGAAAACTGAAAAAGAATAAGTTAGGCTTGAATTCCCATTTTGTTGGTCTATGACACATACTCTGTAAGACGTAATAATCGCAGCATCTTTTCATCAAATCTTGGTTCTTCACTTATTTCTCTGACCCGTTCCCACCATTCGTAAAGATATCTTTGTTCTTTTGATAATGAAGAGGAGTATTCTAGCTGTTTACCGTTCATGATGTCAACAGCATGCCTTGTTTCGATATGGTCTGAATCTCTTGCCACAGTTTTCATTGCTTCAATTATTTCTTCATGAGTAAATCCTCTTACTTTTATGATGTTCTCAATAAGTTCATGAATTATGCGAATAAAGAGCTCAAACACTTTCTAAAAATACAGATCAAATCAATACTTTGGTTCACATTTTGTCTATCTGACTTACCGTCCTCTCAAATAATGTTTCCAAGTATAGGTCATAGAGCATTCTTTTAAATTCTGGTATCGTCTTTGGCAGGCTGATAGTTAGTTCTTCTTCTCCTTTTTGGTCATCAGGTTTTTGTTTCATATGACCGGGATCAGCACTGCATTTAGTTTCTTCTTCTTTTTGGGTATGTATCATCATCAAGTGTTTTAGTCTTTCACTGGGCTCAAGCTTGAGCGGCAACTTCTTCTTGATTGATGACTTGCTAATGTTTGGTATTTGCTCGCCTGAAACAGAGGATATAGACGGCATGAAACAGGTTATAGGTTCAGAGGGTACAGCGAGGATTGGCTTTGGAGCAGGAACGGTTGAGATATTTAGAAAGCGCATGACAGCAGTGTTCCTAGTATATGGTATAATCGCTGCAATGACTGAACTGGTATACGCATTGTCGACTGGGACCAGTTCAGCTATTCCGATTTTGCCAGTTGAGTGAATGATTTGGAGTATCTCTGTAAAGCAATCAAGATGGCCATTGTCTGTATCGGGTACCAATAAGAGGTCACTGTTCAATTCGTCATCTTTTGAATGTGTTAACCAAGACACCTTGAACTGGGATCGCGAGATAGCTGGATGCATTCGTACATGTGAATATGGTGTTAGGTCGCGAAGGCTTTGGATATCATGTGTCGCGTTGAATAGGTAAAGAAAAAAATGCCCAATATATCGATTCTTCACAGTTCGTACTGGTCCTCTCCACAGATTAAAACAATGGTCATGGAAGACAGAGCTCATCTCCAGAAGAAACGGTATATCTGGCTCATCATCTTGCTTATCTTCTGGTGATTGTTCTTGTTGTTGTTCTGTTGTCAATAACTGAAAATTCATTGGACTTAATAGTGCCTCAAGTTCTTGATGATAATGAGAGCTGAATTTATCGTAATCTTGAATCAGTGAATTGAATAGAACATATCTTCCACCAAACTTTTGCAAACAAAGTTGAAAACCACGACCAAGTAGATTATCAAACATTTTTTGCTTCAGCTTGTGTCTGTCAAACTTTACATCTGCGTCAATTATGCTAAATGATATTCTATTCGCTTCGAAATTTGCAGAAAATTCATCAATGAAATCTTTCTTTATAGACAGAAATATATCTGCTGCACCATGTAGTGAACCCATCAGGCTAGGTTGCTCAGGCTGCTGGAATAAAGAGAAAGAGTTCAGACTAGACAGGGTATTAGGTAGTGACATGATGGCGAATATGTAGTTTTTTGATTGTCTGTTTTGGGAGCTTGCTGTATTATCCCATGCTAGGCTTTGAAGCACTGACCTGATGGCTTCTTTCATGCGCTCATATGGTGTGAGTGATTCACTAGCTCCACCGGTATAGCCAGGGTATCGTTTGTATTCTTCAGCTAGATAATTTTTTAACTCAGGGAGCTTATTAAAGCTATGAAGTTGGATATTCATACAGTCAGTTAACGTGGTCAATGAGCTAAAAAAGGCAAAGCTCCAAAACAGTGACGAAGATATCAGTTGAATGTTGTAGTAGAAGATTATTCTTTCCATAGCCATCTTGAGTTGATCCATGGTGAAATTGTCTTTTATAAAGCTTTGAATGTCAATTAGAAAGATGACATTTGAGGATTCAGTCATTGGATTCGTTTTTAGATAAAAGAATAAAGAAACAAAAAACGCCAAAAAAAAAGGAACATTAAAATAATGCGTGATCGCACAGTCACATAGTCTCTCTTTCTCTCTTTGATATCTATGGATAGTGGCTATACAGTCTTTCCGGAAAGTAAATTTTTTTTTTTGTAAAATGGTATATTTTATTCAAGTACTGCCAGTTAGCTTATACTTATTAAAGAAAATAATAAAGAGCATAGAAGCACGGAACAAAATAAAGGTTGCGTTAACCTGAGCGAAATGTTTTTAGACGCTCTCTATAGATATTCTCATCATGTATTCGCTTGACTGCTTGCGTTGCTCGTGCAGCAGCTTCATCGGGCCAGAAGGTACGACCATCAAATACAAAACGCCAATGACACCGCCAGATAGCCCAGACCGTACAAGCAATGATTGTTTGACCATCAACACGTAGTCCTGAAAGCACTTGTATATGCAGAGCACGGTGTGTGCCTGGTGTGGGAAGGAAGATGACCAGAAGGCGCGCCATACCGTAGCCGGGCCACGCGGATAGTGGGCTGGTAAGGCATCAATGGGGAGTAACTGTGAGATCCGGAATAACTTGAGTGATATATGATGGAAGTCCACCGGAAAGTAAATTCGCCTGTGATCGAAAATAAATGCACCCAATGGTGAGAACAAAATTCATGTTGTATGAAATGTAAATTCGTCGTTACCAAGAATATTTTCGTAGTATCAGCCTTGACATCCATGGATATACTGTATTTCCAAATTGAGATGTCGTATTGAAACCATTGTAATGTTATCAGAGTAATAACAAATACAAAAAGAATATGGCTCACTATCTCATTTAACAGTAATATTAATAGGTGGGCTGTCTTGGAGCAGAAACTAACCTAATATTAGAAATCGCCCTCTTTAGTCTCCTTGTAAAAAATTAAATTCTTTATTCGGTTTTTCCATGAAACCAGAAGAACATGTAGTCATATTTGGCAATGCATATTCTTGAATGGTTACGAAGCAGATTGCTCCTATTTCCTTTTTTTTTTTGTTAAAACAATCCTGGGTAGTTATCGCTACCCTCCCCAGAATACACCTTGGTGGTAAGTAAAACTAATATTAGGATATGTGCTCTAATACTAACATACTCTTTCTCTCTTTTTCTACATATACTCATTATCTCTCTCTTTTGACATGATGTCGTTTTATTCAAACGTATTTTTCTTTGTCGTCTTTTTACGTATATAATTTTTTTTATTTTACGACAATGTTTTATAAAATTAACGTCAATAACTAATAAAAATACAGTATCAGCATATTTTCTCATAATACATGCTTATTTTTATATAGAATGTAAATAAAATACACTTGTAATTGCATAAGGAGTGCTTCAGCATTAAAAATATATTGCCTGTCTTTTTTAAATGCGCGTTTTTATTTTACTTCTTTTTTTTTTCTTTTTAATTCAACAATGAACTTTGAAGAAGAGCATAATTTAAAGCGTCCTCGACTGGACAATATCATTTCACAACCCCCATTCAGCAACATCTTGACAACATCTACTGGACACATGAAGAACCATTCAACATTATCTGATCGAACAATAACAGTACATAACCTGAGGCGTAAGTAATTGAAATATATGAAAAATTAGTACACTGACATCAGAGCATAGTTCATAAGCCTCAATTGTCTACTGAATACGAGCATAATGCATGGAGCACTTTAAAACAAGCGATCAAGGCGATCAAATGTCAAGAGTGTCCACAGGAAAGCCTTGAGATCTTGTATCAAGTAAGAGTAATCATATACTTGCAACACACACACAGCTTATTCTTTAGTCCTGTGAGTGTCTATGTCAATATGATAAAGCTCAGGAATTATATGATTTACTTCATATGGAATGTCTTGAGCTTGTACAGAACCAATGTCACGAATTAAGTCGGTATGTGGGACTTTATATAAAACAAACGAGAGAAAAGGGTTATTGAACTAGTTGAAAAAGAAATCTTGATAGTAATGAGCATGATTATCTAAACAAGGTCAATGCAATATGGAGAAGTTACTGTGATCAAGTGGTAATGAGGACATATTATTTCATTATAACCATCTTACATATCCTACGTTAGTCTCAAATCAAAAGCCTCTTTCTCTATCTCGATCGCACTTTCTCATTAAATGCAAAGGGAGGCTCTATTTGGGCCATGTCTATGGATCTGCTTCGATCTAGTTTTTTAGAGCATGAACAGATACGACAAAAAATGCTTTCAAGCATATTGGAATTGATTCGAATGGAAAGAATGTCTGAGGAAATTGATGTGCCTCTGTTGCAGTCTATCATTCGCATGCTGCTTGATCTAAACCTGTATCATACTGAGTTCGAACCGGGACTACTTGTGACAACTAGAGAGTTTTACAAGGCTGAAGGTGATAGTCTGATTAGCTCAAGTCCAATGGGTGACTATCTCGATCATGTATCTACCCGGGTTCATCAAGAGTCAATTTTAAGAGTGAAGCGATACTTTGATAAATCGACCAAGGCACCCTTACAAGCAATCGTAGAAGAAGAATTGCTGACGAAACGAGTGACAGATATTTTGGATAGATGTAAGCTCCCTTTTAGAGTTGGTATAAAAAGCTATATAAATATGCTGAGATTATATATAGGCTTCAGCTACTTTCATGAAAACTATCTGGTCGACGAATTATCCTTGCTATACAGACTTTTAAAAAAAGTGGGACAGTTGGATATATGTGCCAAATATTTTATAAATTATGTCAAGGTAACTCACAGAGCTCATTCACTGCTGGCAGGTGGCTAAATGCAGTATTTTATATAAAGACAAAGGGTTCTTCAATACTCTGTGATCGATTACCGGTACAAGAAAAGATGAACATTTTATCTACGTTCAAGAAAAAGAATGAATACATAGTTGATCACAGTTTTGAAGGCGATAAGCGATTTGTAGATGGATTAAAGGATGGTACTGGATACTTTATTAATCTCAAGGAAAACAATGTTGTTCGTCTATTAGCCAAACACGTCGATAACGTGCTAAAAAGCGAGAAATTTGATGAAAAGCAGTTGGATCAATGCATTTTTGCCTTTCATCATCTCCAAAGTAAGGATGTATTCGAAGCTTTATACAAGAAAGATCTTGCAAAACGACTGTTACTGGATACAACCAATAAGAGTGGGGAAAAGGTGATGCTTGCCAAGATGAAAAAGGAGTGTGGAGCTGCATACACAAGTAAGTTGGAAGGAATGATTCGGGATATAAAACAGTCAAACGAGATGATGCAAGAATTCAACGTAAGTTTTATTTATAAAGTACTCTTATAAAAAAGCAGTGTAATGAATGGCCCTTTAGGAAACGGTTCAACTGCATACACCCTTGCAGTTAAATGTCAACGTGTTAACGCATGGGTTCTGGCCATCGTATACGTCTGTTAAGGTGGACCTGCCGCACCATTTACAACAGATAGAAGATATTTATACAGAGTTTTATATGCAAAAGTATCCAAGAAGAAGACTGACGTGGCAAAACCCACTGGGTGTATGTGAGGTATATGCAAATTATCCAAAGGTATGGTGTATATATATACATTTATATATATAAAAGAAAGACACATTAACCATATCTATCAGGGGTCCAAACGTATCACCTTGACATTATTACAGACAGTCGTTTTGCTCTTATTTAATGATAAAACGCGTCATTATTTATCATTCGCTGATATTATGTCATTTACATCGCTAGGTAATCTATATATACACACAGAGATCATAATTTTTATATAAACATGAATGAATCTTAGATGAACTTGAGCTTAGACGCGTACTGACATCACTCTTATGGAATGAATACCCTCTACTTCGAAAAGAACCTATAGATCAAGAAATCAATCCAACTGATTTGTTCTATTTTAATGATAATTTCACTTGCTCTAGCGATAACCTTAAAATGACCACAGCAACCTTGAACGAGGTCATTGAAAAAGACGCAGAATTAGACAAGACAGTCTTGTTGAGTAGAGAACAACAGATAGATGCAGTAATTGTAAGGATCATGAAATCAAAGAAACAACTTGGCCATGGCTTATTATTAAGCGAAGTAACATGTCAAGTTAGATTTCCGGTTACTGTAAGTTTGAACATAATAATTATTATTGTTATTGATTTGTGTTGCAGGCACAGGATATCAAGAAGCGTATAGAAGTGCTCATAGACAAGTAAGTCATGATTTATTAAGATGATATCTAATACTCTATTCTTTAGGGAGTACTTGGAACGTAATACAGCTGATGATAGCTATACTTACTTAACATAGCCTCTTTTTTCTTTTTTTCTTCTATAATCAAAGATTAAATCATTACAATGTATGAATCTCGAAATAAATGGTTTTAATTGGGCGTTCGAACGTTAATTTTGGGCGAATGAATATCAATATTCGAATTGGTTACCATTTTTAGGCAAACAACCATTTGGGTTCAGATGATTCGCTTACCTTTTTTGGACGACTACTGAAAGACACCAAAGAGATTGCTAAAATATGAATATAGTGTAATGCTTTGGAAATGTACAAGAAAAGAGCTCTTTATGAAAACTCAAATACATACTTTTTATGCTTAATATATTGGTGAGTACAGTGTTTCTTTACGCCAGCATTAGTTTTGTAGCCTATTAATTGCCGATAAAACGACAGCAGGTTGGCGTCACTGGTGCTTTGTTCGATAAGTTGAAACAAAGAGAAAAGAAGCAGGATTGCTGGTGGCTCATGTTGGTGTGTTTAAGACTTTTAACGTGAAATTTGCATAAAAAACATTAGACATTAAGGGTTTTGGGAAAGGCGTGCCACGAGTGCCAAAAACGAAAAATGATGCTTACTTATATCGTTTTAACAAGCTCAGAGCTGTGGGATGCTTCGGAAAACATTCATGGTAATGCCACTGTATTTATTTCCAAAAGTATCTTAATACAACCTGTTCGCCACCCTCGCCGCTTTTAATACCGCTGTCTCATACACGGTTTTTCTTCTTACAAATATAAGTTAGCATGTATTTTTTTTAATTCACATCAAAAAGCTCTGCTTGTCTGAAAACTAATTTTAATTCGCTCAAAAATCATTTCCGACCGTCTTAACTTGGGTTAAAAAACTGTAAATGCTCTTTGGTCCCTTTTTTTTTTTTCTTTAATACCAATAAAAATCAAAAAAATGTCAAATGAACTATCAAGTTCCCATTCTTCACCGGAACAAAAAGCCTTGATCAAGCCAGAACAAGTAATCTAGATTGTGTTCATCAGTCAGTTATTAACTTTGTTTAAAATAGTACACTGATTTAAAAGCAGACATTAATATAGGCAATTATGACAGAGCACTACAAACCTTTGTATCGCTGTAAATATAGCATGTAATAAATCATCATGTATTCACTTTAAATGTATATAGGCAGTCAAATGACTATAGAAATCCAGCATTTCAAGCATTTGCAGCTGAAGTCGCAGAAAACTTGGACCCTCAAAAGGAAACAGACTTGAGCAGTAGGTTCTTTGTTCTAGAGAAAAAGAAAAAGAAAGCCTCCTTACAATGTATATATAGAATTCTTTGCATCTTTACCATTTGTATTACAATCAAATATAATTGATTTCGCCAAAGGTGAAAAAGTTTAAAGAAACGAAAAACACGCAACTTACTTTTGTTTCTCACTGTAGAACATTTCCAAGGTAATGGTGACTACATCAAGATATTCAATATTCTATTTCAATATATCAAAAGTTATCCACTTCATGCGTACAAATACTTGGTAAAGAAAAGTATGTATGCAATATACGAGCTAACGCTTGATAGATCGAGGCTATCAATACTCTGATACTAAGCGCACAAAAGATGGAAGGAGAAGAGAAGCAGCGGTTGATAAAGACATTGGTGACAGAACTATTCCCTCGCTTATGCGATTATAAACTGCTACTGGTCAGAAGAGACATTGTACCCTCTGTGAGAAATACAAATGAACCTTTGATCTGTTTACCATATAACCTATTTGAACAATTCTTATTACTCGGTCAACGATTCTATATCAAGCAGCACAAGTGGAAAGAGGCAACACAGTTCACCTGCAGCATGCTCGCAGCTTGTGGGTATAAAGGACTAGATGATGAAAACTATACATCACATCATGATTTGCGTCTTCAGTATCTTAAAGAGCACCGAAACACGGTCAGGGTGGACAGAGAAGAGTTTGGAGTAGATGCGCTGAGTGTGGAGGATTTTGTTGTCTTAGTAACTGTGATGTGTGAATATATGGCAGCCAGTTGCCAGTTTGTCCAGTTTGGCTATGATTATTACAGAGCAGTGTGTGGCATGAATGGTGAGAACACAGACGACGAAAAATCCTGTTTGATTCCTATCTGTATCTTTCAGCCCAACAATAACAATAAGCCAGGAACTGGTAATGACAAGACTACTATTGATTTCTCAGAAGATACCCAGATGACAGCGAGAAGAAAACGACCTAGACTGGACTATGCTGAAGATAATGAAGAAGAAAAGATAGAACAAGAACGGAATCAGGGCTTAGATTCATATTGTGTCAAGGGTGTCGATGACACTCTACATATTTTGAGTCAAGCAGGTGATTGTTTACGACACATTGTTGAATTGTGGCAATGGGCATCAGATCGGATATCAGAAAATGAACTCGTAGATCATTTTGGAAATTGGGAACAAGGTAAATAAACCATGTGCATAAAATAGAAACACTTACCATTTTTAATAGAGTTATGTAGAGTCATTGAATCATATAAACTACCATTTGATATGCATAATGCTGTCTTACTTGTCAGAAGTGATTTAGCTCTTTCATCGGTAATTTTCATTCTAAAAAACCGTCATCTTGACTCATCTATCAATAGCCATCTGTTCCTGGTAATTTGGCAAAAGCACTTGAATTATCACAAAGTATATGTGATCGTATTGATGCCCAAAGAAGAGAAGAAAAGACGCATGGAGAAAGCGTTGATGCCGATATTCCTTTAATGTTTACCTTTCGAGTACTTTACAATATTGGTATTATCTATTTACTCGTGGGTAGTTTACAGGTAAGATGACAAAGTATGCAAAGATAAGAGCTGAACATGAAAGGGTACTATAGCAATCGACCCTCGAAATTGCCATCATTCTTTCTGTGTTCCCTATTCCTGATGAGTTAGAAGAAAAAGACTTCTTGATGGACGAAATTGACTGTTGTACAGTAGCAAATATATTTCATGGAAGAGAGTTTGGCCTTATGAGAGTCACGCAGGAAGGATTGGTAGTTCGATGTATAAAACACTTGGTGGTGGGTCTTGACAACGAATCTGAACAAAAGGGTGGCATGGCGTCAATTGACTCTGCCTTACGCTGGGACGAAAAAGCAGGCAATATGATTGTGATGATGCAGTATGGATGGCCATATTGGTATAAGAGAACGAACCTTTGGCAAAAGATTATCAGCAAGATTAGTGAAAAACGAATTTTTAAGAATAGAGAATTTTTAGAATATTTGTATGGTAAGCACGCGTGTTGGATGGTTATTTTTAAATTGTTGCCTTACTAAATAACAACTATAGTATCTGATGTCCTGAACGCTATTCTCCAGTTACATTTGACAGCTAAGGTGACTATGGATATCATACCACCTGAATTTGCTTTGCGTGGAAGTTATAAACATTTGGTAACATCAGAAAACAGTAGCAGAAACACGGCAAACGCAAATGATACACCAAGCGATCAGAGCAACGAAGCTCAAAATGAAGAGGATCATGAAATTGCTACAAGACGGCATCTGCCCTTATACCAACCGACATTTGCGAATACAATATTACCTAGCACGTCCATGTCGCCCTCATGGTACTCTGCTTCGACACAAAAGAACTCTTTTGCGCAATGGATGTCACCCTCTTTTTATTATAGTCGTCCTGCTACCTCCGTCATTCTACCAGACGCTGAAGAGCGTAGTCCGAATGATGATGGTCAGACCGCCGAGACGAAGGGTACCTATGTGCCTCGGGAGATGGTCACTCGATGCTTGGAATATAGAATCAAAAAGTATCCACCCAAGATCACTCCTCAACGTATGAGGCATGTCCTACAAAGATTTCTCAAGAACATGGTCTTGAAAGCAAATGAGGAATCTTGATCACATATATATATTTATATATCTATAGCTTGTATATACATTTTATTTCAGAACTTATTCGCATACAATTTAAAATTAATAACAATTACACTTTAGCTGGTTATCAATCCTTTTCTTTATTGTTTAAAAGACAACATTATCTTTTGAGAGATATAAAAAAGAAAAGACTTGTATAAAGCGTATATTCTAATGATATTTAACTTTTTTAGTGTCTCTTCTCTTTTTCTTTTTCTTGCAACTATGTGCTGTTTATGTTAATAAAGCATATGTTCTGTTGTACAACAAGCAAGATCAGTGAGACATTCTGATATAGTCTTCCCTTTTTTTCAGTAATTCTATATTTCTATGGCAACACAGCAACAACAACAACAACAACAACAACAACAAAACTTGACTTGGCCAGCGTCACACGATCCTATAGACAACAACAGTACTCAATCTGAAAATGAAGAATGTCTTGATCTCATCTCATTAAATGACCTCAGGCAAGGCGAGCTGTATATTATTAAAATCAAATTGATAACAATCGCCTTATTTCAAGGTATATGTATTTTTTATGGATATGTGTATATCATTATTGACCATTCTTTTAATAGGATGGCATGATGAAATGTGTTGCTTTTATGTTTTACGTAAACAAAACAAACAAAAGTCATACAAAGCCTTATTATTCATTATTTAGGGACGGATTTATCTGATATGTCAAGATGGTGTGAAGCAAGGTATGCATTGTATGATGACTATCTGTTTTTCCCCCGAATTTCTTAGAGAATGATACCAACATAGATACTTGCCAAACAATTTTGACGCGTACTATGCGTTTGATCATGCTGGAAATCCACCCATTCACCTATGGACAAAGCAATTAAAGACAGCTATACCTTACAACTGGTTCAGTATATTTGAAGAAGCTAAAAGGATGCAGCGATGGTGGATTCAATCCTACTTCGAGTCAGGCACCATGTTGAACTACTATGAAAAGTCACCGTCATCTTACGAGTATTCGATTACGGCAACAGACCATAACTCGCGACTGAATGGCAGTAAGGAAGATGAAGGTTGCGAGGATGTATTCGAGGACAAGACGGTTCAACGAGAATCAACTGTAGCCCTTGTTTCGTCTAACGTGATACCCTTTCCAGATGCAATAGAAACTCAGCATGACCACACGAAGTACCATACATCATTACCACGCACTTCATCCCTTCCCTCTAACCGACAAGACGAGGCATTAAAAAAGCACAATTTACCTCAGAATACTGTTACAGACAATGAGGAAAGTATTAAGCCAGAAAGAAAGAAATTGACAAACAGAAAATCATGGTCATCGCTCTTTCTAAAAAAGGAGAAGTCAAAGAAAGCACAGGGCGAAAGCAAAAAGAATGTACCCAGAGAGGCAAGATATACGCTACCTGCCTATGCTACTAGTAGAGAGATACAGTATGCGGATAACATAGACTTTAATTAATTTAAACTACAACACTAATAATGTAACTGTCTTTTGTACAAAGTTTCGCTCTTTATTGGAGTTGACCATGACAATATCTCTGTGAATCTAAGATCGTGGAGGTTGTATAGCTTTGAACCATACACATTGAATATGCTCAATGAGGCTGAATTACTATATAATGTATTGCTTGATCAAGGATTTGAGAGTGATATCCATATAAAAAAAACACACATATTGTCCAGGCAATACATTATCCATATATCTCGATTGATTCCTCTAATGTCGGAATACCCTCCCCCTTCCATCCATCTTGAAATGGTGGAAGTTTCTCTACAGCTTCGTCTACTGCTTTGTTGAGCCAACTGGTGATAAGCGGAAAGATCTCAATCTCCCATGATCCTGCATCTTCTTTTTCCATTGACGGTGGGAAACAAGAGTCGCAAACCCAGCTTGTATATTTGTTCATTACTTCAAGCTAGATGGAGGAGGCAGGGGAAGACCAAGCGGAAGACCCATCATCACTATCATCATATAGCGAGCTTTGTTGATGCTGCCAGAGGTTCATGACTATATCATTATTCGCCATCATAGTGAAATAATTACGGTTTGGTATAGTCACTCTCTCTAAAGCTCATTAACCGCTCCAGCAAAGTGCGGGCTTTATGGAAATCTCTCTTCTTCTAATACAGTTGATCAGCGCTATTTTTTGGCTTCTCTCATAGTCTTTCGATGGTTGGCGTGATTGACATGATACTTGTCTTTGTTAATGTTCTTCGCAAACTCAATATTGCTTAAATCGTCAGCTTTGCCGGCAGAGGTACAACGCATCCTCAAGCCGGCCTTGTCACTTATGTCAGAGAACTGGAACTTTACTGTTTCTTGCTACTAGTCGACTCTTTCGAGATAAAGCCTTTCCCAAAAAGAAATAAATCAATATGCAAGATTATCATTTGCAAAAAAGATGGAAAAAATCCTTGACCAAACATCAACAGCATAATCCTTTTTCGTGAATTTGCTTACCTGTGCTTTGAAGTATTGCCTGCCTCTTATGCATTGATTTGAGGGCTAAGTATAAGTATGAAACGTGTTAATTGAAGAGTTGTATCTGTTAAAGACATGTAATTACTGTATATCGAAGCTTATGACTTTAGCAATAAGAGCAGTTTATGTTGTGTATTATTCTCCTCATTTTCTCAGCTACTTTTACAATATCTGTTTGGCGATGAGCTTAACAAGTAGATGTGATTAGGAGGTATAGAATCACAGTCTTCTGTCATTCTACAAACTAAATTCTCATTGCCTTCGAAAGAGCTGCATTTTATCTTATTTATACGCTGCAAAGTAGCCGCCGCAACACTCTCGCACAGAGTGCGCGAAGTATCAAAGAGAGTTTAAAGGCCAAGTTAACAGAAAAAAAGCGCCCTTCAAGGTTTTATTTCCGACCACTTGACCTGAAAAAGCGCCTATATACACAAAATTACCCTATATGGTATTTTCTTGTGAGTTTCACTCCGCTTGAAAACTGATGAGTCTTAAGACTGATACTCTGCTTGACCCAAAAAACACGTTCAGTTTTTTGTTTTTCTTTTTTCTTCTTCTTTTGTTCATCTGTTGTTTGCGTAACCAAATGAGAAAAAGGGACATTAATAAGCAATACTCACCTAAAGAAAGAGAGCAGACGTACTACCTAGATATATTTGAACCACCGCCAACATGGCGACCTCGTAGTCATAGTAACTATTATCCACCTACACATCGATCACCACTTCACCATCAACCTTCATTATCTGAAATAGTATACCAAGATTATAACGACAACCATATCGGTAATGACTTTTGCCTTTTAATATATAACCTTAACGAGTTTCTTATGCAGTTTATCGTCGGTCTATGCTAGACTCATCATCTTCCCTTCATTATCAGGAGTATGATAGTGACTTTGATGACTCTCAGCAAGAGATTAAGATCGCAGATGATATTTCCATGTTTACAGCAGCAGAAGACGCTCCGGACGAGGATATTATACGACACGGACATTTACCTACAGCTCAAGAGGTTGAAATTATCAATAACTTTATGAAAAAGATGGATATAAAATGTTCTGCAGAATGGAAAGGTACATAAAGGGTCACATATGCATTCGTTTGCATTTATATATTCTATAATAGACTATAAATCACAGTATTGCTTGTTGAACGAGTCGTATGATATTGAGAGAAAGCGTATATAGAATGCATTACAATAATATAAAGCAACATACTCATCGCTCAATTTTAGGAATATATAAGGAAATAGTATCAACACTCGGAAAAATACAAGAGGTTGATGCAAGAGTAGATAAAGTCAAGTTTGAATTTCAAGCCAAGATGGATACCAAATATCAGGAACTACACGAAAATTTGATTGAACAATGCAAACAAGTCATTCATGAAGCAAAAGAGCAAAAAGCATATCAATTAAGGCAAGCCAATGAAATAAAAATCCAATTGAATGAAAAGGTAAAAGATATAAACATCACTTGTTAAGCAAAATAACAATAAAGACAGGTTCGATTGAATGTCGGTGGAAGTATATTCGAAACTTCACTTAGCACACTTTGCAGAGATTCAAAAAGCTTATTAGCCGTCATGTTTTCTGGAAGACATGAATTGTCAGTAGAATCAGATGGATCTTATTTTATTGACCGCGATCCTACTCATTTTCGGCTTGTGCTAAATTATCTTCGAGATTTAAGGGTAACACAACAGATCTCTATATGCTTTGGTTATGCTAACTGTTTCAAAAGATATCACCTGTCATACTACAAGATGACACAGTGTAAGTTAATCAAGCGAGTTACTTTTTTACTAATTGTAATGACTATAGAAGAGAAGAATTGCTACATGAAGCAAGGTATTACTGCATAGAAGGTCTTGTGAATCTATTGTTACACCAAGCTTAAAAATCTTTTTGATACTCATCATCTATTTTCTTTTACTTTCTTTTACTTTTAAATATAATAATGTATATTTTGTTTCTGTTATTAACTGGCTTAATAACAATTGTATTTGGGCAAGACAACTATCCAAAAAAAATCCAGCTTGACTCTAGTAATGGATTTTCAGTTGAATACTTTAATAACTATAAGATTGTACATAATTTGTTAAACAATGAAAAGTACATGCTCGTTTGCTGTGGAATGACTCTGGATAACAATACTGGCTACACTGGTGTATTCAGCACACCGATCCAGAATATAGCTGTTGATAGTGCATTGTATACATTGCCGTTTTTTGAGGTATTATTAATTCCTTTTTTGATACAAGAAAAAGCTTATCATTATAAATATACAGTTACTCAATCTGACCAATCATGTTCAAGCTATTGTTCCAGCAAACAATGTTACTTCCCCTTGCTATGCCAATTTGACAGCTACACCTCAAAATTCAACAAACCTCGTCACATTCACAGTAAAATCAAACTCTACAAGTAGCATTGGTGTCTCTGCTAATAATCCATCCCTCACACCATTACAGGTTAGCTATTATACTAGTATCAAACATATATTGGTGCTTACAAAAGTATCTTTAGCAAATGTCATGGATCGTTTATATTGCTTATTTCTTCGATATGGAATATTATGCCAATCAGTTATACAGCTCTCTAAATACGAATTACGAGTGCCATAAAACAAATCTACTCCATTCAGGTGCCAAAAACATTGCTTGGACAAGCTACGATGGAAGTGCATGGACATTAAAGTACGACAACTACACAAATACACTCATTGAAGATTCAGGTAACACTAAATAATAATCCACAAAGTAATGATGTTCACGCCATATCCATAGGGATGAAATTAGTCTCTGCCAGCAAGCAGACAAAAACCTTTAGTGATTTAACGGAATTTCAAAAGGCTTTGAACGCCACTGACTTTGTTATTGACGAGTCATCTAAAAGTGCCTTCAAGGATCTATCTTTTGACTCCTGGTTAATAGCAGCCAACTTTAGTCCTAGTTCAGGGCTTTCCTTTATATCTGGGAAAGCAGTATACCGTACAGATGGTCTGGTTAATACCAATGGATATTCCGGTAAGCAAAGCAAAGAAAAGAGAGAGAAAAATGACACATGATATGTGCTTAACTGTTCTAGACTATGCCATTCGCCACTATGCTAGACCTGACCTTGCTATTTTTGATATTATACACATGGTGTACCCTACTTATGGGCGTTCATACAACTTGACTTGGCTTCTTGCATTTGCTCAATCAGGTAGACCACTCTATGTGTCCAATGCCACCTACCCAAGCTGCACAAATCCTGGAGAGCGCATATACGCTATCAAATGTGTGACTGCACCATTTGATCCACGAAACAACGCTACATCAAATGTACCAAAACCTTCAAATAATCCGTTTATACAACATGGCCTGTCGACTGGTGGTAAAGTCGGTGTTGCCATAGGTGTTATCGCTGCTGTTGCTGCGATTTCTGTCATTGGTACCTTTGTCTATAGAAAAACAAAACACACTCCAAAAGAAAGGACATTTTACAGAATGCAAGATCTGTAATGAATATTACTTTATATAATTTTTTTTACTAATCCTTCACACAACACACACATGCTGTTTCTTATTGTATAAACACAACCCGAGTTTTTAATAAATGATGAATCATTATGTATCTTTATTTCTTTTCCAAAGATATTTTACATATTACTTTATCTAATATCGTGCATTCCATACTCTAATAATCCATTTTTCTGTTTCTACAATTCCAATCAGGAATACCACACAAGAGATTGTCATAACCCACGATTGCCATCCTACTGATGTTAACTGTAACCAATGGGATATTCCTGATGATATTGGTACATTAGATTTGATATATCAAGCATTTATGAAAAAACTTACCTGGTGCATAAATACCAATGATCATCAACCCAAATGAAATCAAAAAGGCAAAGATCATCCATCGATTACGAGTGATGCCTGTTTTAAAAATGGATTGATGCACACTTCTAACATTAAATGAATGGATCAACTGGAGCGTTGTGAGAGTTGTGAATGTCTATAAAGATTAGTCAATAGAATCCAACCATTGCCTTTTTTTTTTTTGCTTTTTTTTACCATTGACTGTGCTACAGGGACTGGCATTTTTAGGACATCAAGGCTTATCAAGTAAGCGCCCAAGGAAAACAAAGCGATCAACATGGAATTAGTAAAAATCATGAGCCAGGTAACTAATGTAAGCACACCCATCTTGGGGTTTCGTGGTGGTCTGCGCATAAGATCCTTCTCATTTGGTTCAACACCCAGGGCCATAGCAGGAGGGATGTCAGCTATTTGGTAAACAGGTAAGATATTTCATCACTTTCTATTTTAGCTTATTTTTACCTATAATGTTGGCCCATAAAATCATCATAACCGTTAAGGGTACTTCAATATTTGCAATGGTACAAATCAACATCAAGAATATTTCTGCGCCGTTACAGCTTAAAAGGTAGACAATAAACTTTAAAATGTTATCAAACACATGTCTTCCTTCTTCAACAGCGTCTACAATATTAGTAAAGTTATCATCAACCAAGACTATATCAGCTGCTTGTTTCGTAATTTCGGTGCCTGCTTGGCCCATGGCAACACCAACATCTGCTCGCTTAATAGCAGGTGCATCTAACATGATGTGTAAGTAATACAAATAAGCTCTATGTCTAGCAATTTTTACCATTGACACCGTCGCCTGTCATGGCAACGAGTTCTCCACGCTTTTGTAAAGCACGTACAATTGACAGCTTATTATCAGGGCTGACACGAGCAAACACACTAGGAAAAGGATCGAGAGCAATGATTGCATCATCAGAAAGCAAGTCTAATTCTCGGCCAAGGATAGCACGATTCTATAACTGGGTTATGATACTAAGTATTTAAAAGTATACCGTCTTACCATTCCGGGTATATCGGGTTTAACAATGCCAAGCTGTGTTGCAATAGCAGTGGCTGTTTCGATATGGTCTCCTGTAATCATGACAACATGAATACCTGCTTCCTGACAGGTAGCCACAGCTTCTTTCACGCCTCGCTTTGGAGGATCAATTAATCCAACAAGGCCAACAAATGTAAGGTCAGACTCAGCTAAGTGATTATTCTGAGACGATGACGAGGACGAGGACGATGACAGTGCTTCTGTCGCCTCCTGTTCATCCTTGGGTATATATTGGGTGGGTATCACTTTGTAAGCTAAACCTAGGACACGAAGACCTTGGGATGCCATTCGTACATTCTCGTCCTGAACCTGTGAGGCAAACTCATCTGTCATTTCGAGCCATGAGCGCTCATGGGTATTCTTTTGCGTTTCGTTGGGCATGTAACGTATGCACTTTCGTAGTAGTTCCTCGGGAGCACCTTTGCATACCATAATCATTTCATCATTACCAACCACTGCATTATAAGTGTCATTTCTACTTTGAGAGTAGATAGTGCTCATCAGCTTGCGTTCACTGTCAAATGCTCGCTCAAACATCTTTGTAAAGCCTAACTGATCTACCCAATAATCGCGGCTGAGACGTGCCTTTTGTGTAGCGACGGTAAGGGCAACTTCAGTTGGATCTCCGATAGTTTTCAATTCGCCAGTTTCTTCATCCTTACGAATAGACGAATTGTTACACAGACCTGCGACCATAAGGGCGTAGTAGAACTGACAACTGTAGTTTTCGGGGTGGTCAGTGTCAATGGATTTTGGTTTCATAGCTGCGTAATCGTTCGGAGAGTGATACTGATTTGGATTAGGCGATACGGTATGTCTCGTATGTATCATACGTCGACGTAGTTCGTGGGGCTCTAGAATGATTTCACCATCATTAGGATTTAGAGAAGTAGAGTCAGTGAACTTGTAGAGTGAATTATCGGTTGTCCACAACTCGGCTGTTCCCATCTTTCCCTCGGTTAGTGTGCCGGTCTAGTATATTAAAGTGAATATGATGTCTTGCCATAAATGATGTAAATTACCTTATCTGAACAGATAACCGTAACACTTCCCAAAGATTCGACTGCGGGAAGAGTTCTGACAATACATTTACTAAAAGAAATTTAGGATTATTCTATATTCTTTGCATTCTAATTCACACATACTTTGCTGCCATACGTCTCACCCCCAATGCCATGGTCACTGTTGTAACAGCAACTAGACCTTCAGGTATAACAGAAACTGCCAAGCTAAGAAAAATAAAAATGAGCGATCAATTCAAGAGCAAGTATCGTTCAACGGAACCTTAAGCCTATGTTAATCATATCTTTCACATTTTTCTTCCATGCAACTCCAATTATTACAACCAATGCACAAAGTAGAATAGCCAGGCCAACTAAATAACGACCTAGTTTTGTCAGTTTCTTTTGAATAGGCGTCTTGACTTTCTTCTTGGCATCTTTCTGAATTGCTGTACTGATTTTACCGATCTAACCATAAACATAGATGAGACTCATTCCTTTTTTAGATATACAAAAGATACTTACTTCAGTTTTTGTTCCTGTTCTCACGGCAATGCCTTTGGCTCTGCCACGGGCCACGGTTGTAGACATAAAGACATTGCCTTTACAATCTGCCAAAGGTATTTTACGAGTCTATGAAAGATTAGATATCTTTTCTGGTTTTCAGTACGATTGTAATTACTTTTGCTTTGATGGCGTTCGTATTCTTTTGTACAGGGACACTTTCGCCAGTCAGAATGCCTTCTACAACACCCAGCTGAGACACTTCAATCAGCCGAATATCAGCAGGAACAGCGTCACCTTCTTCAAGAATAACCAAGTCACCAGGTACAAGTTCTTCCGACTCGACATATTTTTGTTGTCCATCACGAATGACTTTTGCCTACATGTGGAATCCAAGGGTTAAATCAAGCTTATTTTTATATATTTTTACATTACCTGAGGCACAGATAAGTTCATAAGAGCATTCAGCGTTTTGCTTGCCTTCCATTCTTGGCTAAATCCAATGACCGTATTTAATACAACTACGATCAGGAGAACAATCATGCTATCGAACTCTTTTTCGGCAGCTTCAACAATAGCAGCAGCAATCAAAATCAGGACCATAAAATCAGTCAGTTGCTCCCAGAGCATCTTGAACGGGTTTGGGCGTGGAGGCTTTGGCAGCTGGTTTAAACCGTACTGCTCTCGCAGAGCAGGAACAATAGACTCTGATAACCCATTCTCTTTGTCCGTCTGAGAAAACATAGCCATCAGTTTATCAACTGATCTGTCAAAATACAATGCCTGAGGCGGAGGTAGTAGTTTTAATTGAGGCACTTGGGGGGCACGAGGCATTTTTGATTTTTCTTCACGATCCACTTCAGCAGAGAGAGAAGAGTTGAGTAACTTCTCCATATCGTCCTGCTCGCTTTCTTTGACTAGGTCGCGCCAATCCCCAAATTGGTTAGGAAAATGGCGAGTCAATAGCATGATCATGGCAATCGCACCACGCTTTTGCTCTTTGGTAGAGTAAGGTTGACAACGATAATGGACTTTTAGTTGGCGTCTTAAATCCGAAATGTCCATCCCACTAATAATAGTTCGAAACTCCTCAACTATATAATGCAGTAAGTTGGGTATTGCTCAACGCTCATAAATGTTTACCTTCTTCGAGAAAATCACCAAACAAAAAGAAGGCAGCATCAGCAGCATCCGTAGACCTTTTTCTTAAAAGATGACCTTCTGTATGACCCATATTCAAAAACAATCCTTCAGACAGTCTTTTCATCAAGTTCAGGTCAAGGTGTGGTTGATATCCGCCTTTGATTCTGTGATCCATCACATAGCGAAGGCCATCCAGGATTTCATCCAATGATATAGACTTGTTTTCTTTGACATTGAATAAATCGTTGACTTTATTTTAAAAACAAACATTAGATATTGACCTATATAAAAGTAACTTCGATTTACCGTAAACCTCAATCTGTTGTTCGACTGACAGTTTTCCGTCATTGATAGAAAATATATCAATCACAGCATGTTGTATATTTTCTATGGGTGGTTTAAGTTCCATAAAATAAATATCCGAGAAAATAAGATAAAACAAGCAGGAGGAAAAGATTCATCATGCAGACGCTTTTATACTTTTTTTTTCTTGCTATGCACTTTTCTATTTTTATGCTGGTCACGTTACCAGTTTTTGTATAGTCTTTTGTGCGACCTGAAATTAGTTTTCTGCTGATCAATAGAAAATGATTGCTGATAGTAAATTTTGCATTGTAAAAGCTTTACTGCTTGTCAAGAAAAGGTTATCTTATAGCAAACAAAGAGGAAATCTCAACTTTCTTTTGAAAATAATGAAAGAACTATAAGATTAGATTGAGATGAAAGATGCTTTATTGAATGTAAGAAATGTCTGACGTTTACTTGATCTTTTATTTAGGTTCCTGTAGGTACAGCTGCTTTCGTATTACGCCCACCGCCACATTCGGAGAATATCAGCTTTCCATACCAGGTTTCCCGATAGCATCTGCACAAAGAGTGTGGTATACTGTACTTTGTTATACCTTCAAATCAACTATAGAATTAAATTTATCAAAAAGATATCAAGTATTTAGTAATATATTCCTTCTATCTTCCTTCCACCACCTTGAAGGAGAGGGAACCGACATGATATAATGCGAATATGTGATAGTTCACCTATGTCAGCTTTCGTGTGGCACTGTACTATTACAGAAGCCTAGGTCATGCTGTTTTTACTTGCATTTCCTGCAGAGTGAGTTTTCTTAAAGCATAAAAAGGTTCGTAGACTTTGAATAGATGCACAGTGTGCAGTGATTTTCATAATAAAAAGACGCAGCCAAATATGACGTAGGACGCAAGAAAAAATGGTTTTGGAATGTCAGCATTAATGACTATGCGACCACTTACCTTGGCCGGTGTCTCCGCTAGAAACTAAGCAGAACCAATCCTTTTCGTACTTCTCTTAGTATACCGTCTTTCAAATTCTCAAATGTGCTGCGTATAGTGCTGAGCATTATATTCTAAGATAGTGTAATGATGAGATATGTGGAGCCATCCGATAGGATACTAGTACCTGAATTTGCCGTAATCTTTCCAAAATGTCAGAGAAAGGAGAAGGGGCATCGGACGGCTCAAGTAGGAATTCGAAACGGCTAGTTCAGACAAGCCGGTATTGTCTATTATGTCATACACTGGTTACTGCTTGCCTATATTTAATAGTATGCACTGTAGTTTTATACCAGCAAACTCATCAGACTGCTTTTAGGAATCAAGGACAGTTCACTGTGACAGAAATGTTTGTATATATATCTCATGACTCAGTTTCCAGAATATTTGCAAATAACATATTGATTGACATTGGCGATATTGCATTATGCATTGTACACCCTTAATAACAAGATCTCTAACTTTATTACTAACATGATAATCGTAGCCAGTCGTTTAACAAGGTTATGGATAATCTGTAGAAAGGTAGTAGAAACAAGCAACATACCAAGTAATACCTCTTCTTACATATGAATAAGGAATTCTAAATTGTTCAAGACTACCTGTTAAATTGCCATGTTCCCTGTGGAGCAATACCAGTGATGCATGATTAGTCCTGGGGGTTTATTTGTCATATATATATCTTATTAAACATGATGATCTACTAGAGGTAATCAACCAGCAAGGAATTAGACGATACCTCTGACAGTAGCATCCTTAACCTATAAGGGACATAATACACCTAATACCTTAAGTATGTCTTCTATCATTATTTACTTTCTATTCTCAAAATGCTAAATGCGTGTGTTTAAAGAGATTTATTTTCATGGAAAAACAAAAAGACAAGTTTCTAAGTATGATTTCACATTTAAACAGGGTATAGATACGTATTCGTAAATCGTAGAACCATCACTAGCCCATCATAAGTACTACTGATCACAGCTTCAAGAGTCTGAGGTTCTTGTTTTGGTATCAACCATCTAAATTTCACTTTGGCAATTATATCTTCACTTTTCGTTACTTCAATCTGCTCCTTCACAAGCTCATAATCCTCTCGAGCGACGTAATCATAAAGGGATGTCCCAATGCTTTCTATCTGATTCAAACAGACCATATCTTCACACTGGCTAGTAGCAAATACAATATAGGCTTGCTCTGAGTATCTATTCAAAATTAAACAAAATCGAGGCTCTTGAATAAAGTTTGTCCAGCTGATGTTGGATGGAATCTTGGCTTCTGTTTGTATGCTACCATCAGGCTGAATAACATAGTTCGCATCTGCTGAAATAGTTCTCATTTTCCGCTTCCGTGCGCTATTAGAGACAAAACATGTACAGACAATTACATTATAACAGTAATTGACCACAGTATCTAAGGTAACATAATATCCATCCTTATGTAGTATTCGATTGGTGACAATACAAGAGACTCGTTGATTTGTACAATTAAACGTATGAATTATTCTCAATGCTTCTCTTTCGTCGGGATGTGTCAGTATGTAACCTTCAGTTCCAACCATTTCATTAGGTGAATAACCAAGTACTTCTTGTACACTGTCAGATACATATACATATTTAGCACTAGGGCTATCGTCATATATTGCAATATAGTTGACTTCCATTGATTGGCAAAAAAAAAAAAAGAAAGAGAAGGAAAGTTGTTTACATAAAACCCACCTTACGGCGACTTCAAAGGAAATGTAGGCCTAAAAAAAATAAAAAAGACATAGACTGACTGTGAATTCTACCTTTCTTCTTTTCTGTTACTTTTTTTTTATTCATGGCTGAACAAAGCAATAGCATCTCTCATACAAATAATTATCTAAAGAATCTGTCACAGAAGAAATATGCTTGGATGGAAGAAGCAGTAGCTTCTTTTACGCCTAAACCAGTAACAGATACAAAACCCAAGAGTCCAACAGAATCACGCAAAGGAAACAGAAAGGGTAAAAAACGATCATTGTCTCCTTCACTAGACCAAGATAGCCATCTATCGCCAAAGAAATCAAGGCCACAAACACCTAAACAATCAACAACCCCACCGAAGCAAACAACAACGTCTCTACAGTCAAAATCCCCAGGGCCCGAAGACCAACCACTACCTACTGCTACTACTATTACTATTACTACTACTGCCACTAAAGAAGAACCACGTAAGAAACATAAGCAACCTCGCTTCAAGTACACAAATTTCCCAGTCAAGGGCTACAACATTCTTCCAACACGTAATATCACAAGCAGCTTTGCGAAAACAGATGCAAGTTTTATACCAGGAAACAAGGCAGGTGCAGAAGACATTGTCCCCAATGTAAGCTTCTAAGCATTATGATTAAACTTGATTCTAACTTACTCTTATACCTAGGCAACTGAAGAATGGAGAGACATCATCATAATTCATCCTGGATCGCGCAACTTACGCATCGGCTTAGCTTCTGAGGCATTTCCAATCACTGTACCACATGTCATTGCTCGACGAATGAATACAAATCTTCCTGTCGACACAGAACAGGATACAGAATTGACAGAAAAACAAGAAGAAGCTTTGAACGAGATAAAGAGCGAGCTCAAGTGGCGCATGAAGAATGCTAAACGACGAGCCGTTCCTAACGCAGAAGGGCAGGTTGTGGGTTTCAATACGAATGCACCACGAGAAACAATTTTGGACCATAATGATCCTTATAAAGTAGAATGGACAGATGTAGAAAATAGCAATAGACCTGAATATTTTATAGGAGAAAAGGTAAACAATGATGAAAAAGTGAGGAAATATTACTAATTGAATATATTCTTAGGCAATTCATTTCCCAGTTTCTGAGGATTCTGAATATCGTATATTTTATCCCTGGAGACATGGTTCTCTGAATGAGGCAGATTATAGTTCCTTGAATGCTGTTCTAGGCGATCTTGAAGCCATTTGGGCCAATGTTATCCAAAGTGAGCTAGAGATTGAAAAATCCGACTTTAAGGTTAGAAAAAAGAAAAAAAAGAGATAGAAAGGACTAACGATTAGAATAGAACTATAATATCGTCTTGGTTGTTCCTGACTTATTCAATCGCAGCTATCTTTGTGAGCTTGTCACCATGCTATTGACACACATGAAATTCAAGGCAGTTATTGTTCAGCAAGAATCAGCATGCGCGACTTATGGAGCAGGCTTATCAACAGCTGTGGTTGTTGATATTGGAGCACAACGTACAAATATTGCTTGTGTGGAAGATGGCGTCTGTCAAGTGGATTCACGCATGTCAATAGCGATGGGTGGGGATGATGTGACAAAGACGTTTGCTTCCTTTTTAAGAGTCAATAAGTTTCCCTATACAGACATCAACCTTGCCTTACCGTTTGACTGGAGACTAGCTGAAGAGCTGAAGGAGAAATGGTGCACGATGAACGAGGCGGAGGTGAGCATTCAAGTTTATGATTTCTTCGTTCGCACTCCCTTTCAGCAAACAACTAAGTATCAGTGCAAAGTATATGAGGAAGTATTCTTGGCACCCCTTTGCTTAGTCTATACGGACATACTGCAGCCAAAGACGAAGAAGACTGTAGAATGGGCAAGCAAGAATGTGACAGATGATGTTACGGAAGATTCAAATGTAATGATTAATATGGCATAAAGTATAATTTTACTGACTTACTTGATAGGTGAGTAGTATTGTCAAGAATCTAATGGATCCTTATCCTATTGACACTGCTATTGCTGAATCAATTTATGCCGCTTCTAATGGATCAGAAGAAAAGTTAAAGCGTTATTTTTCAAGTATTATTCTTGTTGGTGGTGGTGGCAAGATTGTTAACTTTAGCAAAGTCTTGGAAGACAGGTAATGTTTAAAGGAGTCTTTTTCAAACGTAAACTTATTTTTATGTGTTTCCTTTAGAATCCTTTCTACCGTAATTGCTCAGCAGTCATTTATAGAGCGTGTGGAGGTTCTGCCTGCACCACGTGAACTAGACCCAGAAGTGATTGTCTGGAAGGGTGCTACGGTTATGAGCAAATTGGATTCAGCTAAAGAAATGTGGATTGGAACTAAAGAATGGGAAGAAGTAGGCGCAAGATGTTTAAAAGATAGAGCACTATTGCTATAAACAAAATAGTAATAATAAATTATCTTTATTCTAAACTAATAATAAAATCCTTGACAACCTTGCAAAACTCTATTTGAGCAGCAGGATCGATAATTGCATGGCTTCCGTTTGGTATAGACGCGGTCATTTTGATGGCAGGACAAAGTTTCTGAAATCTTTGCATGACCTCGTTCTGATTCAGACTGGAGGCATAAAACTCATCCTTTTCAGAATAAGCCCAGCAGATAGGACGAGTGACATTGTCATAGAGCCTAAGTATCTCTTGATCTGTTAGGTCGGTCGAAAAAACATCATCATCTCCACTATAACGAGAGAGATATTAGAGAAAAGCTAAAGGATAAATTGCCCTTACCCTTTTGTACTCAACGAGTAAAATCTATCAGCAGTAATGGGCGCCCAAAATGTGGCTCTGGGTAACAATTCATCTCCTTTTCCTTCCTTTTTCATAGATGTGGCCAATTCGAGGCTTTGCTGAAAGTTTGGCAAATTTTTGGAAAAATATTCGCGATCTGACACGGGAGCTTGTAAGATGTATCCAAGGACGTCTTGACTGCGCTCGCCGTACTTATTATGTGTATAACAATCTTGGCTACCTATGATGAGGGATGGGTATTATCTCTTACTGTTTCAGCTTGTATATTTACCTGTCGAATGACCCAAAAGAACGATCGATTTTTTACCGCGTTGTTTCAAAACATCAATAAGTTGATCAAGTTCTTTAGCATCTGCTCGTAAATTAGTCGTACCATATCCATTAAAGGTAGATGAGAGTTGAACCTGGGTGAGTGACCAGTCGATGGAAGCCAGTGTTTGATGAAGAGGAAACAAGAACGGAACGTTATTGAAACCATCACCAAGGCCGCCAATGAAAACAACGGTTTTGCCAGAATCACGTGGACCTGATTCGAAAGCAACTAGACTTTTCCATATGGAAGATGAGTCATCAAGGTGATAAGTAAAAAGTTCGCCTGTAAAATGCATTTTGGTGTAAGAAGAATTTAAAGAAAAAGCGTATAAAGAGGTAATAAATAGGCAGCTTATGCTGACTTTCAAACAAAATTTCATCTTCAGGCACGTTATAATAATATATGAAATAAAAGAAAAATATCGTCTTGGCTTTATATATCATTAGCATGCAGGGGGCCGGTTATTTTGTGTCTCTAGGGTTTGGTTTAGTGACCCTTGTGTTTACAAGATTGGCTCTTTATTTATATTTTGTTTGTTGACATACACTTCCACGAAAAAGATCAACGCTCTAATTAGCGGCACTGTTCATCAACACACTTCAAAAGACTCGAATGTCGTGTAAATACAATGGGCAAATATAAACTGCCCTGTTTTAAATAAAGAAAAATCATATGTATTCATATATGTACATGACTATTTACAAAACTAAAGTTCAGAAAATGACTGTCTACTTTTTGTAAATCATCCTGCAGAGGAGATGAAGCAGTGAGTGCTTCCGAGGTAAATGTAGGATCAAAGTTCTAAAGGGAAATATTAGATTAGCCTTTAATTATTATTTGGGGGGTTTTTACCTCAGCTGCTTCAGGATTAGTCTATTATACACATATAAAAGATTAGAAATGTTATAAAGCAATCATAGAACTGTAGTCACTTACAATAATAGGTACAATGGGTGGTGTTATTTGTCTATTTAATAAAGCTTTCCAATCAATGTGTCTAAAGAATCGATGACGACGGATAGCATCTGCTTTCTTTGGCTTTGCGCCTAATCTTGCATTCGGATTTTTACGCAAAAGCTAAATGATATTCTTTGTCAAGCACCATGTGTATATGCATATTATGATCTTACCTTTGATAAAATGTCCTTTGCTTCTGCTGTCATGTAATAAGGAAACGTGATCTTTTTAGATAAAATCGAATCGACCGTCTTTTTACGGTTAGTTGAGCTAAATGGAGGCTAATATGACATCAGTGATACCGATTTAGTATTACACACAAAAGACCTTACTGAGCCTGTGATCATATCAAAGATGAGTATGCCAAAGCTCCACCAATCGACAGTATCATCATACTCTAAACCCATCAAGATTTCAGGTGCCATATACTCTGCCGTTCCACAAATCGTATTTGTTTTACCATCCACAGCCACCTTTGATAAACCGAAATCTGTCAAAACGACATGGCCTTCTTGATCTAACAAGCAATTCTCAGGCTTCAAATCTCTGTAGACTATACCAAGTGAGTGCAAATGATCCAAAGCTAATACAAGTTCTGCTGCATAAAAGACCGCAGTGCTTTCAGAAAACATGCCCTCTGGTCAAAGTATTAGATAAAGTATATATATATATATATATATATATATATGATGATATATTTACCATGAACCAAATGACGAAATAATTCACCACCTACAGCATAATCTAAAATCATGTGAAGTTCAGTTGGTGTCTGAAAGGCAAAGCATAGCTTAACAATGAATGGATGTCGAACGTCCTCCAAGATCTGTCTTTCTGTCTTTGCTTGAACAGCTTGTTTGCCATGAACGATAAGTGAAGCCTTCTTGAGTACTTTCATGGCATAGAGTTCTCTACTTTTTTGATGCTTGACCAAATACACTTTGCCAAAACTAATGAAATTATGTGTTAAGTTTAATCAAGCAAATGCTCTTCTATACTTTACGCTCCTCGACCAAGAACACAAATAGTATCGAAATCTTGTCGAGACACTTTTGCAGGTGAAGAGGAGTAATCATGATCCAGGTTGACTTCTTTAGTTAATTTATCGTCATGATTTCGTTTACGAGGAAGTGGCTCATCTGTATCACTGTTGTAATTAGATGGTGGATCCTCTTTTGAGGCTAATTTTAATCTTTCCAATTGCTGGCCTAATTCTAATTCTTCGTTGACCATTGCGAAAAAGAGAGTGAGTGAGAGAAAAAATACAACCGAAAAAAAAAAAAGTAGGGGAGCCAAAACTGGTTTTTCTTTTTTGTTTGCTTGCTCCCTTTCATGTGCACGTGTTTTACTATTTAAAGACATCAAGCCTTTTTCTTTTTCTCTTTTTTCCCTTTCTTTATTTTTTGGTCCTATATAAAGATGTCTATCGAATACGAGTGGGTTGAAGTATCGAATCCTAATTTCCCTTGTTCATTTTATGCCAATCATGTAAGTTACTATAACTGAAAAAAGGGAGGTAATATTCATCTGTTTGACAAGGTAACAGGTGAATGTAGTTGGTCAAAACCCTTGAATGAATCGAGCATGTAAAGTAAATCATAAAAGTTTTTCACCCATTAATGCATGGAGTAGTCTACCGAAAAATCCAGACGGCGATTGGTGGGAGTTATGGGACGAAAAGCACAATTTACCATATTATTATCATACACGTGCAAACGTCTCTAATTGGATGCGGCCCACAGATACAAATATAATTTCACTTGTCAAAATCCGTGTAAGTTCCTTTTTTTTTTCTTTTTTTTTTTTCCTATTTACGACTTGGATAGCCTTCAGAAGAGTTCTCAAAGCAAATGTCTTTATTGGTTAAAAAGCCTTCAATCAGTACTCACCATAACAATAATACTAATACAATGAAAAGAAACAGCCGGTCGCTTGATCTATCCGAGATCACCATGGAAACAGATACGGTGACAGCAGTAACAACAACAACGACAGCAACAACAAGAAGGCAGCACCAGAGGTCGACATCCGATAGTATGGCAAAAGATATTATTGAACAAGTACCAAACAATGGAAGAAAACAAAGTATTTGCTCCACAAAGGTATACTCCTTCTTGTCTCCCTAAATCTTTTACTCTTTTTGTAACTTCCCCTTTTGCTATAGGAGCCAATGTTTTCTAAAGGGCCACATTTACCATCATTAACAAAGAAAGCAGCAAATCATCCGTTTAAAAATTTGGCTATTAGAGCCGGATCACCTACGAGTCGATATTCTATTGCCATCAGTTCACCTACAAATAACCCAGGTACGATGCATAATAATTAATATGTCACACATATAATTATAAACAAACGATCATAATGCATGTTTGTGTAGAGGCCGCTATCGCTATGCATCCACTTAATCAACCTCACTGCTCCCCGCCTGTCACTCCCGCGGCCACTCTAAAAAAGTATTTAAAAAAAAAAAAAGAAAAGAAAAGAGGAATGCAAACTTTGAGGTATTCATGACGCATATTTAATAGGCCAACATTGCCCGCAGGATTACAACAAGAAATCAACAAGTTTGCCATAGATGGATTCGCTAAAAAGTATTTTGCTACACACAAGAAGGGTTTATTTAGAAGAAAAGTGCCGATGAATGAGATGCTCAAATGGACAAAAGTAAAAAGTTACCTTTTTTTTTTTTTACTGAACCAAGACTATCAACGTACAATGTATTCATACAAATAGAATATAATAGGACTCACTACGTCAACCACTCATCATGATGAACAAAGAGTTATACAAAGATGCTCTTAGATGCTTCAAGCTGGTACAGACCATCATGGGAGACAGATCAAGGTCAAAACATTCAAATGAGGTAGAAGACATACAGACCATTTTGACTTGCGGTATTACAAAGGGACAGATGCGAGATGAGATTTATGTTCAGATCTGCAAGCAGTTACATGAAAATCCTAATCCGTAACTATGACATTTATATTTTGGGAATAGCAGTTCATTTAACAAGTAGTATAGAGAAAGTATTCACCGAGGATGGGGGTTGCTATGTATCATCAGCGTTACTTTTCCTCCATCAAAAAATCTAGAGGCGTACCTGACAGATTTTGTACAGCATCATCATCATTCACAGGACCCTCAAGTAGCCACTATGAGTCAACATGTATCTAACAAACTGAAGAGGATATGTAAACGAGGAGCCAAAGGAAAAGTGTTGACAAGCGCCGAAATTGCCCGGGCAAAGGTAACCCCCCTTTCTTTCCCTCTCCTTCATTTCTCGCCTATTCTTACTTTTACATTTCCTTTTCTGTTAAAGGAAGCTCCCTTTAAACCGTCTGTGTTTGGTGAATCACTGCAATTTATTATGGACTTACAGGCAAATACCAGCCCTGACCTCAAGATACCAATGATTGTTCCCTTCTTGACCAATGCAGTAAGGGAAACCAACGGACAGTTATCCGAAGGTATATTCCGTGTACCCGGTGATGCAGATGCAGTGACAGATTTGGTAAGAACCATATTTTGCATTACTCAGCCCTCGTCTAATACTGTAGCTGTAGCGAGTACGTATTGAGAATGGCAATTATGATGCCACAGGTATCACAGATCCAAACGTGCCAGCTTCACTTTTAAAGTACTGGCTACGAGACTTGGTCGAACCGATCATTACCTCCGAAAACTATTATGATTGCATCAAATACGCAGAAGATCCAGAAATGGCTATTAATATTATTAATCGACTACCAGATACCAACAGACGCATTGCTCTATATATCATTAATTTCCTGCAGGTAAGGTTTACGAAAACGAAAGAAAAAAAAGCGCGGGAAATAACAAGATATATTAGGAATTTACCGACCCAGAGATCATCAAACACACTTTAATGAATGTCAACAATCTTGCCATGGTCTTTGCACCCAACTTTTTGAGATGTCCATCAGAGAGTTTGACAACTGTGTTCGAAAACTCGAAATATGAACAGGCCTTTTTAAGGACACTCATTAATGAAACGCATGTAGATTCTTCAGCCTGTGCTTATGAATCTGACAGTAGTAAAGTTTTTGGACAATACAAAGACCAATAATAATAAAAAGAGATTGTCACAGAGCATTTTTAGGAGTTGAAAGATGTTTTACCCAAAATGGGATTATCGTGCGTCACTTTTATGCATGTACGAGGCGTACCATATTATGCAGTTATAAATAGAGGAACCATTATCATCGAAACAGCATTGTTCAGTAAGCTCTTAAGCAGAACTATCCATAAGAGCCCTTTAAATAGCTAACAGAGGGTGCTCAATATATATCTTTAAATAAGTAATCATCAATACCATAAAAAAGAGTACATTTACTTAATCTATTTCAATGTAAAAGCTTGGATGTTCTTCAAAATCAATTCAATAAGTGCATGAAATAAAAATAGTTAGTATGTAATCTATAAAAATAAGAATGTGTTTGGTTCAGTAGAATTGTATTCAAAAAGTGAAGATTAAGTTCAGCGTCTTTTATGTAGCACGCTGGCCAATCCATACGCTTAAATTCTTTTTGCATCTAGTTTGCTTGTAGTTTTCAACAAACATCATGCCTCGCTCATGTGATGTGGCTGTTTCTGACGTAAATTCGATATTTTCGATATTTGTTGTTGTTGAGCTAATAGAAGGGGTACAAGAGGAGTCGGCATTCATTTCACTGTACTTACTTTTTATTGCCTGGTTTTGATTCTGCAAGCTCTTAATGGCTTTGACCACTACTTCGGATGATGAATTGTTGTTAATAAGTTCCAATATTTTGGTATGTTTGTGATATCGGGTCTCCAGTACTTGCGCTAAAATATCAGCAATGTGCTGATCTCCAAACCAACTTTGATGCTTTTGTAACGCCAAGGTGTATAGATATTGAACTGTTGGATCATTTGGACATGCTATATCGTTAATATCAGTGGCATGGCTGGTCAAAAATAGACCAAGAGCGACGAACGGATTCAAAGGTATGACATCAATATGCACTTAGACATGTGCTTTACATAAAATCAAGCAATTAGAGACCCAACCTGCAGAAGGGAATTCATAACAAGCAGGAAAGTTGCTGACCGTCAGACTCTAGCACAATATCTAAGCAAATGTGATATTGTCGATGAATAAAGTAGTTTTATCTCAGAATCACAAGAATATAACAAGATGGAGCGTGTTTCTTTGTAGTCGTTTACGAACAGAGAAAGAGAGAGACTCATGGGAAAAAAAGAAGTCTATCTTTATATGCAAGAATAAATGTTGTCAACTAATCGCATTTATAGATTACGACTGCTGTGAATTAGTGTTATGGGCTTAATAATAATGGCTTGTGTACGAAATATACATTAATTATATTTTACGTTAAAGTGTGTAATCTTCTTCGATATAAACGTAGAAACACGACAGCGAGTGCCATCATCCTACACAAGATTCCCTACTATATAATCATTTTATGCGTTTGATAGAGTAGTTGTAATGATGTTGATGATTTTAGGATCGTGGATGATGGCTTTTGACATCAATCCCTTCCGGGACGCAGCAACTTCAGAAAAACGAAGAAATTCATTTTTTCATCAAACTGAAACTTGAACGAAACCAAAACCTGTGCTAAAGATCAGATGTGCAAGTCATTTGGAAAAAATCAATAAATAAATTATCCTTAAATGTATCGCAAGCAGTACAAGATCGACCAATAGCTGTTCCCATTTGGAAGCACCTAAGACAATTACAAGCAGATAATGTAGCAGTGTGTAACTACACATCGACAGTGCAGTTACACAATCATTGTATTTATTTTGTGATTCAAAAACGGAATTTTTATTCTCATTTAATTCTGACTATAAAGATGTTCCCTAGGAGTGCTCAATGTCTTCATTATGATCAAGGAGATCAAAGGACGCAGTCATAAACATGCTAAAGTTCCCTTACAGCAACATCTTAAGCTATAGCGATTTAATTAGTATGCTCTATATTTGAGAAAAAAAAGGGAGGTGTTTTGTGAGCATTATACTTCAATTGACTGCCTACAACCTTGACCTCTGATTTGAAAAGGACATTGTAGTAGATGATTAGATTAGACCAACTTGTATATATGCATAGTGTATTCAAAAGTTATTCTCGAATACAACATGTATTTGTTCATTAAGAGAAAGGAAGGAGACAGAGAGAGATTCGTTCCTGATTCAGTTAGTGAATCTAATAAAAAAAAACTCCCTTAGGTAACCAAGTTTTTAAAAGCACGAGGAGTAGTACAACTAAATGAAAGCAGTTTATGAAGGTGATCTCTTTTCCTATTTCATCTATTTTATTCTTCTTTCACGCTCTAATTCTCATGAAGTTTGTTACAGTTGCTGCCATTGCATCCCTTTTTGTACACCAAGTCCTTGCTAAGCCTGCAGAAGGATGTCTCCAAACTCATATAAGTAAGTACCTTTATTGAACCTAACAAACCAGTTTATTGATCTTGTTTCTTATCAGTTACTACAAACGATACCTGTGTATCTGTTGCTGCACAATACAAAATTTCTGAAGCTGATTTCTACGCTATGGTAATTCTATTTCTCTCTCTCTCTTTTTATGTTCATAGTATAACTTTTTTATGTAGAATCCTGGCCTTCATCACAGTGTTCAACATGTGAGACTCTTGTTCATTCAACTCAAAACATAAAACTAACTCATTTAAAATAGAATTGCGATAATCTTGATACAGGCAAGCCTTTCTGTGTTTGCTTAACAGCGCCATGTGTATGTAAAATAGTACATTTCTTATTATATAAACACTCATTATTTCCCATTAGGCTGTTGCTGCAGACGTGGTGTCTAACAACGTTACTACTCCCACTAACTCCTCTACTGCTGCCTCTGCCTCCATTGCTGTATCTGGCGCCTCCACTTCACTTCCATCTGCATCCGCTGCTTCATCATCTGTTGTTTCTAGTATCCTTTCTTCTAGTGCCTCTGCTTCAGTCTCCAGTACCTCAATTTCCAATGCGCCTAGTTTAAGTGCCAGTCCTGCATCTGCCAGTAAGACTCCTAGTTCAGCTGTTTCTCTCACCTCTTCTTCAGCTCTCGTTGCTGCCGGTATTGCCTGTATTGCCGTCTCTGCTTTTATTTAAATTACTTTTTAGCGTGTCGTCATATATGAAAGAAAACAATGACATTCTCTTTAATAAATATATACATTTAACAAAATAATAATAATCGTTTATTGTACTGAATGATCTGTTTTATCAGATACACCTGGTATTTTATGATCCGCTGGATTGGCGCTGGCTTCATAGACTATGAATATAAAAAATGAGTAGCTATTTCTTACAACTCTATTTTTTTTTTCCATTACCTGTTATAATCGGATCTCGCTTAAGCTACAAACAACAATCGAGATCAGTATAAAGAAAGCCCCCTCCTCTTTTTTCATTTAAACGTACCTCACTCCATTCTCCTTTAAATCCAAGATAGCGTACGATACTTGTATCTTCACCGAAGTTTTCGGGGAAGAATAGGGTAATGTTACGAACGCTACTGAACTTTGTCACCTTGGTCGTGTACTCGATCACTTCATTCGATCCTTGAACAAGATCAAACTCTTGTACTGGAATATAGCTCTCTGCCGCATCAAAGTCAACATCCTCGCGATTGATAAACCTATAGCTACACTTAGAATACAAGTTATATATATATCTAAGCACACAACTTACACTTTCACCTTGGATGGTGCAGCATCAGTATTATCCGTACGTAGACAGATAGAACGTAATTTGACAATACCAGTAAATCTAATGCTTGTTAATTTCCCTCTCTTCTTTTCTCCTTTTTTTCTTTTCTTATCACTTACGGAACAAATACGATCAACTGTTCATCAGCGTCACTCTCCAAATACTATAATAAAGAGAGAAGGAAAGAAAAGCATCAGTAACCAGTCAAAGAAAAGTGTAATACTATATATCACCTTTGTGTCATCCATACGTTCGTTCCAAGGCCTGATGACCTTTTGACCACTATTAGGTTCGGCTTCGTTCAAGCAACGTACATTGTCCAAGTCAATCTTGGAATATAGTAAAAACTGTTCTCCAGATCCAGGCAAATCGTCATGGCTGTGGTCGCAATGTTCGTGATGACAATGGCTCATGTTTTTTTTTGTAACAACCTTTTAGAAAACGACAGAAAAAAAGTTCAACTTCAGTTTCTTTAAAGTTTTCTGCATAAAAAAAGAGTCCAATTGAGGTAATCAGGAACGTCACATGATTTACCAATACACTATATTGTAAAGCTAATTAAGACTAGATTATGATAAATAGCAATTCTTACATGAGCTTTCTTCCTTTCTTTTCGAATATAAACGTTTTCTTTTTCTCATCGTATTGAGCGTTTTCTTTTTTTACTCATCATATAAACACTTTGAAATAATTTGGTATGTATGTTTCTTTTGATTCGAATGTGTCTGCTAACATTGTCGCTCATTAGAACAATGGAAAACAATACTTCTAGAACAACCATATGCTTCTTCTGTGCTGCGACATTGCCAGCAGATTCACGCCATCGTACCTGACAAGCATGCAGAGAGTGAGTAGCAGCATCGCGCCGCAGACGTCGTGTCGAAGACCAACAAGAAGAAGCTGACGTTGCTACTAGACCTAGAGGCAGGCCAAGAAGAACAGTCGAGCCCGTTGATGCTGAAGGTAAATCCAGAGGCAGGCCAAGATCTGACCATACTAACAGCATGTCAGCCGCATACATCTCACAATTATCCCGCCTTCACCCTTTGGGGCTGGGAAGAATGGACAAGGAATGTCCAAACTTCCACGCTTTGCATTGGATAGATGAAAGACAACAGAATTTTTCGCAAAGAAACCTGTTTGTGAATCATGCTGTAAGTAGGGTTTAATCCAACTGCCACTCCTGGCACAACCAGCTGGGTACTTGAAAGACCTACTCGCTCGCACAGATAATATAGGACGCCAGTCCAAGGATAAGCTACGTCAATACAGCGCTGTCTTTGCATTCACGTCGCTAAGATTTAACATTGCTCTTGTCGAGGAACGAGCCAGTAATGAAAACAGCAGAGGTGGTCTGCATGCATTTCAAATTCATGGTGAACTTTATCACCTCCATAGCCCCTTACTTCCCAGTGATGATGATTCCAACCCTTCATATGCTCAGCTTTACATATACGATCCATCATATGCAGCTGAAAGACACTCAGAGAGAAATAACAATCTTGATTCCGAGACTATAAGAGAGCTTTCCTTCATGTTCTCGCAGTACAATCCCTTTGCTCAAATTTACCGCCACGCATATATAATATTAAATGCGCGAGAAAGTAACGGTAACTCAGCTGGCAACAACAACGTCTCACCTTATATAGCTATTTCTTCTGATATGAAAATGCGATTAATTGAAGGAGGTAATAGACGTACCCAAAGCTTGCCTATCATAGAAGAGATTGCTGCCATCATTCCCACTGAGTATGGCGACAAAAGCTTTCGTGACACTTTTCTCACCTGGAGAAGAACAGATGATAACACCAGCGCTTCATTACGCGATCAGCATCCTCTACAATTGTTGTTACTCTTTAAATTTTCTTTCGTATTTTTAAACAAAATGTGCGATTAAGTCCGTAATATTCTTAAAGCAATGTATGAGAAAAATCAAACGACAGTCAAAGGTAAAAAAATGAAAATCTCAGTCATCTTTGACTACATAAACATCATCCATATATTATAGTTAGGACCAAGAGAAAAAGGGTGAGTGAAGCAGAGGATATTGAGATCAAGAAAGGGAAAAAAAAAGGCAACATACGATCCCAAGAAGAGCAAGAAAAAGGCAACGTTTGTGCAAGTTGCCGCCAAAAGGAACACAAACATGCAAGATCTTCCTTATTCCCAAATCGAAAGTTAACAACGCCAGAAGTACTTTAGCAGCTCATGGAGAATCAAAAGACAACAATAGTCAAAACAAAGCTAGAGATTATTCTGCGCCCTGTCCAAAGAAACATAAAAGACAAACAATCAAAGCATCAAAAGATATTAGGAACATTTTAATTCGTGCTTGTGATATATCTCGAATATATAAAGAAGCAATAAGGGAAGTATAAGTCGATGAGCCTCTATATAACCTCTTTATTGTATATAAAACGAGAGAGAGAGCTCATTATTACATACAGCGTCATTTTATATGAAGACATAATTATTAAGTAATCGATTTAGTTGTGACCCATAAGAATTGGGTATGTCGCATTATTAGATAATAACGTGTTTTATAGTCAGTCTCTTTGTATTACTCTTTTTTAGAGTAGAGATTTATAGTAATTTCATACGACAGTGCTTATGATTTCTTAAAGTGTGCCAATAATTTTGAGAAAAAGTGCATCACCCTCTTCGTCAGAGCTAAAAACAGTTGAGTAGCTGTGGTCAATTGTCAGAAAAGAAGCCTTACCGATTAGAATAGCTATGCAATAAGGTATGTATCAATGATTTAGAGGAGTCCATACGGCATCTTGCTTTGATATACGTTTAAACAAGATTCATACATAAAAATTTATCACTGTTCATCAAAAGCTCCAAAATAAAATGAAATTATGAACCTATTGATTTCTTTCTCTTTTTAATCAACTTTGGCAACAATATTGACATGTTTAAAAACATTATTCAAAAGAAGAAATATCAAATTATTAATAAAAGAAAGCTGATAGAAAACATAGATGACGTGTTTAGAGGTGCACCTCATAAATGCATATGATACTTGCAAAATACTCACTGATATACTGATATATAATCTATAGACATGGTTTGTAAATACTGTCAGGAGAAAGGACACGCCAACAGAAGTTACTATAAATGCAAATTTTATAAAGAAGCTTCTGCAGGCGATGGTAACTCACTATTATAAACTAATATTCGAAACTTAATATATATACATCTCTTATTAAATTTGGAAAGCCTGTTGGGAAAAATAGAAAACAAAGCTCAGGCGTGAAGCAAGAAAAGCAAAATGCCAAAAGACAAAAAACGGTAGAATGTTCTTCATCGATTACTTGCACTAGTTGTAAACAAACTGGCCACAAATCAGCACGTTCTCCAGATTGCCCTAATCATATGTTGTCAAAAAACGAGGTTTTTAGTCGAAATTTGGGACAACAATTTAAAACATTCACAAGAAAGTTACCGTTTGATCAATGTGTCCACAGTTCCTACCAGAGTGCCTTGAAGCCTAGAATCACCTCTGTATGTGAAGACACACGTCAAGCAGTTTTCAGAGCTCAGATTTTCATCAACCAGTACATATTGAACTTAAAATCCATTCGAATCGTATCTTTAAACAAAATTTTTGGTATTCAATATGTCAATTAGTTATGGATAAGCGGGCTGCAAACAGTGCTGCACTTCTAGAAGGCTTACTTGAAAACTGGAATTTGTTTAGACAAAGTCATAAAAGCATCATATATACCAAAAAGCTTGCGAGTGAAACTAGCCAATGACTTTCAGAGGCATGTGTACAACTAGTGATCACATACACAAACTGCATAGTCGAGAACTTTGAAACAAGATTGCTTAAATACCTTTCGTATCTTATTCAAAACACTTTTGTGGTAAGCTCCATTTTTTGTGAAATGTTCTACTAGAATATGTAAATAACTCGTGATATACAGTCAATGGCGTACCAAGACGTGAAGAAAATAGCTTATGATTATTGTTATCAGCCTGTATGCAAAGGAGAACCCAAATGGCCGCGAGGTGCTACTTTCACTCAAGAAACAAAAACAGCAGTTGATGAGGCTTGTCTGCCATTGCAGCAGCTTATAACCACACAAGTAACACTAAAGGAATTGTCTGCGTCTCCAAGTACTTTTTTGCCTCGTACCTTGTAAATACTATCGACATATGAAGCAGAAAATGAAGAGCACCATACTTATGATGTTAGAAGACTACCTCTGCCTAGGCTTTTTTCTGCATTACCAGACCCATCGTTGCACTGGCGATTCATTGATATCAGCGCAAATTCTTTATCTGCCTTTGTTAAAGAACCTTTACCACGGGGATACAACGATCAACTAAGAATGTTTTGCATAGTCTTTAATTTAAGAAACTAAGAATCAATAGGTAAAATCTTATCTGTAGATTGCTTACATTTACAGTACTTAGTAGCCTTTTTTGCTTGTTTGAATAGTGTTGATGATTTGCTTCCAAATCAGAACAACAAAACCATGTTTGCAAATACTGTCAAGTCTGGTGGATTTTCAGTTGATTTTGTATTCAGCAAAAGAAAAACAAAAGATATCTCTTTAACAGCAAACATTGATTTAAAGCTTGAAGATTTTGGCTTGGAAGAAGTAAAGCAAACTTACCAGCCCATGTTTCTAGATCCTGGGAGAAAAAGCATGTTCACTGCTGCAATTTGTTTAGATACAACCAACCATCAAATAAGACGCTGCTCAACAGCAGAGTATTATCACATTACCGGATCGACAAAGTACATTAAACAGCTAGAAAAGCTTAAGGTTCAAAAGGGCATAAAAGAAATTGAAAACAGTATACCCTCTTCTAAAACAGCTGAATGCGTTGCTTATCTCCTCTATATTAAATACATTCTTACCCATGCTGGTGTCTTATTCGCATTTTATGATTACAAAACAGCAAAGGATCACTTTTACTTGTATCAAGGCAAACAGAGAGCGGCAGAAGAAACGGTGAACATGCTTGCACATGGAGGTACCAAGTATAATAAGAGAAAGAAGAGACACAGGAAGAAAAAAAGAAGCAAGAAGCAAAAACTGATGGCAAATCCAAAAGAAAAAAAGAACCCAGTTGCCAAAAATAGGTATGTAATCAATTTTAGCTTTGATATTCAAGTCTTATCTAATTATTATTTTAAAAAAGCCAAAACTGGAAGCCCGTAAAGTTCCAAATGGAAAGAGAGAAAGTACCCCTTGTAGTCTTTGGTGCGAGAATGTTTGGCAAAGACTCGATAAAGCTGAAGGGAAACAGATTGGCGTCACTGGTGTTTTTTTGGCGAGCGTTAAAAAGAAGAGAAGCAGCTAAAGATCTCATCGCAGTTATAATTGATGAATGCAAGACTTTCAAAGTGTGCAATGCGTGTAATAATGATCCCCTCACAAGTATGTTCGGCTTGAAGAGTCGTAATGTCCAGGTCTGCAATTTCTGCAAGGCATTATGGCAACGAGGTATCAACGCTTGCAAGGATGCGCTGCCCATTTCCCTTTCGGTTTGGGATGGAAGAGGTCAACCTTTCAAGCATAGCAGAAACTAAGTGTTTTTTAATCGCCGTAATGAACACGGTTTCCCTTTCGGGATAAAAATCATTACTTGTAGCTAGCCAGTTATAAAATTGTACATGTTCAACACAGGAGCAATTTGATGCAGGTTTTGTTCCCTCTGCCAAGTCAATTAGATTCTTAATGGTTAGCATCTTTCCATTAACGCATAGGGTCTAGTTGATGTCGTAAGCGTAAGTTTAACCCTATGTGAGGATGCAGAGAGTCTTTCTATACCTTTTCTTTTGCTGTAGTTTACATTCATAAGCATTGGATACTTGTCAAATGCTAATATATTTATCTAATATTCTATATTTCAGGTTAGATGCTATCGCTAAGAATGTCTTATCTAGTCTGTTTTCCCTTGATTTGCTTGCCTGCGACGGATGAAGAGCCTGCTTAGCAGTCTGCTCGCGAAACAGAGGATCACTGGCTCGTTTCAAGAGTGTTCTGCGGTATTTTTATGCTGAATTTACCCTATGCTATTTTTCCGGTCGAATTCTTTATGGGTTTGCTTCTAGAGCCATGACTATCTTTTCGCAAGTTCTACTGGGCAATGTTTGCACATTTTCTCTTCTATAAAATAATCATTTCCGATGTAGTATAATTCATTATCTATAAATATTTCAAACCTTAGCTATATGTTTGTTTATTGGATGTTAAGCGAAATAAAAAGCCAAAAATACTGTATGATAGAAGCCTGAGATTGTTCAGTTCATCAATCAATGTAGAGAAATAAAAATTCTCATACAAATAAAAGCTTTGACTTACACGTAACTTATACAATAACACTTGAATATGCTGCTCTTAATTTTGTACATACTCCTTTTTATTTCTTTGAATGAATATCAATCTATGACAATTAGACAAAAACACAGTTACATATTTAGACGAAATTATTGAAATGGGAAAGAAGCGGTAAGTATTATTTCAAATTGGTCTCTTTGTAAACATCCACTCCAGTACGGTGTAGCGTGCTTAACTCAACCTAAGCAATCCTGTGTAGTGACAGTTTTGCATGCTTCGCTAATGCGAGTGGTTAGCTTATCACCTTTTTCGAGCGGGTTTCGTCTAATATTTTTCTTGATTCTAGACCAGTACTCCTCAATAGCATTCAGAAAGGGAGAATATGATGACATAAATAGTGGTTTGTGTCCTCGAGCGTTTATAGCATCTACAACAATGTATTTTGCAGTTATCCATGACAATAAAATACCCTTTCATGTCATTTCGATCCATCACATCTATAATTGACTCCATAAACTTTACAATATGATACGCAGTTGTGCCTTTTTTGAGACGCTTGGATTTCTAATTTAGCATCTCTGTTTTTCTTTTCTTTGAGCTGCGCTTATCCTGACGATATTCATTTTCAAGCTGTACAACTTCGTGTTTCTTTAATGGTTCAACTTTAGAAAAACCAATGATACTGATGTCTATACATTTTTGATTATGAACCCTAACTTTTCCTGGCCCACCAGCTTTCGAACAAGCTCGATCTATCATCATCTGTGAATGAAAACCCGCTTCATCTACAAAAACACAGTTTTTCGGAAAATCAATGCTTGCTGCTTTCCACACAGCTACTCTATGATGAAGAAGATCTACAGTTCTTGGCGAATTTCTTTCTAGTATATATATGCTTGCCTGTTTCAAACTTATTTCTTCCAAATATGGGTACAAAGGCTCGAAATAGCTATCTCACCTACATCTGAAAAGTGCTCCAAATCTCTGATCTGGCTTCCTCAAGAACAATGGACAGGTTTTTGTCAAGAACAACCAGGAATTCAGTATGTTTCTGAAAAAGTTTTTTAGGCTTGGACGCTTTTGGTTTTGGAGTTGTGTCTGGAAGCACGGACCGGTCCCCACTGTTGAACTCATCCAATAGCCTGTACGCGTTGGAACGAGATATACCGGGCACCGCAACAGCTTTTGGAACCACTTCAAGAATTTAAAGTTCAGAAAGGGGGCAAGCAATTCCAGGTGCGACGTCACTTTTTTTCTCTTTTTTTTTCTATTAAATTTTTAACATTCAAGCGCGTTTCTTCGTCCTTTCTTTGTTTTTGAATTAATGGAAGAGTCAAGCACAAGACAAAGTTCAAAATTATCCCTAGGTTCTTCACCTTCAATATTAAGCGGCGAAGACCAGCTTGAACTTGATGGACCCCTTACACCAATTGAAGCAATGGACGATGATGAAGATGACTTGTCTGCACTCAATAGCATTCTACAGACAGGTTCACCTGGTTCTTTATCAAATGAAGAAGTAATAGACGATGATGAAGACGGCGACGATGAGAAAATGTCTTCAGAAAGAGAAGACGATTCTGCTTCTTCACTTTCCTCTGCACTCGATGATTTCCCACTGTCAAGGTCAGCATCACCTGTTGCAGAAGAAGAAAAAGAACAAGTGACAAGGAAACGCAGAAAGGAAGAAACTGAAAAAGATGAAAAGGAAGAAGAAAATATACTTGTGAAAAAGATCAAAAAGGAAGAGCCGGAGAATAGCTCCTTGAGTAGTATCGGTGACAATAATGATATGGGTAGCAAAAAGAGAAAACGCTATGAGCCAGATACAAAGACAAGGAGAAGACAAGGCAGACAAAAGGAAGAGGAGAATGGTGAGTCAAGTCAGAAAGAAGAGGATGAAGATCATGTAAAAGAGCCTCGCAAAATGAGAAAGGCGGAAGAAAAGAATCAAGAAGAAGACGAAAAGGAAGAGGAGAAGGATGATGAAAAAGAAAATGGCAAAGAAGAAGAAGAGAAAGAAAAGAGTGAAAATGAAATAACAGGTAAAGCAAGATAGAAACAAGATAGAAACAAAAATCATGACTTGTAGTACATATAGAAAATGATGAAGATTATCAACAACGACACAAAGAAGCACTTGATGCACTTACACACATTGAAGTTGAATTCGCCAGATTAAGGGATAGGTAAATATAAAAGTGTGTAACGAAAGGGATTATGAAATAACATAAAGTATAGAATGTATCAAGAAAAGATGTCAGAACTAAACGAGGAAGCGATTATGATTGCGAATGGCACACATCCAGAATTAATATCATTAATGGCAGAAATTGAAGAAAAGAAAGGAAAGAGAATCAATAGCGCAGAGGCATGGCGTAGACATCAATATGCAAACTTTAAGAGACAGTATGAAGGATTTGAGTACCAAGCGAATATTCATTTTATAGTAAGTATGCGTAGATTGTATACAAGATTAAAATATGAATGCATATTTTTATATAGTCACAAAAGAACGCGTTAAGACGTAATCTGCTAAGCAGTATTCATGACAAGAAATGGAGCATTGAGAATGAACGTAAAAAGTTGAATGATCTATCGATGGGTAAGTCAAAAGGGTGTATTTTTTTAATTGTCTGCTAATGAAAATGAGAAATAGATAAACCTCAGTATGATGGACGTGAATTGATCATTCAAAAGAGAGAGCAAAGAGATGAAACGAATGAATTGATAGACATAAAAGAAACAATTGGATTTCCTATGGCACCAAACCCGACTGGACTTAATGCTCAAGATATTGATGAAGATTTGAGAATAATGGGTATTCATCCTACATAAAAATTGATACACATATTGGCATTTATACATCATTATACCCCCCCCCCTTTTTTTTTTTCAATAATTCTTTTTATATATCTCTTTATTCGCGCTCTCTCTCTCTCTTTTACTATCATTGTTATTCGATCCCACCCCCTTTTTTTTATGATTGCTTGTCAACTTTTTTTTGTACCATATTGTCATTAGAAATATTACACGTGCAAGCTTATAAAAAAGAGAAAAAAAAGTTTTTATACTTTCTTTCTTTCTTTCTTTTATCTTTCTGCTCTCTTTTTTTAAAAAAATAATATATAGATTTCTAGTCTTTTTTTTTCTCCTCTTCTATTCTTTCTTATGATATGGCAAAAAGCTCATATGTATTTACTTTACCCGAGGTATCATTAGACAAGGATGATACATTCTCAAGAGATTTGTTACGTCAATTTGATAAAAAAAGATCTCGACTTCATTTTGAATTAGGCTTATTGTCAGAGGTAGTTGAACGTGTATTCATCCAATTTTAGTAATTTGACATTTTGAAATTTTAAAAAGGAACCTTCACCGGAATCATCGACAATCGAAGAACAAGAGCAAGAACAAGAACAACCATCAGAAATAGGAGAACAGACATCATCAATAAGAGAAATACACGAGGAACAAAGTAGATCTTCAGCAAGTGATTTATTACGTAGATCATCCGCTTTTTTAAGATCTAAATTTGATTCTTTTAAAAGAGCAAATAGTAGTAATAGTCATCTAGGATCAAAAAGATCCACTGATTCATCTTTACAACAACAACAACAACGTCTTCCCACTAAACTAATCATGAAGACAACCATTGCCATTCAATCATCATCTTCTCAACAACAACAACAAGTGAGAACACCCTTTATACCTCCTACAATTACCCAATATCCTCCAAAACCACTAGTTTATTCACCTGTAGAGCCTATTTATGATCAAGCACAACAATCACAACACACCACTAAACAATTATTTCATCGTCTATCTATGCCACTCATCAAAGCATATCATCATTCTGAACCACATCCTAATAGACCGACTAGAAGACGATCCGAACCAGACAATCACAATAAATACAAAAAGAAATAATAGATGCCATTATTACTCCTCTTTACTCTCTCTCCTCTAATTGACAAAATACCAGCCACACCTTTTATGCTTTTTCATTTTATGATTATTATATAAATAAAAGAAAGACCTTTTTCTTTTTTATGTTCCAAAAATTGACCAGCAAAACTAATAAGTAGAGCTTCACTGGTACTAGATGTATATTTTGGGTTCGGCGGTTACTCATCAGTTGGTACCTCACTTGAGTAAGCAGTTCCCCTTGTAGAAGGACAAGGAAAAAAAAAAAGAAATTGACACAAAAAATTCTTTTATAAAAATGTGACTTGTTCTTTTCTTTTCTCCTACCTTCTTAATAAAACAGTAATGAAATGAATTCTACACTGTACAAAAAGATAAGTCCGTTTTGAATGTGTGTCTTTAAGCAATTTTTAAAAAAAGATCGTTTGTTATGACTCAACAAGATGCATTGAAGTCAAAAGCATCAAACTACTTTAATCACTTGAAAACCTTCGGTCCAAAAGCGTTAGAGATGCAGGCGTCATTAAGACTCTTGTGTTTGCCAATGGAAATGGTGTGGGTCGCTTTGAGCGAACTTTATCACATTTTCTTTAATGTCTTAAATTATATAATACTATAGTCCCTTTTAGGAGCCCACATCACAGTTATGCCAGCTGGACCATAAGCCACCCCCTTCAAGTCTAAAAAAAACACCCGACGATAGGATATTTATGGAAACATTGGTAAGAAGGTTTGAAAAAAAAGGGAGGAGGACAGAATCTGCAATGATCTGTATACATGCAATCCTGCATTGGATATGCGGAGTCTGAAGGAGGATAAATGTTGTCTATTGTTGTTGTATAGTGTACTCATTGTTGTGCTCCATTCATAGTTTTTCCACGTCGTAACATATGCTTATGGTCAATACTGGGCGCTCATACCACTGGTTTGATGTGGTATCCTCGTGAAAGAGAAGCCTTTATGAATTGTACTTTTAGAAAAAAAGATCCGTGCTGACTACAAGATACAACTTGGTCAGGTTACATCTTGTAATCAGACGGGACCAAGGGGGGACAACTTTTAGGGACTGAAGAAAGTTTAAATATACCTATTAGACTAAGTTACTATGACTTTCTCATAAACTGAAAAAGTAGATGAAAGGTTGCCAGTTAATTGCTTTATTTGGTGTTGTAATTCCCATTCATGGAAAGGGATATTCAATCAGCATTTCGAAAATCTTGATATGTGGAATTTTAAATTACGACAAATTAACAAGGAAAAAAAAAAACTGTAATACGCTTTTTCTTTCTGTTCTTTTTCTCTTTCTCTCTTTTTTTTTTTTTCTTCTTTCTTTTGTAATAAATAAACAATGGGCTGCTGCCATTCACTACCACGAAGAGAAGAAAATGGTCGTAGTCAAGGCAAGAATGCATACATGTATAAAAGAGTTCTTACTAAAAAAAAGGCTGGAATATATAGTGAATGAAGCTACTATGCAAGAACAACAACCCACTATGAATGACATCAAAAAACCCGAGACAAGTATGATAAGAGAAGCATCTTCAGCACACTCAAACAACACCAATACAAACCAAGAAAAAGAGTCGATAAAGTCTGTCGACAATTACGATCAAAATTATCCTATACTTGTTCGATTTTCAAACAATGGCCAAGATGTGACAGTACAATTACCCACTGAGCCGCCCTACTTGACAATAGCTCAACTTCGAAAACAGATGTTGCCTCACTTTAATGGACAACTAAATCAGATCAAATTCATTTATCTTGGACGTGTGCTATCTGATCAGTTCATCATTGTGCCTTCTGGCACAAGTATAGTCAAGAATAAATCAACTGTCATTCAAATGCAGCAAGAATGTGTTATACATGCCATGGTCACAAAGCGATCATAGTCATTTATATATTCCCTTTTATTTATTCTTCACCTATACGAGTTGCATCTCATGGAAGTCGTCTGGAACTGCCTCTAATTCTTCGATTCCTGCTATTTCCTTGTATTTTTCTAAATCTGTTATTTTTAAACAAAAAAAAATATGAATTAAATAGGTTCACACACACGCTCTCACTCTCACTCTCACTCTCATGCATACCCATTCACACACGTACACGCACACGCACACACATTTCACTCTTACTACGCATTCATATATACACCCATATACACCCTTCCTCTTTTTTTTATAAATGTATTTACCTGCTGGTTTTCGCTTGGTAATTAAGTATTCTGTTATCTTTTCTGGATGCAACTTTTCTTCTTTATTGAACTTCAGTCGAATCTGAGCTCGTGATCGATTTGGCATTGCTTTCGATATAGTTTCAAAATCAGTACCAAATTGTGAAAGTAAATCATAAAATGTCTCTGTTTCAGCGGCTGACCATCGACTTGAGGGTTGCCTTTTACCATAAGTATGACTGTTGACCTTCCTTGTCATGGCTGATTCTTCAACAATTTCCATATCTCCTTCATAGATCTCGCCTCCTGCTTGGGATCGTTCGACTGTAAGTGATTCGGTATCGAGGACAATCTGACCATTCACTATTCTCACTTGAGGTGCAGTTGATCTATAAATGTATATAAGAATATGATCTGTTGGAATTTGATATAACTTACGTTTCTTTCAACACAGATTGTGCCTTTTCTTCTCTCAGTCTCTTTTCCTCTGCTCTTCGCTCCTCTTCAGCCCTCCTCTTTTTTTCAGCTTCTTCCTCTTGTTTTCTCTTAAACTCCTCCAATTTCTCCGGTGATAATTGTTTGGCTTCTTCTAATTTTTGAATTTCTTCAAACCGCTTCATTTCCATCTCTTTGAATGCTTTAGATACGACGCCATCAATATCTTTGGTAAAAAAAGACATCGGTTTGTCCAACATCTCGGGTTTTGCGGGGTCCTCTGAGATATCGTCTAGTGTCTTCATGTTTTCTGGTAATCGGAAATCATACGCATCCTTTGTCTTGTTCTTTCTTCTTCCTGGTATCTTTTTGAATTCATCATCTTTATCTTCTGGTTCTGGCATGGCTGAACTTGGTGCACCGATGCTAATAGCTACAGCTGTCGCCTTACTACTACTACTACTGCCAGACTTTTTAGGTTTACTAATACTACTGCTATCCTTATTGCTACTAGTTTTCTTTGGTTTACTACTACTACTGCCACCATCGCTTTTGCTACTAGTCTTCTTTGGTTTACTGATTGGTGTAGTCTTTGGCTTCTTTGTCCTAGGTTCAAAAAAATCACTAGCATCTGCTTCCTTGGCTTTCTCCTTTCCTTTCTTCTGAGCTAATCGTTTAGGTCGTGTTGATGTAGAAGAAGACGAAGGCTCTTCAGATGGTACTTGTTCTTCAGATAATATATCTACCATAATTTCTTCTGATGGCACCTGTTCTTCTACCGTCATTTGTTCTGACATAGGATGATCTTCAGATAACATAGCTGATGTGTCAATACTTGGTGGTGAATGCTTGATTGACGCCTCTTCAGATGCAAGTCTGCTCTCAATCTGATTATCTGGTGTATGTTGTTCGTTTTTGATAGCGATCTCTTCTATACCTGAAGTCTGAAACAAAGACTGATGATTGAAATCAGAAGGCGGTGGGCTCTCATCGTCGTCGTCATCTGGTTCAGCAATCACTCTGGGAATCGGTCGGTTTGGACGGTGACTGTTATGACTGGTGGTAGCAACACTAGGTATAGGTGCTACTGTAGGCGAATCTACAAGTTGCATATTGATCGCCATTTCTTCTTCTGTCAATTCTTCTGCCTTGGCTTCCTTTTTGGAATCATGTTGCGTTGCTTTATTGTCTAGTTGACTTGAAGGAGACGTTGAGGACGATGCTTGACTGGAATCTGCAGTTTTATTATTTGTTGATTGTCTATTTGCACGAGGCTTGCTTTTGAGTGTGGGTCCAAATTTTTTCTTATTTTTGTCTATTGAAATAGAGGAAACCAGGTTACAACACACACACATATATAAAAACAATGAACTTACTAACACCAATCGATGTAAGGGAGGACATAGTTTAATGAATATAAGAAAAAATACAGTAAAACGGTTTTTTTAATAAAAAAAAAAAAGAGAGCATTCGTTTCAAGTTCGAGCCGGACATAAACAAAAGGGAGAGAAATTATGCTACATGTGGTTCTGTGCGTAATTAGAGGAAGAAAACTTGCATCTATGGTACAAAGTTTAATGACAACATACAATAATGATCTCCTTCTTACCTCCAATTTGTGCTTTTAATATCAAGATCTTCTACGTGAACCGTTGGTGTTTGCATGCCCAAGGGAAGCAGAGTGGGTACTTGGTAAAGAGTTCGTGGTGATGGTGATGATGATGACTGATAGTGTAAACGTTGGTTTAAACATTGCTTATACATGTGAGGAGAATTATAAAATGCGTCATTGTAAGTAATAGGCTGCGATATAGATTCCTGAGAAAGAGTCTGATCGATCACTTGAAGATCATTGGTGTTTTCCTGTAAGAACTCGTTCAGACAGGCTCTCAGGTCCTCAGGAAGCCCACCGTAATTAAGATTGTTTGCGGCGAGAATGGAGATAACACGTCGAATCATCGCTTTGCTCTCATCTGCTCTATGATCCTTGGTGAGCACACTTTTACAGAATACGGTTGAGGCTTGGTATATGCAGCTAATAAATAATTGACAGACACACCAGTCGAACCGATCAGTGAAGATCTCTGCCATGACGAGTATACGGCTTGCTGCGTCGGCGCAAATCGCATAGGACCGATGTGTGCGGTAGGTCGTTGGGTCTTCCTTGAGATCGAGGGGTATCAAGTTTGTTGACAAGAATACTTTGTGAAGCGCAATCCATTGCATCTGGTAATGTAGCATGAGCAATAAGGCTGACTGTTCTTTTAGCCTTTCGATATCTGTCGTGTCCCTTTGTAATTGACCGTCTGGACGAGGATCGAGATGGTACTCGAGAGGAAGTCGGTCCAGCCAGGTTGCTAAAGCAATCTCAAGTGCCTGCACTTTTTTGATCCAGCGAGGTGGCAGTGTGCCAGAGTAATGATATTGTGTGTGCTGATCTTGGTATTCTTTAGTCATCTGTTGTATTCGTTTGTGAATCTTCATGAGTTCCATCAGATGAACAAAGTATGTGTCTTTGATTCTCGTCCTTTCGTCCAGGTGTGGTAGCTCATTGTTGAGTGTGATCAATTCGTAAAAGTCGATATCATGCACGGTATCATCAACAAGGAATGATCCATTCGAGTAAGTCGATAGAGCCATATCATTATAACAGAGAGTAAGGAATAGTCTGATCCATTGTTTTCTCATCAGCTTGCATGTAGGCAGACCAGATCGACGGTGGTAGCCTAGTTGAACTGTCATGCGGAAAGCGAGATCCAAATAAATGCGTGTGTTGGAGTAATGTTTGAATAGCATGCAAAACATGGCCAAGTTGAGTAATGCCTCGATGGTGGCGGCATCAGGTGAGTCAAAATAGTCCATCAAGGACTGTCGAGCACGCTCATAATAGTAGTAAGAGATGGCATACCCGTCCGGGCAAATTTCTTTACTGTGCCGAACGATGTGTGTAAAGACCATGGCCAGACCAGCATCAATACAGATCTGGTTCCGTTGTGGGTCACCCGACCGATCCCAAAATGTTGACCAATCCGTGGAAAATTTGGGAAAGAGGCAATCCCAGTAGGTTTGACAAGCAAAAGCCAATACGTCAGACGATACTTGTTCAGACAGACGGTCGAGCTCAAGTAAACGACTTTGGTATTTGTCAAAGCACACACCGGGAGATCTACAAAGGGCTAAAGTCCAATATTCGCTTGATGAATCTGTAATGGCTGTAGAGGAAGAAGATAGGGAAGCAGAAGAAGAGAAGGTTGAGTCAAAATCTTCTTCATCTGGCTGCTGTATTGATGAATCTGAGTCAGTAATTAATTTTATCTTTTGCACAGCATCAATGAGTTGTTCCACAGATTTTATATTTGTTTCTAGTCGCATTGAATTATTAGGTTGAAAAGTCAAGGTCCATTGCATAGATGATAAATCGATAGGTATCTTTTGTTGTTCATTCTTTTTCTTGCCCTTATCAAAATGCTTAGAAACTCGGTCTAATTCTTTTGTCATTCTCGCTAATACGGGTGATGTCTTTTCTATCCAAGACTCAATTTCATAAAATGTTATTTGAAGCGATTCCATATCATCCTGTTGCATTTTTTTTGCTTTGGCTGCTGCTTTTGCTTCTGCACTCTTTGCTTTACTCTTTGCCTTCTTTGGTCTCGAAGAACCTGGTTGATAAGGATTATTTTCACTGGCATCAAATAAAAACATGAAAGATTTTTTAAATATATAAAAAAAAAAGGGAAGGAAAGAAAAAGAGAGAATACACACACTTACACTTACACCCAGGTCTGGTCATTGTTGGCTAAACCAATGATAATAGGTAAAATTTTACTTCCGGTTGCCATATTTAACCTTTGTTTCCCTTTTTGGTTTACAAGAAAATCAGGGGAAGAGAGAGTTCTCGGCTGAGAGACAATTTCAATGCTGAGCTTCAAGGTTTATTGATCTCTCTTGACGAGATACATCTTTACTGATTATGCACATTAGTACAAATAGAGTATAAAAAAGCAAAGGTACACATTAAACTCCGCTTAACTGTATTTTTTTTTTAAGAAAAAAAATGACTGCTTAATGCAGAGTAACAGTGACACTTCAGTTCATTACCCAATTGTAATATTTGGGTTTGCTTTACTTTTAATTGCAGAAAGAAAAGAGGAACGCGTACTCACGCACGAGTGGGATAAGCTTGTACTTTTGAATTTGGTTTTCTGTCAAACATCATATACTAAACAGGAAGCAACCGCCGAAAGAGTGGCTTGATATTATAGCTTTGGGAATTCATATTCTTCTATTTCACTGTTTATATTAAAAAGACTACAAGATATTATAGTAAAATAACCCAAATTCAGTTAGAGCCATCTGAGCTTCCAATGAACTTGATCTCTGTTGGGGGACCCTTTCCTTTTTGGGTTTACACAACAGATCAAAGAAGAAAGGGTTGCCAAGACTGGTGTAACTTTAGAACAACTCTCGGCGTCCCTTTACAAAAGATGTCTTTATTCGGTCGATCGTTTTCCCTTGTTTCATCTCTTGAAAGTCTGATGCGGCAAAGTGGCACAAATTACTATTAGCATTTGGCCAACGTGATCTTCCCTTTTTGCATTGGTATGATGAACTTGCTTCTGTGTCACTTTTACACAAAAAGGAAAATGTACGTGCCCCTCTTGGCTTTTCTGTAGTCAATTGATGCCATAGTAACCTTACATTTGAGTGCCGCCATAACTTTTATAAAAAACGTGGTATGAACCGATCTTGTAACAAGATAGTTGACCAGAAATTGTATCGGATTTAAGACGAAGTATAAGTCACACAAAAGACGATTACAGTGCTTATTTTGAGCTATATCTTTATGTGATTGTAGACGATCTTTATATAGTCAAATTGAGAGATAGTGTTGAAAGACATTTCGGAAAGAGAAAAAGGTAGGTTGCACACAGGTAAATTGGAGAAACACAGAAATATTCTATAATGACATTATTTCCTGACCTAAAGAGAAATAAATCCATTGATTCTAGTTTATTTTTCCTAATGTAATTGAATTTTCTGATGGTATAAGATTCAATGATGTCGTATTTGATCATGTCTAATACTAGTCTTTATATGTGAGATCACATTTGACTTTATTACTTGCACCTTAATTAGTACTCCGACTTCTTTTAAAGCAACCTAATTTCCTTTAGCTATGAGTTCTTCCTCTTACTTTTAATAAAGAATAAAACAGAGACTCATCGCCTCTTTGCTTTTATTCTTACACATTTTATGCGAGTATTAACAGCATGCACAGTTACAGTTAATACCTCAAATGGTACAGCAGCTAAAGAGGAAAAGATCCAAGGTATATAATGAAATTAAGCACTAGTGTCTCAGTTTTATTGCTATTTCAATCATATATGCATATATATAAGCTTTGTTGTTTTAAATACGCAATTTGATTCCCAAGTGACGATGGAACCATTGCATCCTTGTTATTTTATTAAAAGATGCATTGAGAATCGATTATAAAGCAATCACACACAAAAATCCTGCGTCCGAAGCTAAATCCATTTTGGTTTATTGGCTGGTATGGTAACAAGATCTGTATCAAACAGTTCTATAAATTGCTCGTTTAACAATCTCACTTTGGGCCCAGCATATCTACGATATTCTTCAAAAATTGAAGTCAAATTCCACTTTTGCAACTTTCTTAGGCATCCTACAATAGTGCCTGAAAAGAAATTAGTTCACTACTTTATCGGTGAGTTTTTTTTTTTTTTTTTACCAGTTCGATGTCTTCCAAGATTACACATGATCATCATGGGATAATTTGCAGGATTTAGTATTAAATCAAGTGCTTCTAAAACTGCTTCTTCCGTGATTGGATCCCAAGCGTTTACAGAAGAGACTACACCGAGATGATGTAACTGTATGCCTTGGTCGTCAATAAAATCTAGGCTATAATCATTAGGTCAATTGAATGTGTTGCTCTATACTCTCAGCTTTTTACAATCTCTGATTAGGCTCTTCCAACGCAAGCCATGCTATTGTCTTTAGGCCTAATTTTTCTAGAAACGGAAAATTGAGCTCATTAGGCTGGCCTGAGCGGTATAGATCCTCTTCAATCATTCCAAAGTTCTAGAGAGAAAGGCAGATTAATAAAGAAAGAACATGCTTACTATTAATGTAGATTATACCACAGGTGGAATGAAATGTTGTGAACTCATATTGTTTAAAAAAGTAAAGAAAGAAAAACCGCGTTTATGCTATTTCTTTCTCTTTGTAAAAGGTCACGTGCAAGCGCTCATTCAAGCCCAATCTCTTTGAATCTCAGCACTCAGAAAAAATTTCCAAACCTCCAAGCTTATAACTGTACTTTCTTTCTTTCTTAAAAAGGCTTTCCCTTCGTGTTGACATAAATGTCAGCATACACCATTTATGAAGAGCTCTTTCCACCTCAAACTGTCGAACAAGTTGAGACATGTCACTTTACTTCACCTGACGCGATTAATCTTATAGTTGCGAAAGCCTCATTATTACAAATCTATCAGTTTGTAGAATACGTACCCAATGCAGAAGAAGAGGACGAAGTGTTATCTGATAATGAATTAGCAAAAGAAAGACTTAATGATACAGAAGATAGGGTAATGACATATTCTATTTTATTATTGTATACTTATATACCTATAAACAGAACTTGACATATCCAAAATTAAAACCGTTGAAGAAAGATGCTGTAGTGGACTCAACGTCAGGAAGACTCGAGCTGGTTGCACAATTCAACCTGCACGGTGTTATATCTACAATGGGTACAGTTCGAACAAACTCTTCTCGTGGTAAAGAAGGATGTGATAGCTTGCTGCTAGGATTCAGCGATGCCAAGGTAAGCTATTTATATCTCTTGTTCATGTTCATCTTGATCAAACACATATATTGTGTGTAGATGTCTTTATTGGAGTGGTCTTCAGCAACAAATTCGATTGTTACCGTGTCAATCCATTATTATGAAAGAGATGAGTTCAAGGTATGTGTTTCTGAATAGTGCTTCATGAACGCACAATTAATTATACGAGTGTAGAAAGAGTTCCTGGCAAATCCAAATCCGTCATCTATACATATCGACCCTCAACAGCGATGCGCAATTTTGAATTTTTATGATAACAAGTTGGCAGTATTACCTTTTCGACAAACTGACAAACTTGATGAACGTCCAGGAGATGCGGATGAAGATGAGGAGTAAGACACACATTACAGCAAAACATTTCTCAGTTATTGATGCATTCATCTGTATATAGAAAATGGCCTTATCAATCAAGCTTTGTTATTGACCTGTCAACACTAGATTCCCGTATAAAGAATATCATTGATATGTCATTTCTATCAGATTATTATGAACCTACATTGGCAATCCTGTTTCAACCTGAACAGACATGGACAGGGTAAGGATTACATATACTTATAGACATGATGTACTGACCTCATCCCTTAGACGACTCGCCAACAACAAAGATACAGTATCGCTTGTCGTCATCTCTCTTGATTTAACAGCAAAGGTTTATCCAATCATTTATTCTATTGACAAATTACCTTATGATTGCCTTAAACTTGTGCCTATGCCCAAACCAGTAACAGGCATGCTCGTGATCGCTGCTAATTCCTTGCTACACGTCTCTCAAGGTTCACCTGGTGTGGGTGTTGCTGTGAACGGATACACAAAAAAGACGACTGATTTCCCTGGTATGCTTTACGAGCCCGAACTTATCAATCTAGGATTTTCCCTGGAAGGCGCAAAGGCATTGACCTTTGGAGGAGATCGCTGTTTGATATTCATGCAGAATGGGAACTGGGCTCTAGTTCAATTCAAAATGGATGGCAGCAAGGTGGTAGGTATGGATATCGTAGAGATCAAGCATACTATACCTTTGATGGTCAAGAAGCCTCATCAGTTTGATACTCCTCCTTTGTTGGCAACAGTACCTTCCTGTATTACCAATGTCAAACAGAACGAATACTTCTTTTTGGGAAGTCGAGTAGGCGACTCTTTGCTCATCAAATACTGTCCAGAACTCATGAACAGCACATCTTTGCGCAATGATCCTCAGCATGTATTCCGTGTATGCGATACATTATTAAACACTGGACCTATTGTAGATATGGCAGTGGGCGATGTTCAAAGCCATGAAAAACCTCAGCGTGAAGACAACAATGATGGCACCTTACCAGAACTCGAATTAGTGACAGCATCTGGTCATGGCAAAAACGGTGCGCTATGTGTCTTCCAGCGACATATATACCCAGAGACGTCCTTTTCGTTTCATCAGTTTGATAGTCAGGCCATCTGGTCTATCAAATGTCGAAAGGAGCAACCTTACGATGTTCAAAAAGCGGCAAAAGAGGAACACAGTCGATGGGAACGTACCAAAGATGATGACACCTTTGACCGACTATTGTTTATCAGTAAATCCAAGAGCACGCTCGTCTTGTCTGCCGGCGATGAATTACAAGAACTTGTTGGGACTGGATTTTATACACGTGGGCCTACAGTCGCAGTCAGCACCTTGTTTGATTCAACGCGTATTGTACAAGTGTATGCAACTGGCGTGATGATGTTGACTCCAGAGGGCAAGAGGGTTCAGACGGAATCTATTCGAGGCGCTAAAATTATCGAAGCTAGCATACGTGATCCCTACATCATTTTAACGCTTGATAATAATAAAATATTGGCTTTACAAGGTGATGCTTCAACAAAAGACATTATTCGTATTCAGTTACCGAATCATATAAAAGTAAGTTCCCTTCTTCCACATATTTCTATCTTGTTCGTTCCAACTCAATATTCTGAAACTTTATTTGTTTCCTTTTCTTTAATAAAGGATATTGGAGCTTCTTTATCGGGCATTTTTGCAGATACATCTGGATTATTCCTTAGTATATCAGAAAAGGTCAAGGTAATAGAAGCTGCTAAAGCCGCCGCGCTTCAAGCAGCAGAATCCAAGGCTCAACAACAAAAGAAACGAAAGGCAGAAGAAGAACATGTGTCGATGAAAAAGAAGATGAGCAAAACGGCAGGCACCTATGAATTCGACGAGGTCGACATGGATCTTTATGGTGAAGAGATTTTGGATGATGGCGACTCATCTACTGTTGTTAACAACCAAATCAATGAGGAAGCAGCAGATGTGCCTGAAGCGACCGATGAAGAAAAGATTGATGAAATCAATGTTAGTCTTCAAGGTGTAGAGATTAATGAGATGACACGCGTTAGCTTTTGGTGCTTTATCTATACAACAGCAGGGTCTTTCAACATTTACAGCCTTCCTGACTTTAAGGAATGCTTTACGTGTCCCCAGTTCAATATTGCACCTGACCTAATTGTCGACAGTGAACAAGGACAGAAGCCAAAGATGAATGCTGGTAATATTCAAGAGATTTTGATGACAAACATTGGTAAAGAAAGAAAAGATCCGCATCTGGTTGCTCGAACAGATACCAATGACATCGTCATCTACAAGGCATTCAGTTACCTAGATGAATCAGCCACGGATAATGACCGACTGGCTCTTCGATTCTCTCGTGTTCATCATGAGTATGTCTCCAAGAACACTCCTTCAACCACGACAAACAAGAAATCAAAGAAAAGAGGAATCATTGATGCATTTGAAGTTCCAGATGGAGACTTGGAAGAAGAAGAAGAAGACTTGAAAACGTCACGAAAGACAGAAAGAAAGCACCTTCGCAAACTACTTATACCTTTTACAGATGTGGCAGGTTATGCAGGCATCTTCCTTGCCGGTCCTCAACCCGCATGGTTAATGTGTTCATTCAAGAGCTTTGTGCGTGTACATCCTATGAAAACAGAACATGAAATCGTCGGTTTTACACAATTTCATAACGTTAACTGCAAACATGGGTTCATCACCTTAGATTCCAAGGTTTGTATTTCTTGTTTATATGTCAATAGTTATATTAACATATCTCCTTGTATAGTCTGACATCCGTCTATCAAGACTACGTACAGATGGAGTTAACTACGACCTGGATTGGGTTATACAAAAGGTCCCACTAGGACAAACTGTGCACAAGATTCAGTACCATCCCATCATGCGCGTTTATGCCGTCTTGGTGTCTCAGGCTGTACCCGTCCGAATGAAGAATGACGATAATCAATATATCGACGGAAAGGAAACGGACGAAAGAGCACCTGGTGAATTTTTACCAGAACTAAACAAGTTTTCCATGGTGATGGTATCTCCTGTCACATGGGAAATTGTAGATACAGTAGAATTTGAAGAGTTTGAGCAGTGCTTTTCGTTAGAATGTGCCTTGTTGGACTCAAAGCAAACGAGTACAGGAAGAAAATATTATGTCGTGGTAGGCACAGGAAGTCTAAAGGGTGAAGATACGACAATGAAGGGATCTGTAAGTAATAGAAAAAATTAAAAAGTATATATGTATGCTAATAGCTTGTAGATACGCATATTTGATATTATTGAAGTAGTACCTGAACCAGATAATCCACAAACTAATCACAAATTTAAACGTATTCTTACTGAAGATGTAAAGGGTGCAGTAACAGCAATGTGTACAGTAAGTGGCCACTTGACAGCCTGTATTGGCTCTAAAGTGATTGTGTGGAGCTTGGAAGACGATGAACGACTGGTTGGTGTTGCGTTTATTGATGTACAGATATATGTGACAAGCATGAGCTCTATCAAGAACTTTATCTTGATTGGTGATGCGCAAAAGTCGATCTGGTTCTTGGGTTTCCAGCTTGAGCCGGCAAAGCTTTCGTTGCTGGGTAAAGATTATCAATCATTTGATGTTGGCTGTGTAGACTTTATTATTGATGACAAGTCATTGTATCTTGTTGTTGGAGACACAAGCGAGAATATTGATTTGTATCAATACGCACCTTTCAGTAAGGGAACATGTATGATGACAATACCTTCTTTTTAATCAACTATTTTGTATCTATAGATTTACAGTCATTTGGTGGTCAAAAATTAATGCGACGTGGTGATTTCCATGTTGGATCTCAAGTTCAAACGATGGTGAGATTACCACAGATAGAAAAGTCAGATAAAGGACTAGCGTATAGTAGAAGACACTTTTGTTTATGTGGTACATTCAATGGATCCATCTCAGTTATATCACCCATATCAGAAAAGACCTTTAAGCGATTGAATACACTTTATGGTCAGCTTGTCAATAACTTACAACACGTAGCCGGTTTGAACCCAAGAGCATTTAGACTAATTAAGGGGCCTAAACAAAGGATGTCTTCTAACCGTACCAAGGCAGTTCTTGACGGTGATTTGGTATTTTCATTTGCTGGTTTGTCTATAGAAGAACAAAAGGAAACCACAAAACAGATAGGAACAACGGTTACTCGTATCATGGAAGATTTAGTAGATATTGAATGTAGTATAAATCACTTTTAAAAAAATAAAGCCGAATGATTTGTGTGTAACTATTCATACTCCGAATCGAACAGAAAAGTAAACAATTGGGCTTCCTTGACTGAGATCTCTCCTTTTCAATCCACAAAAAAGATACATCATGGTGAGTTGTGCGAAAAGGATATATGTTTAAAGAGAAAGGGGGGAAGACAAAGATTAGAAAGGAAAGATGATGACGAGATGAATAAAGATGGATGGATGGATGAATTTAGGAACAGTAATCATTTATATATAAAAACACAGCATATCAGCAGAAAAATATATAATTAATTAATGATGCATCGATCTCGATTTTATTCATTCACTTTACATTATTCATCACTTCCTTGATCGTCTCGTTTTTTCCTCAATGCTTTATTTTATTACACTAATGGAGACAGTATTGACACATGTATCTATAGGACTCTAAGACTCCCGTCAAACTTGCCAGAGTTACAAAGGTTCTTGGCCGTACCGGCTCTCGTGGTGGTGTTACTCAAGTTCGTGTTGAATTCATGGACGATACCAACCGTTCCATCATTCGTAACGTCAAGGGTCCTGTTCGTGAAAACGATATCCTCTGTCTTTTGGAATCTGAACGTGAAGCTCGTCGTCTCCGTTAAACAACTCAATAAAAAGCCCACGTTTTACAATTACATGTGTATTTATTTATTTAGAGAGAAATGCAGCCATATCAAATTGCGTTTCACCATCCTTCTTGACGACGACTCCTTTTTCAGTGACAATAGCAGATATAAGCTCGCTAGGTGTAACGTCAAAACTAGGATTCCATACGCCAATGCGTTCAGCAGCTGTACGAATAGATGTAGGTTCATTATCTTGAACTCGTACGCCAGATACCGTCACAAGTTCTTCGGCTGGTCTTTGTTCAATCACAATATCTGCGCCACTCTTTGTGTTCAAATCAATAGATGTTGAGGGTGCGGCCACGATGAAGAGAATGCCGTGATATTTGGCAGTGATGGCGAGTTGATAAGTACCAATCTTATTGGCTGTATCTCCGTTGGCAGCTACACGATCAGCGCCAACAACAATCGCTTGTACTTCAGGATTTTGTTTCAGTAAGGCAGAGGCCATGTTGTCACATATTAAAGTGGCTGGAATATTTTCATAGACTAGTTCATAGGCAGTCAAACGAGATCCTTGGTTGTAAGGCCGAGTTTCAGTGCAGTAGGCATGCTTCAGATTTCCGCTGGCATGAAGATCACGAATGATACCCAGAGCAGTACCCCATCCAGCCGTAGCAAGGGAACCCGTATTACAGTGTGTCAACACACAGATATTACCTTTATCTTTTACATTGCTAGTAATGTAATCTGCACCAAATTTACCAATATTCTTGTTATCTTGTACATCATCCACTAACATCTTTTCAGCTGCTTCAATATAGGCGTACACGACATCTGCGGGCTCTTTGGCTTCCTTAGCACTGTCTTGAACTACAGTCAAGAGCTTTGCAGCGGCGTCAAATAAGTTGACAGCGGTAGGTCGAGACGTCTTCAAGTATTCCAAAGATTCTTGAACGAACTGAACAACTTGATCTACTGTAGTAAATTCATCTTTTTCAAAACGAGTATTGATATCAACTGCTAAAGATAAAGCAGCCACGATAGCAATAGCTGGTGCACCTCGAGTCTTCATGGTTTTGATAGCAGAATGTCCGTTTTGGATATTCAATACGGTCTCAAAGATGGTTTCATGAGGCAATACAAGCTGGTTTAATATACGAAGGTCACCTCTAGTATATTGGATAGCCTCAAGTGTCTTTGGTGCTGTGTGCGTGTAAATAAATGATTAGAATTCACTGTTGATGTCACTTCTTTGTGTATGCTTGTTCTTACAACTCATTATTGGAAAGAGAGAAAGAGAGAAAAACGAAAAGGCACAACAAACATTTGTCTTTTCTGCCTTTTTTTTTTGTCAGAGCTGTGACGGTGATCAATAATTCGAAACAGTAACAATCGATCTTGCATTTTATTTGTTCAACAGTTTCAAATTCAGTTGCTGGTTTTCCATGGTAACCATCAAGCTTGAAAAGGTAATAAGTTACTGTTAAATGTCTTGTAATCTTTATTATCGAGAATATGCAGATTTTAATATACAAATTACGCTTTATATGGTTAAGCATCGACCAATTGATGCTTTGATTTTGCCAAGGCAACTAAGCTTTCGAATTCACCAGAGTTACGGCACATCTTGTGGAATACAGATTCAGGATCATTGATTAGCTTTAAAGGACTACAAGTGTAGAGTTAGTTCAACCATATCTTTTTTTTTTTTTCATTGTATGTAATAATTACCTATCAAATTCAACTATCTTTCCTTTATCCAAAACCAATATACGATCATACTCAATCACAGTATGTAAACGATGTGCGATACACAAGATGGTTGAATCAGCAAACTCGACTGAAATCGTCTTTTGAATAGCCTTGTCTGTTTCAAAGTCAACACTAGCAGTTGCTTCATCCATCAACACAATTCGACTACGTTTCAGTAACGCACGAGCCAAGCAGAGCAATTGTCGCTGTCCTTGTGAGAAATTTTTGCCACCTTCTGTAACGGGCGTGTTGAGGTCTTTGAAAGCATTAGAACTAGCTGCCTCTAAGGTAGCATCAGACGTAACCGTATTTGCTCTAGATGCTGCAGACTCTTGAGGCAATAGATGAACACGACGCAAGGCAACAAAGATATCTTCATCTCCAAATTGATCGAATGGATCCATGTTGGATCGAAGGGTACCAGAGAAGAGAGTAGGATCCTGAGGAATGATGGTCAAGTTTGATCGAAGATCTTCTGTACCAAGGTCCTTAATATCTACGCCATCAATGACGATCGATCCTTTGGTAGCTTCAACGAATCTGAAAAAAGACAAGGCCATGGTTGATTTACCACTACCAGTTCTACCGACAACACCGACCTTTTCTTGAGCCTTGATTGAGAACGTAAGACCTCTCAAGACAGGTTCGAGATCAGCAGCGTAACGAACTTCCAAATCCTTTACCTCAATTGCACCATGAGTTGGCCACTACATCACATAAACAATTAGTAAACCTGTATCTTTACGTTGTTTTCTTTGAACTTACGTTAGGCGGTGGTCTGACATCCGTTATAGCTGGAGCTTCTTGTTCGATTTCCATAAACTCGACAACACGTTCGACAGCATTGAATGCCATTTCTAGGTTGGTGTATCGACGAATACCCCAGAACATTTGATCGGTAAACAACAGGACGAAGCTGAGACAGAAACCTGCGATTGAGGCATTCATCTGCTTGATGCTTAACAAGATAATAGTACCCGTTATAAAGTTCACAAGGGCTCCACTGACAGCGTATCGGATACTGACCCAACGGTTAACAAGCCATGTATAATAGAAAGGACGTGAGTTGGCATCAATATACTTGAGCATCTGTTGCATGAACTGGCGGGTTGCACCAAAGGCGCGAATGGTAGTTACACCTACAATTGTTTCTGTAAAATGACTAAAGAGAGGAGAACGAGTTACAGAGTCCATACGCTTGAATTCACGAGAGGCAGAGACAAACATGACACCTATCCAGATGTTAAACAAAGCCACAACGAGCAGAGGAACCACAAAGACAGGTAATACAGTAGAAACAGTAATGATACTAGAAATAATAATAACCCATTGAATGATAAACTCCATAAAATGATTGGGAATAGATGAATCAATTGTTTCAAAGTCTTTTGAGAAACGGTTGAGGATTCGACCAATGGGCGTAGTATCAAAGAAGCGAAGTGGTGCTCTGAAAACACGATGGAGTAGATCAGCATATAGTTTTCTGTTGGCGCCAAGGACACCCCAGAAGAGAACGACGAATCTTAAGGTAAGAACGATAACGTTTGACATAGTGATAAGACAGTATATGCCAAGGAAGAAGTTAACAGAGTCATCGCTATTGTCGCCTTCTGCCGCCCATGTTCTATTGTCACCGATGACAGGTTGATGATTATACGCATAGAACGATTTAGACTGAGATACGTAACTATGGTGCTGCTGAACAATTATGTCGTCATTATGTACAGATTCATAAGTCTGAGTCCATCGCTTGATCCACCAGCTTTCGGTAATATCCAAACCACGTGATCCTAAAATTAAGGCAGCCATGACAAGCCAAAAGAAAGGATTTCCGACCAACTTCATGTAGAGAGTGTAGTATTTAACCTTGACCATACCAGTTGCACGCGTCTCTTCCTCTACCAATGCGCGTGGTTTCTTCTTGTCATCATCATTAGCGGGTGGAAGTGTCTCTTCAATGGCCTTTTCTTCTTCAGCAGCTTCTTCAATAGCACTTTCCTCTTCCTCTTCAAGGTATCCAAGCTCACGCAAGCCATAGGGCGTACCAGCAACATTATAATCAAGGTTAACAATATAAGCGGCGCCCTTTGAACAAAGCTTGACATGGTGAGTGATCAAAATACGAGTACGACCCTTCATCAAGGGACCCAATAGGCATTTTTCATATAAATGCTTTGCGGTATGTGCTAAAATATAGAAAGATATTAACATTCTGCTTACTGTCGCTTTTATATATATATGACTTACCATCAACAGCACTCAATACATCATCCATCAAGACATTTTGTGCTCGAGAATAAACAGCTCTTGCAAGTGATACACGAGCTTTTTGACCACCAGATAAGGTAATACCCTTTTCACCAATTTCTGTCATATCACCGTCTTCCAAAATTTCCAAGTCTTTATTAAGAGCGCATGCATAAAGGGTGTCCTGGTATCTTGATTCAACAAAAGGTAGACCAAAGAGAATATTGTCTCGAATAGACGCGTTCTGAAGCCATGCCGTTTGAGATACATAGGCGACAGCGTATGGCAGTATCCAGTCCTTAGGATCAATATCAGCTGACAAATCGAAGTCGCTAGACACCGTATCAACAATAGGCTGACGAGGACACTTTACGGTTCCTTTAATGGTCACAGCTTCACCGAGCAAGCTAAGCATCAACAGAGTCTTTCCGGAACCAGTTGCACCGGCAATCAAACTGAGTTCATTGTTAGGGAATTCAATATTGAGATCCTTCAGAGTAAATCCTGTGTTGCTTTGTTCCTGGGTAGCATCATCGCTATAACTTGGCTTGGCCCAACCCACAGTTGCATCATACAAACCAAGAGTGATGTCCTTTGTTTGAATGTCCTCTTCAGTAGGATTGTCGATTTCGCCTTCGTCTAAATATGCCTGAATACGTCTCACACTAATTGCAGCCTGTAACCATTCGATAAATACTTCGGGAAGAACATTCAAGGCGAATTTCAATTCATTGAATACGCTGATAGAAGTGAAGGCGATAGGAGCTGTGAGTTCTTTTCCTTCCAATCTAGTGAATGACCAGAAAGATACAAGAGAAACAAGAATAGGCGAACTAGAACAAAATCATGAGTTTTTTTTTTTTCTTTTTTCTGTTAGACATAATCATCAGCACACGTACCCTTGCCATGCGAACGTAAACAAGACATGAGACAGATAAGTAACCGCTAAATGACGAAGTTCAGTCGCTCTTGCTTCCATAATACGTTTTTCCCAGTTAGTCTCCCAAGCAAAGAATTTAATCTGACGAATTCCTTGAAGCACTTCATTCATTAATGAAATACGCTTGTCTCGAGATTCCATCAATTTGTCTTGAGCTTGTGCATACATTTTTGCGTTGTAATGGTTCAAAGGTAAAATGACAATCATCACTAATAGGCCCAAGAAGCATGATTTTCCGAGAAGAGTGTAGAGAAAGTAGATACCAACACCTAATTCAGTAGGAGCTTCCAACACGGCCCACCACCAGGTAGCGAATTCAGATATACGGTTGGTATCGGTACTCATCAAGTTAACGATCGTTCCAATGGATGAACTAATATCTTCTTTCTTTTGTTTGTCATCATCCTTTTTGTCCTTCTTATCATCGCTATCCTCCTCTTCCTCGATCTTGGGAGCATCAATAGCTAAATCTCGTCTACGCAAAGTTTTGCGGTAGATTTCAATATTTAGCATGGACTTGATACGGACTTGCACGACAGAAGCCGCTGTATATCAGAAGCTGTAAGCAATCGGTATGAAGCTAGTTTTGCATTTCTCTCTTACCGTAATACCACACTTGACTAGTGGTGAGACCCACAACAAAGAGCGTTAAAGCCACACCAGTGACCAACAAAAAGCCTTTTCGTAAAGATTCGCTATCTCCTTCACCTTTCATATCCTGGATCAAAAACAATAGTCGATTGATAAAGAAAGCAGGCACGTAATAAAGCATGGACGAAATTATAGCTAGGGTGACGTGAATGATAATCGCGCGACGATTAGCAAGGTACATTCTTCTGACCAATGATTTGCCTTTAGATGCGCCAAAGATATAAAAGAGGTTGTAGCCACGGAAAAGAGGGGGCAACGAAGGAAGATCATCTTCGGTCAACTTTTTACTGTTATAGGCGTATGTTACCAGAGGAGAAACCCAACGAAAGGAAAGGAACGAAAAGATAGAGGCACTTTCAACACCAATAACAGGTCTACCTTCTTCATCTAAAAACCGTGGGCCTTTGTTTGCTGAGCCAGTTGAACAGATAAGATCTGCTCCCAATATGACAGCCAAAACGTTTGGTAACAAGTGGATCAGCGTATCATTAAGATTCAGTACGAGCGCGCTATACAAGTTGTAGATAGCAACACACCAGGCGGCGAAGTAAAAGATAAACAAGTGAACATTCAATATCCATCCCCACTCGTTTGGAAGCTGGTGTCGTCGAGATACGAGTACGAGAACAAAGGCATATAACCAAGCGATAAACTGGACACAGGCCGAAGCCACTTTGATCCAATCATGACTGCTATTATCTTTATCAACCGCTGTGTAAAAGTTGAAGGCTGATAACAGTGCAATGACAAGAGTTGAAAAAGTCAGTCTATTTAAACGGTTGGTATCGTCCGTGACGGGTACTGTCAGATCGCGTTTTGTGTCAAATTGAAGTGGTGAAAGATCCTTTTGTTGTGATTTGTGAAAGTAGATTCGCTGTAACGTTAGTATGAATGCACTGGACGCTGTGACTAGTGCAAGAGCACTCATCGTGCCAATAGCGAATGCACTATCAGACATGTATACAGCAAAGATAAAGAAAAAGGCAGGGGATTACAATAGAGTAAAAAATTTATAAGCAGCCTCTCAACTTACTGCGGCAAGTGGAATAGTGGAACAGTGAATAGGTTACTCATCATGATGACAGCTAAAAATGGGATTTTTTTATTAAAAAGTATCGTCATGTTTGCATCTATCAAATGCTCCGCAGCAGCTAAACTTCAGCCGCAGCAAAACCCTAAACTAAAGCCTTATTGTAATGGCTATTTTTGTTCAAAAAAAAGGTTCTATGGATTTAGGTTACAAATGTGTGTGTGTTCAATTTATCAACTACAGTGACTCCATTCTTAAATTGAGCTTAATTTGGTAGAAACTAAATTTATGAGTTTCGGCAACTTTAGCTTCAAGGGTCTCATTTAGTCTAATTTTTAGCCAATGTCTAAAATTGCTCGATTGTGTTGAGCTCTGGTAAGATAAACACTTCCATATTGATTTGAGATATGAATTGGAGCATTGTCCAGAATAAGATAAAACCTTCATAACTAAGGCTTCTTTGTAATGATGCTAGTTGACTAATTTTCTTGTCAATAATAAAAGAATCACGGGATTTTCCTCTTACTTTTTCACCAGTTACTAGCAGAGTTTAAAGAAACAGCTCCAATTGATAAAATGTGTTGCAGCTTATACTGAAAGAATAATTGTCTAAGCGCTAGGCCATAATCGTTGTATTCGCTTAAACGGGTAGCGCCCTTCTTTAAAAAGACCCCTTCCACTACTTTACCTTATTCATTAGCTTCCGTGACGGAAGATGATGGGCCCAAATTTTGAAAGTAAGATTCGAGATAGATTGAGCTTTCAAACATAAGGGTTTTCTTCTTCGTATACAATGGCTATAACTTCAATATGTTTCCGTAGCCAGATTCATTTAAAAATACTATTAAGGACATATTTTACTTAAAAAGCTTCAATTTAGTTTCTTACAAGTTCAAAAAAAAAAGCATGTTTTTTACCATTAAGAGTAGAACGAATGTATTTTTTATTGGACCTTTTAATGGCTGATGATATGAATCCCGCCAAATCTGTGAGCAAATCGTTGAGATATTCATTGTTAATGATCGGGACAGACAGTCCTCGACAAAGATCACTGATACCATCCAAAAAAACTTTAACGCTTGAGGGTTGTGTCACTGTTATGGCCCAAATAGACAATGCTTATCGTTCCTTGCGGGAAGAAAATGGTGGTGGCAAACGGTACATCGCATATGTTGATAGATGATGGGATTTGGAGCATACTTGTTTTAACTGGTATAATACGGAGATATCTTGACTTCGAGACGTATCTTCATCTGTAAGCATTACTGGTGCACTGCAGATAGACGCTTTACCCGAAAAGATTCTGGTACGGTTTGTTGGTGTAAAAATAATCAGTGGTTGGTTCAATGTTGACTGATACAATGTTCAGATGCATGCTCTGTCTATAAGCCGTACCATTGGGCGTGCTTTCCATTTGCCTTTCTCTATTTTTGAAATGGCATTTCACGCCGATATTACGGCGCCTAGTTCCGGCTGTACCAATTTATAAGAACCCTCACAGAGGCATCTAACTACTGTCCCATTAGTCTCACTTTGGATATTAGGAAACTCTTTAAAAAGTGTCTACAACCAAAAATGCAGGACTCCTTCTCCTATTTTGATATGATTGAAGTGGAGGCTTCACACCCAACAAAGCACATTGGATCAAGATCTAGTTTTGCAACAACTCTGATTCCATCACCAACATGTCCACAAGCCGTTGATATTCACGTTCTTAGATGTAATAGTCGTTTATGGCTCTGCTGATAGGACTTTCATTTGACGGCAATCGACACCCACCATTACACTATCCTTGTTGGCCTTCATATGATATATATTCGATGATATTTACACTGAAATTGCGCCGAGCAAACATCAAACTTTCCTGTTTCAACCACAGGCGCCTTACAGAGCCTCATTCTTTCACCCGTCCTGTGCTCAGTCTTTATTAATTATCTACCAGCGTGCCTTTATGTGCTTCCATCTAGTTCTATTACTAAGCCTGAGCTTCTTTGGTGCCATTTCATAAATTACTTTCTCCACTCTAACGACCTCATCCTCATATGCACGGCAGATCATATTCACACCCTCCTTCAGCGTTGCGAAAAATATAGTTTACTCTACGATTACTGCTGAAATCCCCTCAATGTATGTCGTACTGAACCCTTTTAGTACTAACACTCTTATATCTAGGTGTCCCTTCCCAAACGGACAATTATAATAGTACTAAGTCACTGATTAAGTACGGTGTTGAAAAGGCCAAGCTCACCATGAATGTCCTTTCCGCCGATGGAACCAGCTGTTGTAGATACTCAACGCCTCCAATTGTCAAGCCATCTACGATATGCTTCCCAAAGATAATAGTCAATTGACTAATGACCGCTGGTGGTTGAGCCCCATTTGTATCTGTACTTTGAATTGTCGCATTATCAGTGTAAGACTTCACCAATATTGTGTTGGTCATAACGGAGTGATCAACACTGCCTCTCCAATTTTTTTTTCCTTGTGATTTCCTTAGAATCTTTGAAGTTGATTCCCGTGGTGGATTCAAATAAAGTCCCTTCTTGGCTCTCTCTGGAGGCATCTACTGCTTGTACTTCCGGATCTGGACAGATTAGTTCTATGTTAAAATTGTTGCAGATTCACTAATGATGTTCCCTCGCCTTGTTCGGGTATTTCAGAGCAGTGCAGTTATCAGAATAAATTTCTAGAATGGGGTTCTTGAGCTTCCATAAATGTAGTTGCAGAGCGAAAAGCACTGCTTTTAATTCTTTTAAATTGATTGCTTTTTTTTCTGACCAGTAACCAAAGGCTTCTACCGTTCTTGGACTTACTCTCCAACCGAAATTGGGCAGATAGTCATTTCGGGATGGAGTTTATGTGGCAAATTGACAGATCATTCTTGAGACCAAAATAACTTTTGACGGTTGGAAGAATTGACAAGGCAAAATGATTACCAATTGTTGTTCGATAATCTTGGAGCTTTCGCTAAACCTCGTTGTAAGTGTTATATTCAGATTTATTCATGAAAAGTTCAGCAAGTCCATTTGTTATGAGAGCAATGACAGCTATGTGACATGCTAAATATCACGTGATTATGATCACGTTATGATATTATTATATATAAATTTTTGCATTAAGCTAAAATATATAGGAGGGATGGCCGAGTTGGTCTAAGGCGACACGTTAAGGTCGTGTTCTCTTCGGAGGCGTGGGTTCGAATCCCACTCCCTTCACTTTTAATTTCTGATTTGTTATGTTACACAAGCTGAAAATGAAAAATTTCAGATGCAGCCGGATCAACGTTTCTTCAGTATAGCGATGTAGCACGGTTTTCAAAAAAGAAAAAAAAACTCTAATTACTTTTTAACAAGTGTAGTGTAGCACTAATAACCATAACTGATTCTTTTTGGACTGCGAGATTAAAGTTTCTCCATTTAACGTTTGAACCTTAAACCAAATGAACTTTATATCGACCAACCTTATTTTTAACAATATAAAAAGAGCAATGCTTTTGCTAAAAGCTCAATTCATTCAATAAATCACCTACGATTTGAATCACAATCTTTTCCTTTTTATTTTTATCTTTTATTAACTTCTGAATAATCCAATCAAGTGGATTCAGGGACCTTTTTATCCTTTTTTTATTATTCTTTTTACTTTGTACAACTCAGTCTGATCAACTTTACACGATCTGGTGGTCACACGTCGAACCTTTATTATAACTTTACCTTTTAAACACTTTTGCTACGAACCTCAAGTCTTACAAAAGACTACGAACACACAAACTTCTATTTTTATTACCTTTTACAACACACTCAAACCCAAGGCCTACAAAATTACATCATACAGTTTGACGTGTTTGATGAGATAATAATTATAATAACTCGAGTATAATCTTACAATAGAGCATACATTCTACGTTACATTCCTCTATCGCATCTGATAAGGATAACTTATAATAACGACTATAGTAGCTACTAGTATAACAATAATAATATAAGCATATATATTTTTTTTTGTAGGGGCGTTTTTAGCCAAGGTTTATTTTTTTTAAATAAATAAAATAGCCACTTGAAATCAGTGGTGGACTATTGAAAGACAGAACTACTAAAGAAAATTAACAAATATAAAATTAATGCTTGAAGGATTCCAGGCAACCAATGATAGCCCGAAAAACCTTGGATGGGATAAAAGGATGTCCATTGAAAATAAACATCCAGTGTGCACGCCAGATGCACCAAAAGGCGCAACCGACAATACTTTCATTAGAGAAAGCAGAAAGTTTTTGAGGAGGAAAACGTAAATGAAATATTGCTTGCTCCATAGTATTTACTGTTAAAGCCAATTCACCAAAGAAATGATGCCAAACTCGAGCCCACACTTCGAATTTTTTGGGGCATAACAGGATAAAATGCATTTCATCTTCTACATTTGGAATTTGACAAAATCGGCATTCCGAGGAGAAGGAAGACGCTAGCAATTTATGCATCCTAGACGCACAAGGAAACTTGTGTTGTAACAGACGATACCAGGGAGTCCGAATTTGCAATGGGATCGACAAATTCCAAAATCGACGCCAAGAAGACATTGATCGAGGCATATTGGAAACTTGGCATCCACCAGATTGTTGTAACAGCTGTTGGTGATGCTTGCGAAAATTACGAGGCAGAATAGTATCAGAGTTTGGCTCGAGCCAAGGATGGACTAATATAAGCATATAAAATGTCAGTGACGACAATAATATAAATAGCAGTCATAGATTCTCTACCCAAGTAAACTCTCACTCAAACTTAATTTAATAATATTCAGCTCTCTTAATAATCTAATTCGCAAGTCATCGACTTAATAGCCTTTTTTCAATAACACTAAAGCTGAATACAACACATTTATACCCTTTTTGGTATCTTTTAATATTGGTAACATTATGCATGCATATGCAAGCTTCAATGATTTATCGTTTTTCATTTATCATGCATCATTTATTTTATACTGCATCTTTATCAACATTGAAGTAGTATGAATATCCCATAATATATTTGAAATAGGTGACATCTAAGAATCATCTATCTTCAGATCACAATAACTTCTATTTTATTTGACATCTTAAGCAACAACTGCTTAATAACCTTTTTATTTTACTTTTTACTTTAACTCACAAGCCTTAGCATTATATTGCTCTATATTGATCTTATGTTAAGATCTGTTGGTCACTATAATACCAAATTTTGCTTATAAAGCTTATTTTTAACCTTATTGTTTTGCCAAATACAAAGGTAAGAGACAAAAACTAATAAGGTGAGAATAGAAAAAGGGCAATAAGTCAGTGAGACTGAAATATATGATATCTTTATTTACGATGAATAAAACAATGGTATTTATACTTTTTAACATCTACAATCAATAATGATAATTGGATATCGTAAACGTACCTATAAGCTCCCATCTACGATGGGAATAACTGGGAAGAACCCAACTAATATTAACTATTGGTTCGATGTATGTTCGAGGTGCCTTGTTAATGAGGTGGTACATGATCTGACAACGCCTTGTCAAATAAGAAACTGTTGGCCTGGAAGTTAGAGCACAGACGTTTAATTAAGCATTATAACGCGCTCTAAGAGTAAGCTCGTATATGATAGGTCATATATGGAAGAACTCCTAATCGAATAACGATTACTACAAATATCTATTGATAATGTTGTGATGGTACAACACTTACTACTAACACTTTTCCTCTTATTATCAACCAGTAACAACAGCATTATCGTATTCTACTTTGAATAGGGGCCAATAAGCATAGTCTACACACCAACTTTTCCTCGAATCAAATAATTTTGAAACACATACACAAAATGCGCATGAATATTCTTCAATCTCGTCCAAACAACTGCAAAATGCTTCCGATGACATGCCTTTAAACGCCAAAAATCGACAACAGCACTGTGATATGTCTCAAATAAATAAAGTAGTAATAAAGGGATCATAAGTCGATGATCCTCTATATAACCTCTTTATTGTATATTAAGACGAGAGAGAGTTCATTACTACAAACAGCATCGATTTATATGCAAACAGGATTATTACGCGACCAATGAAAATTGGGCATGTCGTGTTATATGTTAATAACGTGTATTGTGGTCAGTCTCTTTGTATTATTCATTCTTATAGATTTATAGTAAACTCATACGACAACATTAAGTATTCATAGAGTAAATACAAAATGTTCCCAAACGCGTCGGTTAAGCTTACCTGCCCAAGTTGTAATGAATCGTTTTCCAACAGTATCGTATTTTAGCAGTGATATTGATTTATAGAGTATCCAAAGAGCTTATTGTGACTTGTACAGTACCTGTTCAAATGTGCTATAGACAGAACGGTATCACACTAACAATCTGTACTGCAGTGTAGTGCGTATTGTTGTCGTGTATTTATAATTTTTCTTTTTTCTTTACTTTTTATTTTACACTAACATAAGAGGATGCCATTGGAAGTTATTGTTTACTCATTGCTTATTTCCAATTCAAACCATCAACAAATTCTTCAAATAAAGTAGCATTAAACGCACATACTGGCAAAGACCATGTTGTGTTTGTTGAGCATAATGATTCTGTTATCACCCTTGCATCCTTTGACGCAGTTCCCTCCTCTAGATTGTTACAAAGCCTCTGTCTGCTAAGTTGATGATTGGGGACACGAACGTTTCTGAATACCCCCAGCAGTTTTGTGCCTATTGTCTTGAAAGCAGCAGTAATCCATTGAATATAGATCAGCACTTTTGTAAAGAGAATATGCTCTTTTATATTATTCATGTTACTTATTTTGTGTTTATTCTAAGGCCAACACTACATGCACCAGAAAATAGGCTAATGCTACGGGCGGTTCTTCTAGGCACTACCTGTATCGTCACTTTGCAGCTTCACACTACCAAAGCTTCTGCCTAACCTAATACTGTCCAGTTCACCCTCTCTGATATAAAATACGAATTACACGTGAATGATCTTAGTTCTTTGCTGACCAAACTGAAAACATAAAACTAGAATAAATAAATAATAACAACATTTCTTTTTTATCTCTTCTTCTTCCTGAAAAGAAACTGATAAGATTAATTCTTATGTGAATGGGAAAATAGAAGAGGTTCGAATCTTCAAGTGTTTTTGCAAGTAATGACCAATTTTTATACAAAAGAGAGAGTGTCCCTTTTTATTTAATTTAAAGCAATGCAGTATTTATGAAATTTCATAGTTGATATCCCGCTATGATCACATGTGGTAAGGTAGTATCGATCTTCAACTAAATGTAACGTCGATAATGTATGTGTTACACGCCGTAACAAAGCAAACCAATATGACAACTTTATAGAGTCATGCTTAGCGTGGCGCTACACATTCAAAAGTTTTATTAGACGGCATCATAGGTGCTGAGTAGAGGTAGCGCTCGTAAAATAAGTCTAACTTTTGGTACATTCTCTGGTGTATGTAGTTTTTTCTTTATTCTATGGCTATGTTGTCAATTTTTGTTGTCCAACAGCAATACAACTACGAGAATGTGCCTAGCCAATTTTTCTCCACGTCTCTTCTGCGTGGCATCCACAAGACATTAATAAAAGAGCTGGATATCGAAAAAGTCGCAGACCTTGAGTTGGGGATGGAGTAAAAAAAATTCTCAAGGTGTGGCCCAGTCTACACTTAACTGAATGGGTCATGATAAAAATTTATGATCTTACTGTATTTATTTCTTTTTTTTTTTTGTTCATTCAAAAAAAGGATATCCGAAGCGATACTTTGGACGATTTAGATGCACGATTGGCATTGTTGAATTTAGCAAAATTGCAACAGAATACTGCGCAAAGAAATATAGTCCTAGCTGTGGAATCCTTGATTCCTTCAATGAAAGATGCTAACCTGAGGCTACTGTCTGAACACAATATAATTACTTCATACGTTTATCCAACTGTACGATTTTTGGTTGGTCATGATGCTATGACAGTGCCATATTGCGCGAACTTTTTGGTCGACAATGAGGATGCTGTTTTTGACAAACAACCGGATTACATTACCAACATTTATGATCACTATGAATTCTCTCATTCAACGGTTTCTAATAAAAGCAAAATTGAAAACGCTTTGGATCTTAGCAAAATTATCGGCTTTTACCGGCTCGCGCTGTTTGGAAAACAGGCATTGGAAAAACATCGCTTGAATGGGGATATTTTGTTCCAAAGCACTGGCAAATATTAAAGAATCACATCGCTGCCGGAGTAGAAGGAGAAGATGAGTTGGTAAAGGCTCTTTCACGCCACGTTTTGTTTTCAGATAATATTATAGAATAAAGACTTTTTCGAAGTATTATTTCTTCAGATCTTTGAGCGTGTATTTTATATTTTTTATGCTTGTTTCTGGGCTGGGAACATTAAGACTTTAAGCCAATTCAATGTCGTAGGGCGAGTGATCGCCTTATCTTTCCTTTCCATTCTGACAATGGTGTGATTGGAAGACATACTTGTTCCAATCATTATTGTCTCCACTTCAGGTTCTGACGAGGTGACAATATTTTCCGTAGCAGAAAAAATGGTACTGTTGATGACTTGACTATCTCTGAAATTGTTGAATGATTTGTAATAATATCTCTCAAAGGCGTTAGAGTTGTTCGACCAGTTTGTGCGTTTCTTAATTTGGTCAACAGCATGGCCCTTCATTACCGCCCAGATGCTAGCAGCTGCTCTCAATAAATCCGCCTTGTACACATTATTATCAATCTTGGCCCCTTACATGGTTTGATGTATTCACAAGGTGGCGGTTACTAGTTTGATAGGGTGTGCTTGCTCTCATTTCTCCATTTCTGCCAGGAGTAATATATGATCGTCAGGTAAACCATGATGTAAGTTGCTGTACAATCCATAAATTTTGCTAAGGTCTTCACAGGACAATCATCTTCTTTCACGTGCTCTATTGTTTTAATATTTATTACCTTCCATTGACTTTCTTTTGGCTCTCTTGATGTTGAGGATGTTCCAAGTGGTTGTCCGTCTTCCGACGAGGAAAAGACTACGTCTCTATACTGTAGTTTACCAAGGTCCAAGCGAGGTCGCATCTATGATGCGATGTCAGTCCAGACAATTGTTTTCTTTTGTAATCTTCCTAGATCTAAGCCTCATCCTCAGACGTATGTAATTAATTGCAGTATGTCCCAAGTCTCTTGTTTTTCTAAGGCTGGAATCTTCAATTCTGATATTCGTTTGGCTTGGAAAAATGAGACGATTGATAGTTCTTCTGCAATACATCACTTGTATTCATCGATAATATTGAACACGGAGGCTATTGATGGCCTATAAACAGTTAAAGCCGGTGCAGGCAGATGTGCGTATTCATGTAAGAAGCGATATACCGCTTTTGGATTATAAGCTTGTGAAACTATTCCATATTTATAGCAATAATTGGATAAGACTCTCCATCCATGATCATATGCCTTGTGTATCCTTTTTCTTGTCGACTACGTTAAAAGCTTACGTCTTCAATTGTTAATCCTTCTACCATCCTCTTTTGGAAGGTGACATCCATGCGACTAAAGATCATTGGTGATTTAGTTTCATTTGTGAGCGTACTTCATGAGCTTGGAGAAAACTCGAAGCGCAACATTGAGATCAAATGCTAAACTTTGTATCGATATACCACATCTTGATGTAAAAAGGTCAAAGTCTCTGAAGTTTTCGTGTATCAGCATTACTACATATGCGTCTCTCAAATCTATCTTGCACATGCAATCGCTCTTGTCTAATAACTCCCGTAAGACCGGTGTACCCTCCATTTTGAAGTGATTGCATTGAATGTACTAGTTCAAGTTCGTGCAATCCAATAGCGGTCTGCGTTTGTTTGGTTCTTTCACAGTAAAGAATTTCGGTATGCAGCTCTTGCATTGAGATGAGGAACGTCCGATCATGCCTGAATTCAGAAAATTTTCACCGCTTCATCTACTGCTACTTACTCCTCTTTCGTGAAAAAAGTGTATATTCCTCGTATAAAAAGGTTACAACTTTTTGAAGTTTTTCAAAAAAAAAAAAATCATTCAATAAATTTCCAACTGTTTAAATCAATACCCTTTTATTTACTTTTTCTTAATTTTAATCTGAATTACCTAATTAAAAGAAATCCAGAAACACCTTTTCTTTTTATTTACGCTTCGTACAACTTTATATGATCTGGTAGTCACTCAACGCATCCTTACCCAAACTATGGAAAATATAAAAGAAAAATACAATTTTTTTTTTTTGGAGAAGCATTCAAAAAAACATTCGTATTTTGAATCACAATGCCATTCCCATAATTTATTTTTACAAATATTGTTGGCTCAATACGGCAAGATTAATAGTGCCTGTAGTTACTTTATCCATATTCTTTATCTTTATCTTTCCTTCTTAAATTTTCATTTTTTTTTAACTTATTTAAACCTTGTGATTGTCATACAAATAATCGAACAACTAATGAAATTAAACTATTGTTACTGTAGCTCTGTAGCAATGATGAAATGATAGAGTTACCTTTGAAACAACTTCATTATGTCATTCCATTTCAACAGGGCGACTATTTTTGATGAAATCTTTGAAATCGAACCATCAAATGAATTCGTTTTGTCAATACAGAAGAAACTTAAAAAATATAAACAAAGGTCCATCTAAACAAAAAAAGAAATTATTTTAGAATAATATAGATGCTTTTGTAATAATTTATAATTTATTCCTTATTTTTTACATAATTCTCTTCCGTTTATAAAAGAATGTCTTTCGTCATTTTTATTAATTTATTTCTTCCTATTTTTGAATATATTACATCTCATATCTTTACAATTTTATTTTTACTTGATAAAGCTTTACACCTGATAATAAAATTCTATTTGATATTTATAAAAAAATCAGGTGATTGCAAGTTTTTATCGTCAAAACATTTAAATTTATTCTATCAACAAGGTTACCCTAGTCCCTTTACGTTCAAATCTCTACACAGAATTGAATTCTTTTGCATTATATTCACAAAATCACTCCACAGGATGAAAGCAAGCCGATCTATGAAAAGACCTCTGTCTATATAGTAAAGATTTAGAACTACGCTCTTGATAGTACAATGGACTAGTGCTTCTTCTTATTTTCCATATAAAACCAATTTGTACAAATGGTCCAACGCATTTTTGAAATAAAAAACATAGTGTTAGTATCATATCAATTAGCTTACGAAACTTTCTCTCATAAAGGCTTTCACTGAAATTTTTTATTTCTAATATTCAAGGTTTGATTATCACTATCACAATATTATTGTAGCCAAGTTACAACCTTAGTTTACTCCCTTTACTTTTAAGCAGTATAAAAGGCGTTGAACTTTCTACTTTCAGAATCATTCAGTACATCGCCAACTATTGAATCACAGCCTTTTCTTTTATTATTATCTCTATTTTCTCCTGAATTACCCAATCAAGCGAATTTAGGAACCTTTTTATCTTTATTTTTGCTTTTTGCTTTGCACAGCTCAGCCTGATCGGCATTATACGATCTGGTATTCACACAACGAGCACTTTTAGTAACTTTACTTTTTGGTGCTTTTACTATCAATCTCAAGTCTCACCAAGGGTTTTAAACACAAGCTACCTCTTTTTAAATATACTTTAGCAAACAAATTCACACGAATGTATTTAAAACTACACTAAAGTAATAAAAAAGTTCTGAAGCACGCCCTTGGTAATGCAACAAATTACGTAACACAAAATGAAAATCAAAATTTCATATTTTTGCAAAAGCAGTTTTTAATAGAAAGTGGCCTTAGTGTCATTTCAACTTGGTATAAATAGCTATGCTGATTGCTCAGCATTCATCAATTATATTAGTCAATCACTTATTTTCTTGTTCATGTTATAAGCAGGCGCTATTGTTTGTTATAAAAGTACTTGACCTTGCTTTCTTTTTATTTAACAAACTACTCGACTGGCCATTTAATGTAATCTAGTGAACACTCATTCACTTTAGTTACTATTATATCTCCTATTAGTTGTAATCTTTTTTTTTTTTAAATATTTTTGCCTTGGAGCAAATCAAGTGTCTCAATAATCAAATAATACCTGATCCTCTCTTTAGTATTGTCTTAATATATGCATTTTTATTCTTTTGCTCCATTTTGAATATAAACATAGAGTCCAATCTTTTGCTGCAAGGGCAGTCTATTGTATGCTAAGCAAGTTATACCAGTTCATTTTAATCCTAAAGCTTCTGAACACTTCGATACAGGTTGTGATATTTCTATTTTTCTTTACTTTATTCGGAATAAAGTTATATATACAGTTTCTCTGTACCTTTTAACTACTATCTTTATAAATAATAAAGCAAACTCCTTTAAATTTAAAATAACAGCAACAACGTCGGATATTTCGATTTGGAACCAGACCAAGTTTATGAGTAAGCAAGTGAATGAATGAGTGAAGCTTACTCGAGAACAAGATTTCACGTTTAAAAAAGTAACTGAACTTGTATAAATTCGCAATTACCTTTTTGAATAAACAATAATTTGGATCAAGTCTTTGTTATTCAATTCCTCTAAATTCTACTTTACTTTATCTTTTGTTTTTACATTGTTGCTTTCTGGCACGCTCGTTCTGAAGCATTATATCTAAAGGGTCTTTAAGCTCAGTTTATATTTGGTTTTTTATATTTTGGTAGCTCAATATACTTTCTTGATCTATTAAGGTCTGGTCATCGTAAAATTAAAGATCACAATTAAGACAAAGCCTACGCTTTGTCGACGTTTTATACCAACTGCTCTTACTATTAATTAACTCACTAAATCCCAAATTCACTGCCAGCAATAGTGTTAATCTTTTATCATAAATACGTTGCATTTTTTATGCAAAACAGTTTCGCTCACACCATTTCAAGTTCTGTTTAATACTCTTTCATTGCTTTAATTAATCTAGTGCAAGAATAGCTCTCAAAGTCTACAAAAAAAAAAAGACATAGCAAGACTATTGTATTTCATGTCTCAATTGTCTTTTTTGACTGACCAGACTCTTCTTTGCTCACATATGAAGAATAAAATGCAAATATTGACCGATAACTCACTTGTCCGGCATTAAATGATTTTCTCTGCATTGACATTTACAAGTTACTGACCAATAATTCAAAGCCAGCACCGTGTTCTGCTTTTCTGGGTACACTTTTTCTTTTTTCCCTTTTCCCTTTTTTATGAAATAAAGAATGGATTTCTTTTCTCGAGGGTATATTGCTTTAAGAGGAGAACGAGGACAGCCCCAATCTGCAGATGAGACAATTGAAAAGCTTGCTGATTGCTTAGAAACAGCAACATTACTGGAAGATAGACGTGCAGCCGTCCTAAGCTTGAAGGGCTTAGTGAGAGACTGGCCAGAGGTACACAGTCAAAGAACCAAACAAGAAATACGATACTATTGTGCTTAAATATAGGAAGTTGGAAACAAGAGTTTTCCAGGATTAATAAAAGTTTTGCATATTGACTACAAGGATACCGACATTACAAAATCACTTCTCGAAACTATTTCTATTTTGTGTACTGTTCACAACCAGGTAAAATAGAAAAGAAGGTATGAGTGATGCAGTAGTCCTCAACGATGTCTTTGATAGTATGATAAGGATGACAGAGGATTCAAATTTACAGACTACTTTATCGAAGTAAAGTATGAATCTTTATCACGATTCGTTATTAACTTTGGATAGGAATCGCGTAATGTCACTATTCTACTTGATATACTTGAAGAGTTTGACTTTTATGTTCGATACAACACAATCAAACTTTTATCAACATTATTGTCCAATAGAAGTAAACGTATTCAAGAGTGTGTCCTGACTAATCCAATGGGTATCTCTCGTCTTGTCGACCTTTTAGATGATAAACGTGATATTATCAGAAATGGTATATATATATATACATATATAAAAGAAAAGAAAAGAAAAGAAAAGGTTACTTATATATATATATATAAAAGAGGGATTGCTGTTATTGATCGGCTTGACTCGCAATAATACTGAAATTCAAAAGATCGTTACTTTTCAAGCAACATTTGAAAAGCTATTGTTTGTTATTGAGGAGCAGGAAGGGATCTCAGGGGACATCATTGTGCAAGATAGCTTGACATTAATGCAAAACTTGCTGAGATATAATGTATCTGATCAAGTCTACTTTCGTGAAACAAGCTGTATTCAACAAATCCCAGGACTTTTGGGTTATGTAGGTGATGCTGATGCTGATCACGTTCCTTTTTCCTTTGAAGATTGGCCAGAGCAAAAAGTAGCAAACACAGTCCTGGTCTTACAGTTGATCCGTATTTTGACTGAACCTGGCAACAGCAGTACACCTATCAATCAGTCAGTTATGGTTCAAAGCGGTATTCTGTTGCCTATCGTTCAGTTGGCTCTTTGTTCAAATGTTCCATCTATTGTCCGTACAGAAGCCTTGTATGCTATTGCTTATGTTGTAGATGCAAACCGTCAAAACCAGGATACCTTTGCTAGAGTCGTTGTCGCCTGTCCACCTGCTTTAGGGGAAGATGGACAGCCTATTCCAAATGCGGCATCGAGCCTTCCCAGACCTGCTCTGGTTTCCTTAATCTCTATTGCTCTGATGGAGGATCATGGTATGATGTATAGTTATTCTAGTAGAGCAGCTGCAGCTTATGTAGTGTACAGCTGTCTATCAGAGAACCCTGATGCTCAGCTTGTTTTGGCATCTACTTTGAAATTACCCCCAGAGGATAATGCTAACAGCCCATATAATGGTATGAACAATAGAAATAACGTTTTGCAGAAAGGAGGAACTTAGCTTTATTAGATAAACCTCATTCAGCTGGGTCACTGCTTTTAGAAATGATTGAAAATTGGGAACAGTCATTAACTGATCCATATAAAGCTTGGTTTGCTTGCAGTATTTTATCATATGTCATCCGCAATAATGAAAAAGCAAAAGAAATTGCAGGAAATATCGTATTTGGAGATGAGGCAAAGGGAGAGGATCTCATCCCTCTCTTACATCAAATCGTTGCCCAACTGTTAATGGCCATGAAGAACCATATGACGAATCCTCGTATACCCATCGGCTACCTCACTCTATTGTGTACTTGGCTCTATGAAAGCCCCAAGTCTGTTGCCTCATTCTTGTCAGAAAGCACCCATGCTCAATTTGTAAGGTTGCTTTATTGATTATACATCAACTCTGATCTTTTTATTTTGTAGTTGATTCAAGAAATGCTTTCTTCAACAAATGATCCTATCGTTCAAGGATTGATTGCTTACTTACTTGGCATTGTATATCAATTTAATGATGATCCTGATACTCCCTTGGACAGGTATTATTTGACATCTAACAATAATAACAGCAACAATAATAACATATATCAGAACAAAGCTCCAAAGTATATTTTCTAGTCGACTGGATCAAATGAATAGCTTATTGGCTCGTCTTCGTGATAGTTCTGCTATCAAAAATGCACCACAGTATTTGCAAATGTCCGAAGAAGAATCAATGAATAATAACAGCTCTTTACCATCCGTGCTACTTGATAGTATGTTTGTAGACTTTTTTAAATCCAATTATGGTTAGTCCATTTATGTTTGATATATATATAAAAAAAGCTCATTTTCATTTACTGTAGAAAACGTTCAAAAGTCATTAAAGAAGAAGCCTTCGAGTTTCAATAAGATTGAAAGCAGAGAGAGTAAGTTGATTTTTTGGGAGCTGTATTGTATATTGATCATCACCATAGGCTCTCTTACTCCTTCTAGCCCGGTTGCAACTGATGAAACTGTTCAGTCACAAAAGGTTACTATAGATAAACAGACAGCTCAGATAACATCCCTTGAACAGAAAGTGGCAGATTTGCAGGCATTTGTTGAATCATTGGTATACATATAAAAGAAAAAGTTTAGCAAAAAGATCTAACTTCCCCCTTTTTTTTAGACAGTAGAGAATGAACTACTAAAGAAGAATGTAGAATCTCTTACTACCGAGAATACTTTATTGAAAGGGCAAGTGTCAGGATTAGAAAGTCAGTTGAAGGAAAAGGCTGCTGTGGATGAATCAAGTTTAATACATGAATTAAAAGACAAGTTAAATCAGCAGAATACTAAGTTTGAAGAACTCGAGAGAGAGAATGAGGATCTGCTTGTTTTGATGGGTAAGAGGAATGAGAATAAGAACAAAAGGGAATGTAATATACTTATATCATTTAAAGGTGATCAAGATTTGCAAATAAAAAAGTATAAGGATAGATTAAGAGGACTTGGTCAAACAGTATCTGACAGTGAAGAAGAAGAAGAGGAATAAATGTTAATTAGGTCTATCTTGTATAATGTAGTCCTTCTTTTTCCAAAAGCTTGTTGATTCAACTTGTACTCTTTGTGAATTGGTTGAAGGGGCTCGAATACTTGTCATATCAACATGGCTTGAGTTGTCATGATCGGTTATTGTTAACTGAGATGGTAATGATTGCCAATGAACTGTCTATAAGTTGTAATAAGTTTATGAATATCAGATTTATTTTCTTTATTACCTGTGCATGAGTTCCTAATTGAGCAAACTGAGAGAAAGGGATGATAAGTCCACTTGCTTTCCAGCGGTCATACAAAGCTCTCTTTGCTGGATCTCCCAAGATATCATATGCAGCTTTGATCTTGTCAAATTGAGCTAATAAACAAGAGTTATTTATAATGAAATAGTAATAATAATAATAGTAACCTGAATTAGAGTTCTTGTCAGGATGATGTTGTAATGCTAAACGTTTATATTCTGTTCTAATTTGTTCGGACTAATCATATTATATAAACTGACCCCTTATGTAACAATTTTTACTTACTGTACTGGAATCTACACAATTAAGGATAGAGTAGAGATCTTCTTCCTTTTTCAAGTCAAAGATGGATTGCATTGGAAAAAATAATAAAAAAAGTATTACAACACAGCTTTTCTACAAGTAACGTCGCATAATTCAAAAATTTATAATACGGCGGAACGACGTTACTTTCTGGAAATGGCGTATTTCCACTCTCAATTAGTTACTTTGCCGAAAAGGTTAGCCGAGGATCCTGACATTAATATGTTTGAAGTGAACCCTAAAAAAGAAAGAGATACACAAACAAGGATCGACGATTGCTGTATCTTCTACTTAAAGCAGAAAGGTATGAAGCCCAAGGAAGCTGTCGCATCTACCAACGTCAACTATCATACTACACGAGAATGGAAATAATAGGAGAAAGAAGACCCAAGTAGCTTCGTGTTTCACAAGAAAGCAAACCTTGTGCCAACTTGTCCTAAAAGTAAGTTGGACGGCTGCCACAAGGAGCATATAAAGAACTTCTTTGACTACAATTCAAGAGCAACCATCATAGACGCTGTTGAGAATTTGACAAAGAGCTTCTGAGGGGCTTGAGATAAAAAAAAGTCTACATGCACCAGAAAATTCACCAGAAGTTAGACTAATTCTTCGGGCGCTACCTCTACCCGATACCTAAGATGTTCACCAACAAAACTTTTCGTTATACAACTTGACGCTACACATAAGTTTATGAAGTTCTCTTGTTTCTTTTCATGAAGAAGAAGAGAAAAAAGAAATATTGTTATTTCTTTATTTTATGTTGTCAGGTGCTATCAACAGAGATGCAAGATCGACCATGTGTATTTCACATTAATAGACAATCTTAGGTTAGGCAGAGAATTTGATAGTGTGAAGTCGTAAAATGGAATCACAGTTATCGTCCGTAACATTTACCTATTTTCTGGTGCATAGTGTTTTCTCTGATTTTTTTATAGTTTCTTGACTCAGTATCGTCAAGTCAGATGCTATGTATAAAAGTCAAGAGACACATTTGCATGAATAAAGTGATATATGTACACATATAATTTATTAAGACAGGTCATCATCATCAAAATCATCATCAAACGTAGCTATTTCTATTCATGAAAGTAATGAATAATAATAATAATAATAAACTCAAACCCTTACCAGCCATAAAGTCTTGATCTATAATCGATTTTTCCATATGCATCGTATAAAATACTGCGTCACCTTTTTCATCCATATCATTCCATTGATGTTGTGGAGATGAACCTTCGTAATGATCTGAGAAATCAGAAGCAAATTTTGGAATGGATATTGCTGGTGAATCAGGATATATTTTACTTTCTTCTTCTTCTTCTTCTTCTTCATTTCCTTCAGTCATTACAAGATCTTCATTTTTGGCTTATTTTTTAAAAATATAAGTGAATACAATGCATTCAAGACAAAGATGGAAATCAAACCTTCATGATTCCAGCTTGAGTTACTCATTTTTTAATATAAAGAAAGAAAGAAAAAAAAGAGGAAGTTTGTCTATGTCGAGTATTTATTTTACAATAAAAAATAAAAAATATATAATGAATTGAAAATGCATGCTATTATTACACATTAACGTCTGCCACCATAATTGCTGTTGCTGTTATTTCTTCTACCATAGTTGCCACGGTTATTGTTGTTATAGTTATTATTTCCATAGCTATTGTTGGAACGATTGTTGTTATTATAACTATTGCCTCGTCCATAGCTATTTCCTCTATTATAACCACCACCACCGCCACCTCTGACCTCACGATCTTGAAGAGGAGGCAATGACTTGGGAGCACTTAGGGTAATATTGCGAGCTGTCCATCTTCTACCAACTAATAACACTTCACCGTCTTCTGTTACTTCACATCTAGATGATTTGATGTCAAATACAACACCCATAGAGTCTTGTGTCATACGCCATCCCTTAACATCATCGTAGCCTAATTCGGGGTATTCACGAGTGATAATGTTACGAATGTATCCAGGATGCTGGATCGCATAGGATATTTGTGCCAAAAGAGTCGTCTGCCCTTCTTGTGATGTCAATAAAGAACGGCTAGGAACGCCTTGATGATAACCTGTCATGAAGGCTAATGCAGCAGCTACAGCATTAACAGCACCATGCTTTTCAATCAACTGCTTGGCTGGTTCTTCAAAGTAAGGTAACACATCTGGCTTCACTAAATCAATGGACTTGAACGCATCTTCAGTTGTAGCTTCAATGATATCTTCAGGGCGAGGAGCAGAAAGTTGCTCGAATTGAACACCAGTACGCTTGGAGATGTATGACAATAGACCTTCTTCAGCTGGCTTATAGAACGTAACGCACACACCAGAACGTCCGGCACGACCAGTACGTCCAGAACGATGAACATAGGTTTCAGGATCTTTAGGTGGTTGACAGTTGATGACCAGATCGACTTGAGGAATATCGAGACCACGAGCTAATACATCTGTACAGACAATACACTTGTATTTGCCTTCTCTGAACGCTTTCATAGTAGCTTCACGTGATGCTTGAGCAATATCACCATGCAAAACAGCAGCATCTTGCTTGATCTTGTCATGAGCACCCAATTCGTTTGCATCTGCCTTGGTTGCACAAAAAATGACAGTTAATCCACTACGACCATATACATTGACTACATCACCAATAATATCTGCACGGGCGTGGTAGGAAGAAGGCATAGCGATATGACGAATGTTGGTGTTGGTTCTATTCTTTGCATTACCAATCAAATCAATACGTTCATAATCTTCCTTGAGGAAACGTTGAATAGTTTGCATGACAGATTCAGGGACAGTGGCTGAAAATAACAATGTTTGATAGTCACGGGTCTCTTTTTGTTCTTGGATGTTTGATAACAAATTAAACATGTCTTCTTCAAAGCCACGAGCGTCCAGCATTTCGTCTGCTTCATCCAAAATGATAAACTTGAGATCATGCAGCTTCATGTTTCCAAATTTGATATGGTCCAAAATACGTCCAGGTGTACCAACCACAACGTCAACGCCCTCTCTGAACACGCTTGTTTGTTCATTATAGGGAACACCACCATAGACAGGAAGAGTCTTTAAACGATTTCCAGAAACTTGTTCAAAATCACCACAGACTTGCTTAGCCAAATCACGAGTAGGACACAGCACGAGCACACGAGGGGCACGACCACGACGTTCCTTATAGTTTTTATCCAAAGCAAGTCGTTCGACAACTGGAATAGCAAAGGCCAATGTTTTACCTGTTCCTGTACGAGCACGAGCAAGGACGTCCTTGCCATCAAAGATGGTATCAAAAGTAGCTGCTTGAATATCAAAGAGAGACTTGATTCCCTTCTTTTCAAGGTTGTCAATCGTACTTTGAGAGATTCGGAAATTAGAAAGAAGCAAGTGATCAGGAATGTCACCATTTTCTGATCTCTTATCGCTTTCTTCAATCACTTTACGTTTCTTGACATCAGGTTCGGGTGTTGTTCTTTCTGAAGTAACAGGAGTAGTATTTTCACTTGGAGTTGATGCTTGATCATCTCTATCTCTCTTACGAGATCGCTTATCTCTCTTGTCTCTTTTATCAGCACGATCTGAGAAGACAGAGTGAGTGCTATGTTCAAGACAAGATTTGTATGCTCTTTTACCTTCTTTATTTTCTTTTCTTGATGACATGATTAAATAACAGATCTATTATTTTGAATAAAAAAAAAGAGGGAAAATACAAATGAAAAAATGAAAAAAAGTCTTTATAAAAAAAGACAGGCAAACAAGCAGTCACTTTTTACTTGAATGAACGAATCAAAAGTGTGGCAGATAACAATGAAGAAATAAAATACAAAAAATGGGACGATTATCGTTTCCGCTTCTTCATAGGTTGAGCCATAGTATTGATGACAGGTGGTTGTATGGTTGTTGGTGTAGATGATTCTTTTAGATAATACGCATAGCCAGTGGATGGTACATATTTATTATTGTTGTCGTTATTATCATTACTATTGTTATTACTACTATTATTATTGTCATAAGCCGAAGATGCCGAAAGATCATGGATCGAAGGCAATCTTTGAAAGTTTGGATCAATTGTGTGTTGGTTGGACAGAACGGCTCTCAACATGTCTTCGATATTTTTTAACCTTTCTTCAATTGACTCCAAAGCAGCCCTTGTTAGTCCATTTCGCTTATCATCTTGTTGTAAACTAGGGTAAATACAATGGACTGCTGACTTTTGACAGTTTCGGCAAGGTTGCTCTCCATTGCATTTTGTCTTTTTTCTTCGGCATTCAGCACATGCACTCACAATCTTGGCACGTTTCTTTGGAGGTCCAGGGGTTTCTTCAGGCATATAATGCTGTTTCGTTTGTAAAGGAAAGGACAGGAGAAGAAGGGAGGGTGAGATAAAGGGAAAAAAGGGATCTCTTTTTTTAGATGTGGTGGGGGATAATTTATACGGAGTTTCATTGGATAACACGGAATTAAGCCGGCTTGAACAAAAAGGGTACCACAGAGTGGAGCGATCATGTGACCTCTAAAAGAATATTGATATTTCAACTAGGAAAAGAACGAAGGAGTAACATAAAACAGAGAGCAAGAGAGAGGAGATGGTTCATTTCTTCTTTTCAGGAGAGAAAAATGAATAGGATTGGAAGTGATGAGAGCTTAACGGGATTAAATGGTGAAGCCGCTTTAATTGCAAGAGAAAAGCTACAAGAATTACTTAAAGAGTATCATCCTGAGCCTTACATATCGTCCAATCAGTCAGAAAAGTGCTTAAATTATATAAAGAATCAGCTAAAATATCCAACAGTCAATGATCAGTCGATAGTACCTTCTACTACAGTTATTGCTCCACCTTCTTTTCTGACCGCGTGTAAAGATACAGTATTAAAATACACGATTCACGATTATTCTTCATATTCTCTGTACTATCATCCACAGAACGTGCTTACAGATAGGCCCATGGAACAGCTATCTCGTTGGTCTAGTAGCGCACGCGATAATCAGCAATACATCACCATCAAATTTAAAAGACCAGTGATTGCACGTAATTTTTATTATTTATGGGTGTCACACATTCTTGATGTTTTACACTTTAATAGGCTCTATCACTTTTGGAAAATACCATCAAAGTAAAGGGGAAGGGGGGATGACTTAAGGCGTAATATTGATCATCTATCTTAGGTCATGTATGCAACTTGAAGGAATTCAAAGTGTTGGGCGGTTTGGATCTGGAAAGTGATATGCTTGAATTATTTCATGGTGGTATGACAGAGCAAAAAACAAAGAGACGCATTGCATAACCGTATATGCAGGTTTAAAAAACGACACCAAGTCCGAAACATTTGATTTGAAGCATCAGTATAAGAATATGGTACATATAATTAACATAAAGTAGAAATCCGCTTATAGGCAATTAGGTAGTTCCTGTTCAGTATATCAAGATTATCCCTTTAGCAGCTTATGGCTCAAGTTTTAATTATAGCATATGGTACTTGGAAATACGAGGCATAGGTGATAGATCGATTGTAAACAAAGTATTTCAAGAATACAAAGATGTAGGTTGACAGGTACTCAATAGACCCAAAAGCATCCTGACCCACATTTTCAAGTTTAAAGAAGCAGAAACACTACGATTATGTTTGAAATACTTTAGACAAAAGAACATGATGGATGTCTTTCACGTCTTAAAAAATAGAATAGACGTTCACTTGGAACATCCTATCCTCTCCAATTTACATTACCAATTTGTAGCATGTGGGAACTTTGACGATGCTGAAAAAGTAGTAAAGGAGCTGTACGATGCAAATATATTTCAAGCTTACTGCGACAAATCATCTTATAAGGCTCACTGGAAGCATTTGAAGTCTACAGGCGGTAAGCGAAAAGATTATGAACTACAACTCTTTTCTAAATATGCCATCAACAGAACACGGAGTGCCTTGTGGCAGAGGAGGCCACCAAATGTGCATTGACGTAAAAGAAAAAGCTATTTATGTGTTGGGAGGATACGATGGTGGAGAAGATCTGGGTGATTTTTGGTGTTATGACATTGTGAGTAGTTCATGGCACCTTTTGAGTTCAGATACAGAGAGGTAAGAAAGAAAAAAAGAAATATCAACAGCATTATGTTCTAACTGTATCCTGCAAGTGATAAAGGGCCAGGCCCAAGATCTTGCCATAGAATGTGCTACGATCCTCAAACGGACGCACTCTTTGTCCTGGGTCAATATGTGGGTCAAACATTACAATCGTCACCAGTAGAATCAGATTTTTTCATGTATGATCTCAAACAGAACAAATGGATACAGTTGTGTGACCATACAGCAGTAAGTTAAACAATCGGCTTATTTGTCAAAACATAACAGTTTGGATTAGAAACATGGAGGACCAGAGCTAGTATTTGATCACCAAATGTGCATTGATTCTCATGAAGGAAAGATTTATGTATGTGGTGGTAAAGTCATCAATCGTGGTCCCGATGTGCCAGTACACAGTGGATTTTATGCGTACGATATAGCATCAAAAGAATGGGACATCCTAAGGTATATAGAGACGCTACTACATTTTTTCCCCCCTATTTTACTGATGGTTCCATTATAGGCTCGATGATGCAGATACGCACGACGGTTCAGTGACAAACAGAGTGGGGCATTCAATGGTTGTTGATAAAACCAACAAGACTATCTACATATTTGGTGGCCAACGCGGCTATGAATACTTTTATGACATGTATAAATACAGCATCCCACAAAACTTTTTTCAAGAGATAGACTACGGGCATGCAAGTGACATTAGCGCAGAAGCCGGCTTGACGCAACGTGTGACAATAGATGAGGAACTTCAGGAAATGTACATTTTTGCAGGATACACACGTAGTTCTAGACTGGAGCGAATAAGGGACGTGATTTATGTGTACTCGATCAAGGCAAACGCGTGGGAAAAAGTGTATGAGCACGAAATACTGGAGTGCCTGCCGTCAAGGTCAGATGTGCCGATACCGAGATATGCTCATCAGATGGTATATGATCCTGTATCCAAGACACATTATATGTTTGGCGGAAATCCAGGAGGTAAAGGCGATTTACCTACAAGGTTGGATGACCTCTGGGAACTAAAATTAAGAAGGTAAGAGATGATCCAAAGCATGTATTCTTTTTCTAATTGAATTTTTGGTTTAGACCAGAGGCAAGTACAGTATACAACCACTGTCTATTTCTGATACGCATGCAAAAGTTGAGAGAACTGTGTCGTGAAACGGTTCAAACGTTAAGAGAGACAGGAGATATTGATCAAAAGGAGACCATGGCTACTATTAACTATTTGCGTACAAGCGTGGCTTCTGTTGTTAATTATAATGATGAGGAGCAAGTCAATGAGTTTCATGAGATATGTGCTAAAATCTGTCTGTTTGATACACTTGATGATGATAGGTCCGGTTACAGCGGGCATGAATCTGTATCAGAAGGTAAATGCACTCATTGATATAAATCACTATACTCACTTGAAAAACGTAGATGCTATATACGCGGAAAGAAGTCAGATACATGAAAAAATATTAAAGTACATTCCTCAAGAGATAAAAGAGCCTGTAGAAAACCTGACTAATGCAGTCAAAATAATATAAAAATAAACTGCTCTTTATTCTCTATTTCCTTCTTCTTTGTTTTCTTCTTTGTTTTCTTCTTTATGGATCAAGCTGTTAGAACAAAGTTATCTTATATCCACGGAGGACTGATGGCATTTGTATGGCTAGTGGCCGTGCCACTTGCTATTGCAGGCAATATGTACGCTAGAAAGAAGCAGTTACCATGGGGACCCAAGTTTCATATGGCGGTCATGGCAACTGCTGTACTTTTACCATTTACAGCGTCTGCCGGCCTTATCTTTAGCGTATCTGGTGAGATCAAATTGAGGCCTCATTCTGTATGTCTTTTTTTTTTTTTTTTTTTTAAAAAAAAAAGTAATGAATAATGATTGATCTTTATAGATGATTGGAACCATTCTGTCACTTGGCACATGGATACAAATTATCCTGGGTGTTGTAAATCATTCTGTATTTCGATATCGACGAAAGCATAATCGCTTGCCAGCCAAACGCCCGTGGAATAACCATGTGCATATATGGTTAGGACGATTTTTAGCTACTATGGCTCTATTGAACGTATCCTTGGGAATGAGAATAAGGGGAGCAAGTCTCGTGGTCTATATTTTGTTTGCCATATGGGCCACCTTCTTGGTTGTTCTCTTTCTATATTTAGCTTGGATAAAGACAGAAAAGAAGCAGGCTGTGTCTTGTCTGCCAGATCCAGACAAAAGTTACAAAGTTACCGACAAAGGGGATTATGATAAGAGTAAATTATTGACCAATAAATATGGTGTAGGGTATCCATCTTGAAAAAGGGGAGTACCTCTACTATGTCTACATCACAAATAGAATCTGCTTATGATGAATGATTAAAATCTCATTTGGTGAAACACTGTATCCAGACACTGTATACGTGCAAACGTTTGATTCAGCCTCTAGTGTGTCCCTTTGTGTGTGGTTGTTTCCTTTTTATTCTATTTTTTTGAAAGCCCGTTTGTTTGACAAATGGAAGGTTTTTTTATTTTTATTCTTTTACTTTCTTTTGGTTTTTTAAAAAAAAAGTCATGTCGACAATTACAAAGGAAGAAGAAGGGTTGATAAAGAAGAGTATAGTAGAGTATCCTTGTATACAGCTGGATAGTTGTACAAATACACAAGGGATATCATCATCAATAACAGCAGCAGCCTATGACTTATTATGTGTTATTCTTCTTCATACACTACATTTTATATATATCATCTATATATCATTCAGGACTACATGGCAGTACTGCATTGTGTATATACATCGATTGACCGAGAAAGAGATATTTGAATGCATTCAATATGATCGAGCTCAATTGACAAAGATACCAAAACATCTCAGTATTCATATTTCCAATGAATTAGCAAGTACAAGGAGTCATAAAGACTGGGAGGAAATTATAAACAATGTGTGTTCAGTCTCTTGCTGGGCTTGGGAGTTTGGTATTAGAGAAATATCTGTATATGATGCATCAGGTAATATTGTGTATATATTTATATGAATATGTTCTTTTTTTGGGAATATTGAATTTACACTCTTTTAAGGTATGATGAAATATATTTCTGTTGATTTATACAAGCAACAAAGCAAAACATTGAATGAATGGATAAAGGCTTATTCAACAAAGAGAACAACAAAACAAGAAAACTGTAAGAGAATAAGAGCAGAGTTGATGAATACGAATGATAACAGCTATTGTTATATATAGACATAAAACTTTCGTTTTTATCAGGTGAAAGTGGTAAATCACATATGGGCGCAGTTGTACAAAGAATGGCCAAGCAAATCAATGTAAATGATGTTCATATTGGCCTAGTAGATAAACATATGCATGGTAAAGTAAGAGAAAAGGGAAAACATCAAAGGGGATATGTATTAAAGTCATGTATAGAAGATTCTTTTTCAGACTCTGATTTAATGATTGTCTATAACGGCCTTCCTCATCATTATCTATCTTTAGATGGATATTCTCCGTGGCATATTAAGCTCACAGAGTTCATGTAAGTAACAAAAAAAAAAAGTCATGTGTAGCTTGATCTCATTTTATAAATAGTAACTTTAGTCATCACCATTCTTTAAATTATACACTATTTTCTAAAGCCTTGTATCGATTTTCAAAAGTAGAGCAGCGCTTCGGACGATGATGTTGTAAATAAATAGATTTCCTTATTCATGAACCGAGTGTCTGTTCTCTGTCAGCTTTTTAAACTTCCGAATGCCTTCTTGTACCCATGAAGATTGCCCTTTTGAGCTTTCTATACTACGTGGCTTCTTCATCTTGCCTTCATAATGAGCTCTTGCTCTATCCAAAAAACCTGGGTATCGAACTACTGCAAATCGTCTTAGTCTATAGGCCTTTGTAATGCAATCACGTATCAAATCATCCTGTGGTTTTGATTGACAGACGAGGCCTGCCTTTAGAAATAATCCTTTAAACTCCTGAATAACTTCTTCTGAACAGCCAATCTCCTTTTCATAGCATTTAGCCATTTGCTTATCCAACAATATCTTCCATTCTGGTTTATCTGCTTCCAAAAAGAGTTGGTTGATGACATTGACACTCTTTCCAAAATGAGCTGAAGGTAGGAATATGATCTGTCCAAACACAATATTGCTTATACGCAAGAATGGATTATCAGCTGTCTGAAACGTGCCTGCGAGTGACTTTATTGAGCCTGTGAGTGCTTGAAGCTCTTGATCTATCGTGTCTTCTAGTTCATACTGCCTATTTACACCCTTCAGTTTGTTTTCAAGGTCTATCAAAGCGTGATATTGCTGTTTAAGTTCAGCTTCACTCCTTTGAATGTCCTTATCTAAATTGTCGAGTACTTGCTGAACAGTTAACTCTTGTCTTGATTTATACTCGAGTAATTCCTGTATTTCTGTATCTGTTTCACGTTCAAGCTTTGAGATGCTTTGTTGCAAATCTTTGGGAACATTAGCATCTTGTTTCTCGTTCGGTTGAACCCTGCTCATGATCCTGTGAAAATTGAGCCCAGTGTTTGATTGATGTATTCTTTTTTCATAAATTCGAGTTAATTTTAAAAAGTCTTGGTCAATATATTCTGTAACAGGAGAAGTGTTGGAAGTAGAATAAGTGGTAGTATTGGTGTCTGTAACAGTAGTAGCAGTAGCAGTAACAGTAGGGATAGGAGTAATAGGCGAAGCAGTATTCACAGTATTACTAGTGTTAGCAATAACAGTAGCAGTAGCAGCATTGCTGATACTTGACGGCAACTCTTTTTCTATAACAAAAAAAAGTGCCTGTGTTTTAGCTTCTATTAACATCAACTATATACAGCATTTGACTGTTGTTTTTACCTGATGAATTTACAGTCTGAAGGTTCTTTGAAACATCAATATTATTTACTACTTTAGTTGTTATGTAAGATAGCGTTTAATATATTAAGGGTTAAAGACTACCTGTTTTAGTGATGCATTAACATTAATAGGAAATTTATGCAGCAATGTTTGCTTTTACCTTCTGAGCTATTATTTTCTTTATCCATTCTTTGAGAGAAAAAAAGAAAAGATAGAAAATAAGCCCTCTTTTTTTATTATAAAGGGAGTGGCACACATGATATGCTTGTTACACATCCTCCTTCTAACATAAACTCTCTACTGCGCACCTTGTTAGTCAACAGAAGAAAAAGCTCTTTATTGATCAATGGCATAATTAGACAACCAACGAAATAAAGAAAGAAAGTAAAAAAATGGGAGAAACCTTCATGGATTTGAATGAGAGAAAAAGAAAGGGCTTTATGATATACGATTTGATTTTCGATTTTTTTTTCTTTTTTCTTTCGCTTTCTTCTATTCTTTCAGTATGGGTCCTTACTCCAATAGAGATATTTTTTTATTTATTCTCGCTTTTCTGTTTCCACCAGCAGCGGTTGCAGTCAAGACAGGATGTAGTGTGGAGTTGCTCATTAACGTCTGTCTTTGCATTCTGGGCGCAGTACCGGGTATTGTTCATGGATTTTATATTGTCCATAAATACAATGATAATGTTGAAGATTTGGAAACAGGTGGATTAGAATATCAGCGCGTGCCAACAGAGCAACCAGACAGATTGGGTTATGGTTCTACTGCTCCACCTCCTCATCACTAAACAATGTCCTTTTTTTTTTACAAAATAATAAATATAATTCAGACTCAGGAATAAAACTTTGACTATGACACCCATACGGCTTTAGGAACCCAAATGCTAATAGACAAACACCAGAAAAGGAAAAGAAAACTCGCATACACTATAAAATTTGAAAATCAAACTATTCAAGGTTTGTGAAAAGACTGAGCACTACGCGCACGAGGAAATCCACGAGAAGGTTAATGCTACGGACACTTCCTCGAGGCGCTGCCTATATTGTCACTTCACAACTGCATATTACCAAAGTCCCTACCTAACCTAAGGTTGTCCATTGATATAAATACGAATTTATCATAATTACACTTGAATTAATCTTGATTCTTCAGAAATTTCTTCAGTTCGATATTTGAAAAAGAATCTACCCAAACTTGAGCCAAATGACGACGACATTCGCAAAAAAAAAAAAAAAATGAATACGTGGAAGTTTTTCATGGTCAAAAAACGCGAAAATGATATTGAGGTGATCAAGGAATACAGCAAATAACTTTTTTCTCATACATTATGACTATATACGTTGATGTACTTTGGAATAGGGAGGAATCATAAGTAGCTTATTCTTGTAATGATAGCCATTACCGGCTTTATAAAAAAAAACCAAAGATACCGCATATTAGTGTTCCTGAACACGGGCCAAATAAATTTGACACACGCTTTTTCTTTTCTTTTTTTTTTTTACTTTATTTGTATATCTTTTTTTTACAACTTTTTCTTCATTTTGAATTCTGACTCAACCCAAATGACTGAAGCGTAAATTCACGTTCTCATTTCTAAGATAGTATATAAACCAAATGGCAAAGCAAAGCTCTAATATGGACGATATCATTTACACAAGCAAGTCAATGTATTGCTTAATTTGGTAAAGCAAAAAACCTTCCAGACGGCCAATCACAAGCCCAAACAGCAATAATGATCATAGCTAAAAATAAATTTAACCGCGCCAGTTTTTTTTTTTTTGAAACTATCTATCAGGGCACATTTGTTTATTTTAATCTCCGAGACGCGCTCTTTTTTTTTTATTTTTTTTTTTTTACGTGAACTATGATTTTTTTAAATAAAAAAAAAAAATAGTAAAAAAAAAAAAAGAAAAAGCTAAAGAAAACTAGCGGGGGCGTAAAATAGTAACCGAAATAAGGATGCGAATAACCTCTTTTCTTTTTTCTACTCTTCTTCTTCACTTGAACATTTTACTTGTTTTTTTTTTATGCAGAATAACATTAAATATATCCAAACAGATTTAGCCTATAACCAAGACGTAAATCGAGTAAATATAATTTATTTTGTCCCTTGCTGCATAAATGCTAATTTTTTTTAATAAAATAGCATATTGAATCACTAAGAGCAAGATTAGGCTTTGCTAAATTCAAATTGAATAATGGTTGGGAGAATAATACATTACTGGATGTAGAATGTTTATGGAAACAAAAACAAAAACAATTGATAAAAGACATACCAATACCAAGATTTACACAGCAACATATCATTGACAAATGCATTCACAATAATCATCATCCTAGCCAATATAAAAGATCAAGATTATTGAACAGATCATTATCAAGTCCAGTCACTTCTCCAAATGATTTAATGGATGATGATTTTACAGAACGACCAAATAAAAAGTACAGGAGAAAAAGTAGTCATCTTACTCATACTACCAGTACTACCGCTTCCATAGCAACCGCCATGCCAACTTCACCCGCCAATATCCATGACAATGACAACGCCATGCTCAAGACAGACAATCGCCCTATCAAAAACTCTCTAGACTTTTTATCTTATGCTATTGCAATGACCGAAAAGGATAGACAGCAGGACAATCAAGAAGATGATCAAAATTGGACAAGAACAAGTCAGTTACGCCTGTCATTGTCTATTCCGAATTTGCTAGTAGAAGACAAAAATCCTGAAATATCATCTACTACCAACAGCATTTCTTCTTCCTCTACAGCCACAACAACCACAACAACAGCAGCAGCGGCAGCAGCGGCTCATGCTATGATGATGTTTGTCAACAGTAATCGTTCAAGCACTTGATTTTTTTTTTTCTTTTTAAGGGGAAAAAGGGGGATCCAAGCAAATTTTGTATAGTCAATGTATACCTTTTTGTATATTAAATAAATTTTCTTTTTTTTTTCTTGCAGAGTTAATCGCACGGTCCTGTTTAAATATAGTATACATCTTTTACAAAAATAATATAGCTGCGGCTTATTGCATTTACGTATAAATTACATTATGAAATGCAGCATTATATTTAGGAATAGGTATAAGTTTTGGAAGCATTTTAAACATAACATACTACATGTTTTGCTTAAAAAATTACCTTTTATGGACAAGTATTTTTCCATTTCAAAGGTGACCTTGAATCAAATAAAATAAAAGAAATTGGCTGGAAAAAACACAAATGCATAAGTGACAGGTTTTGCATGTCACCCAAGACATTAAAGGATATGGTCTGTGCTATTGTGAATAATGCCTGGATAAATTAAACAGTCTGAATACTATAGGTTTTGTTGTCATGGGCAGGGATAGGTTTCAATGTCATTTTCTTTTAACTTTTATGCTCATAATAAGGCTATATTACCAGAGCTTCCAGAATTTCCATATTCAAGTTCTCTACGCCAATATGCACATTTATGCTTGATATGGAGTTATTGCTCGAACTAATATGGAAAACAAAACCAGCAGTGGGAGCTTGCATTAAATAAGTAAAAAAAAAAAAGCAAGAAGCCCACAAAATTCGAGATATTAATCATGCCATCTTTCCATCTTGATTCAACTGCAGTATATCAACAAATAAAACGATGAGACAAGGTGAGGCTGACTAGTTCAAAGAAAGAGGAAAGGATAGTGTAAAAAGAAGAAGGGAGAGTGTTGACAAAAACATCAATACATTTGATCCCTATTGTACATCTTTTTCACAACTTCCATTTTGCGTTGTATAGGCAATGCTATAAAGTCATCAACCTTTGACAAGAAGATTGTGTAGATGCTACTGCTGCTCATAGGGTTAGATAGAGAGGTGAAATAGTTAATAAGTACGATAATAATTCTAGAAAAAGACAAAAACAAAAACAGAAGACAGAATCAACAAAAGTGGATTTTCTTTATTCAGTGTTATCTTCACAATACTGTCAGACTGCTTTGAAAGCTCATCCTTGAGCTCACTTTTCATGATCTCCAGCAGCTTTCTCATGAATGTAGGACCCAGGGTAGCAGCAGCACGATATCTACCGACTTCATTTACTTTTTCTTCTATCAACTTCGCCGTTTCAATCAAGAATTTGGAGTACCCAAAGCCATTGCCGAGACTGCTTGATGTCAAGTGCAATTCTTGAAAATTGGTTGCATTGGATCGTACGTGCTTTTGAATATCTAAATATACGCTTGTTTCAGCAAAAGAAGAGAAGAGATTAACTATGTCTTGCTGGCTAACAACTTCATTGACTGTGCAAATCTATAGAAACTTTCATGCAAAGTAATGAACATTTGGCTTTATAGCTATCTGGCTCTTGTGATTCCAATAGTAGGTCGGCGCAGTTTGGGGGAAACCAGACGTATACTTCGTTCGAAGGTGGAAACCCCACAGACGATGGGAATCCCGGCGTGCATAATCATTTAATAGCATGTGTGTTGAACACAGACTATTAGAGCAAGAGACATACATCTAGCTGCTCTTCATTTCCCTAAGCTTCCGCTTTGATAAGAACGATCCAAGGTATGTCAGGACTATCCTATCTTGTCCAAGGAAAAAGCCACCGCAAACAAGTAATTCCAGGAAACCATGGAATATTGAGATCGTCCAAGGTAGGCCTTTCTACGGGCTTTTGCCACTGGTGCTTCCTCGTACTATCTGTCTCTCACTCCATAAGCGCAATCGTTTAATCCAACGTGATCATGAGCGAATACATCACCATTCGTAAAGTAAAAGTACCCATTTAGGAACTTTACTATGAATCCAACAATTATGCCAGCAAACTGTTGAACTTTGCTTTCGAGCATGTCATGATGCCTTCTAAAGAGTTAGAAAGACTAAGCAAAACCGCATATTGAATTTCTTACTGAGAGAGCTTGTTGTCAGACCATATCGAGGACATTCTGTGAAGAAAAAAGAAATAATTGTAGGAAGAAATGTTGCTAAAGATTTGTTTATATTTATGCTTTTTACAAAAATAAACTCAGAGGAGCATCATGTGCTAGTTTTGCGTCTGATGATACTGTGTCATTATCTTTTACCAAAAGGCCGATAATAACAGGCTTCTTTACTCCAACACTAGTTTGTTAAGTCTGATTTGTAGTTGCTTGTCTAATTTGACTTTGCCGGTTTCTTCTTCAGCCGCATAGTGGATTGTTACGCTGCCATAAAAGTTGCTGAGGGTGTTTGCTGTCGTAAAAGCTTGTACTTTGCTTTCTATAAAGCAGTGCGTAAATTAAGAAAATAAGCCATAGCTTATCATTACTGTGCACGTAACTTCCAGTTGTTTAGAAGTTACCTAGCTGCACTTCGTTGTTGCTCTACAGAATGTTACAGAATCCCTAAATGAGCTTATCTGGCAACATTTGTAAGTAATGACCAACAAATAGTTTGCAAAGCAAATCAGCGGCATTAAAGAATACAGCTGAGTTATGGGCAATCAAGCCCGCATATATACTGCGTCTTTTGGACAGAAAATAATATCAAACAGTTCATTAAACTTGACATAGCTCATATTTCGCTCTTCCAAGACACCTCTGACAACGTTTTATTTATGCATATACATAAACACAATGATATACAACGTCTATATTTCAACAAGTTGTGCTTGATCGGAGGCTTGTGTTTACTCTTTGAAATATCAAGGACAAAGCATATAAGATTAAGTTATGTTTAGAGGAAGAATAGTAGCTTATATTTGCATGTGCAGAAGGCTTTATGGTATTGTTCATATAATTTTTGACATGGCCAACAAATACTCTGTTATTAATTACCAAATACTGAAGCCCTAGTAAGATTATGCTACTAATGGATGAGTATTCGATGATAAGCTAAGATTAAACACGATGAGTCAGTATTCTTTGATAAAGTGGAGAACTTTAATTCTTGTTTTTTATTACTTTTTTTTTGTGTATAAAATTATACACACATACACACACACGCGCGTACGCGCATATACACGTATACAGGTAATATATACGTAAAACACGTATATGCACTATAGACTTAGAGCAATGTACAATGAGACCAGCATTGTTCATCTAACTTTCAATCTTAATCTTTTTGTTCTACAATCTCTTCTTCATAAATGGAGCTTGCGAATAGTTGTTCTGGTGATATAAAGCTTTCAGATGATACTTGAATGTCTTGGCCAATAAGCAAATCTATGATAGTAAATGTATGAGTCAATGGCTCTATTATTACTGTTTACTCGTACCTTCTTCTGGTGTACTCGTTATATTCAATTTACTTGTCTTCCTTGACATTTGTTCTTCATTCTTCTTTCTGGAAAAGCCTTTTTTAATATCAGTCAATAGTGTTGATCGACTACTACTGCTTATCGATGGTATCAAGGGTGGTATATTCACACTACTGGTTGTCATCAATTTCTGTCTCCTTCGTTCCTCCATATGATGTGCCTCATGTAACAAACGCGATTTGTGATTGTGATTGGCAGACTTGGGCCGTGTCTTCTCTGTTGATTGACGCGCCGTCTCGACTGGATTGAAAGCGAGCCCCATCTGGATATAGTTCCCCAGTAAGCCCAAACGCGCTTTGTTATTGGGTATAAAAAACCTGTCTGACTTTAAGGCCGCATTTTCCGCGTTGATCACTATAGAACAGTGTAAGCAAACAGGATGTTTTCTTTCTTGATTATTACATTTTAATGTGAGGAAGCTCTTGAGCTCTTTATCATCAAATAATGGCGGACTTGGTATAGGCGGGCCAAACTGATTTACATTTTTATGTTTAATGACTTCAATCCTATCCATCGTGATCTAAGTCACAGATCACACAAATAAGGGGCAGCAAGCTTACCTCCAATGTCGCTTTTGGTGAACAGTTTCTGGACGAATAACAATGTAGACGTGTAAGAATTGAGATCGAATCGCTTTTGGATTGAATGTTTGGTTTCCTTCAATGAATATAATACAGACAATATCTATCTTGTTTTTGAGTATTTCATGTGATGGACCCTTAGACATCTTACCATTGCCAATATGTTTCTTTCGAAGCACTTGCTGCTTATCATTGGCTTGCGAGGGCATGATGGCTGCTACATGGAAGGTAATGTCATAGTCTCTCCATTTGGACACATAGGCAAATTCACCTGATTCTCCAGCTATATATGAACATAGTGGGTTAATAAGTAGGGCTGCGTATCTGATGTGATGTTCAAGAGTTACTCTTTGTATCAAGTCCAGCAGCATATCCTTTATATCCTTTGAGCTGGATTTTATGACCCATGATGCTCAAAAAGTCTTGTAGATCTTTTGATAATCCTGTGTTTGAGAACCAGGATTCTTCCGTGATCTGCCCATTCTTAACTGTGAGCACACCAAACTTGTAGTGTTTTGGTATCTATTAGGTATTAGCACAATTCAAGAAACAATAATAGTACCTGTAGCTCATCATATTTAATCAATTCTTTCTCTAATCCTGACAAGATTGTTGACTCTGCTGATAGTTCTTTAAAAGATCTCAGATCTAAATGTGGACAGACAGATAAAATGGCTGCTCTCATCAATCGGGTTGATTCACTCGTTTCATTGCTGCTCTTGAAGGAGGGTAATAGTCGTTTGTTGCTATTGATCTGATTCATTGATTTACTTTCGCCTTTTAGCTCTAGCTGATTCTGTGTATCTCTAGCTGTGTTTTCATGAACGATGTATCTCGCTTGTTCAGACTATAAAGAGATAAAGTGTTGTTAGACATAGAAAAACGATGCAAGTGATACTTACGTGTTTGCTACGTATAATGATCCGGTATTGGGTCATGTTGCCTTTATCTGCCTTTTCTTGCACAATAGTAATAATGCCTAATGTTGTATCTTCGGTAATCGTTGAAATACTCTGCACTGAACTTCGGTTTGATTTCCTGCTACTCTTTTCGTTATTTGTCGTCTCTAAGCAACCAATCAAAGTGACATATGGTTTTCCAACAAAATACTGTCTAAACCAAGTTCCTTCAAGTACAAGCTGATCTGATTTCATTTCCTCATAATCTTTACTTGAAGGCCTCTTCGTCTTGTAGTACACCTTGGGTAATTCTTTTTTATAATGATCAGAAGCAACACACAGGGCTGCATGTTTTGTTGAAGAGCACACTTGACAGATATGAAGTATTCGTGCTGTCTTTATAACAAAAATGAGAACCTAGTTTAAAAGAGATCATCAATTTACCTTGGATTCCAGTGACAAGTTACGTAAATGATCAATGTTGAACTTTCTGTCCAATTCACAGGCGTGGATCAGTGATTGTACATCCTCCAATAATTCCTCCTGATCGTTCTTCGTGGCTGATTTACATTTTTCCTTGATTAAGTCATTCAATTCATGAATTGTGCACACTTTATCCTGAAACATGGATGAAATGGACGAAACTGAGGAATTTGAAAAAGAAAGAGGGAAAAATAAGCATTCAGGAGTTGTTGAGGGATAAGGAGATATATCACTGTCATTGTTATCATTATTATTATTATTATTATTATTACTATTACTACTGCTGCTACTACTACTGCTGCTGTGATTGTTATTATTACGATTACTAAATATATATGTAATAGGCTATCGGACTATGTTTAGAAAAGGTACACATTAGTTGATCTTTTTTTTTACTTGTTTTTCTTCTTGTTGTCGTTTTGGTATATCTAAGGTATGTCTTAGTTTACGGTTGGTTAGCTTAGACAGAGAAGAAGAGTAATATAATCTGGATTGAGTATTATTATTTGTGGGTGGTTGTAAAGTCGAGGAAGATGTTTCACGTGGACTACCAAACAATATATTGCCCAGTTTCTTTGTGAATCCTTCATTGGTTCCCAAGGTGTTACTACTGTCACTGTTATTGTTGGTACTAATAGAGGGTCGAAGTGAAAATAATAAACTGGAAGACGATTGAACGATCTTTTGAGGAATCTTGCTCGCCCTTGCTGATAATGAGGATCTTTTATCGATAACAATCGTTGTACTTTCGCTATGGTTATTAGTCATTCTTTTCTTCTTATGTCCAGCATAAAAATATGAATAACAAAAGAAAAAGAAAAATAAAAAAAAGGTGGGGATCTCTTCTGTTTTTGTAGGTGATCGTGTCACTAACTACCATCACCATGGTGACTATACCTATTATCTAAACTAAGCATCTTCCAGGCGTTTCATCCTCCATCTTTCTCTCTTTTTTTGTTCTTGATTTTGTTGTCTCTCTCTCTCTCTTCTCCACATCTTCTCCTTTTTTTTCTACAGCAATTTCTCTTAAAAGCGCTAATAAAACTATTTAATATTCGTGTAACGCCTAAGGTAAACCTCTTTTTAAGTAAAATTTCCCATCATGAAGCATTGCCTTTTTATGTAATAATGTTCAGTTGCAGTTGGTATCTTTTTGGTTATCTACTTGTCCCTCTCTTCCTTATTTATTCCTTCCTCTTTCATATTTCCTTGATCAGTCGCTTATTATCACAATGCATTACATTCAGCTAATAAAATAATATAGCTTTCATTGTCTTTCTTGTTTTATCGTAAGCGTCACGTGATATATACCATTGATTCCCTAAAATCCTTGATTCCCCTTTTTTCGTATTTTATTATTGTGGGCTATGTTTCTTGATTGGATCGCACAGTTACGATTGCTTCAACATGACATACGTAAGTTATAATAAGTCGTATGACAATCAAATAACTAATCCATCTATTTCATACAGAAACGAACATCTTGGGCTCACTTCCTTTATCTGTTCGCAGAGTCTTGATTTCAGAGATTACGACCTTTCTACACCCGCCAGCTAATAAACAACCCCCCGATCCTGCTCTATTCGCTTCACCTGCCCACGTCAAATGGTTCATGGAAGTGATTGGGCAGAGTTTTAATTTACCTCTAGAAGATATGGCCATCACTTCTGACGATATCGACATCTATGCACGATGGCTATTTGAACAACATACTCGGCCTATCGCTGTCGTTCAGGAAGGATTGGAGCAGGAATTTTATCAAATCATTTTTCATCAATACTCTTTATTATTTCAACCACGCATCACACGTCCCTTTAGCTGCAACCAAACAATCAAAGATACCCTTACGCCTCTCGTTCAGCGACACGTCGAATTATGTAAAAAGACGCTCAAAGTATTTGTCATGGCAGCAAGGACACTCAAATTCTCTGAAGAGACTTGGTCAGTGACTCTGAAAGTCATGCTTGGTATTACGGATTATCTTTTGAAGGAGCCTACAGGTGAGGCATCCGGCATGATAAATATGGCAGATGAATTATGCGATACTCTATTACAGGCCTTATTTGAATTGTGGCTAAGATCAAACGTGATGGATGTCGAAATGTGGGATATACTAAAGGTTATATACATATATATATTTAGTAATCTTTCATCTTCTCAAAAATAACTCCCCCTCCTTCCCTCCTGTAGACTTGTTTCATGCGCTGGACACATAGGCCAAAGGCAATACAACAATGGTCATCTTTATCCTTGGCATTGACCAAGCGAGTACAAAGCATCATTGGCGGAGAAGGCACCGACGGTGTATACGTGAGTGAGCCTAATATTAAGCTAGATCTACCTCCAGACTTTGTTTGCTATGCCTGGCACCGTGTACTCTATCTGATCCCTCATCCACTTCAGTTAACTCCTACCAATTTTACTCTCACTATGTTAGGCATCCGCCAACTAGTTGACACACTCTCCCACACACCTTCTTCGTCCGACGGCAATACTCTCCTGCACATGTTTGGCACCTACCTTTTTGATGCTGCATCACGTGCATCATCTCCATCTCTCGACACAGAGTCTCTTCGCGGCTGTGCCGAGGCCTTTGTCACGCTCTGCGCCATCTTTTGCCAGCCTCAGAGAAGACAGCCTTTCCTACGTACTTATATTGAAAAGTTTTACGCTGCTCTCTTAGTCGGTGTTCAATCACATGCCTGCCTGCCTACCATTCTCCTGTCCTGCACAGAGCTCTTTGCTGCTGATTTGGAAGGTGTACGAATCTTGGTGCCTGAATTCATCAAGGCGATCAAGATGGTTCTTCCCAAACTGCGTATCGAGTGTAAGGTGCCCGTGGATCAATTAAGATGGGCAGCGATTAAAGTGCTTAGTACGGTCATGTGCTTGCCAAATCATATTCATAAAGTCGAGTTACAGCAGCGAGAGGATAGCGCTGATCAAGTCACTTTGGCTGGTGATCAAGAGCAAATTGTTGCTCAGTTGGTAAAAATAAAAAAACAATACATGAAAAAAAGTATTCTGATGAGCATACTAGATACGAGTACTCTACGCTGAACCACAAGAAGAAGTGACCGATAAGCCAACGTTATCTGTAAGTTCATCTTTTTATTGTAACATCTTGACTAAGGCTACTGTTAGTTAAAATATTATATACTTGAAATACTCTTGACATCACTTCGTACAGAAACTTCGTCTCACAACATGAGGTATATTCTTCATTTAATTAATGTCTATGTCATTGAGGATGTACCCTTCTGTCCGGGACTGGTTGGTACTGTAGTCAAGTTGATTCAGGACAAGGTATTTTAGAATAAGCGAATATGTATGTAAAAATGCTAATATAATCGACCAGATTCTCACCATGCAACTACCCAACGATGTCATCTTTGTCGCCTTTGATGTACTGATGGACTTTGTAGATTTGTATGATTTTGTAAAGAGAGACAGTAAGGTAAGCACAGGGCTTGGGTAGGGGCAATTGAGTGCCCCCTTTATACTCATCTTGTAATATGTAGAACGTGGCAAGAGAGCTTGTGCTTGCGTTAAGTAGATATGTAAATACACTGCTGCAAACAGGTAATCTCGTCAATACCTATGGGCTTATTGTACAGGCTTATGAATGTATGATTCGCTGGGTGCTTGTAAGTCAATGGATCATTGGCGATAAAGATTGCTGCAAGGCAGTCATAGAGACGCTAAGCAAAGGCATTACTATTCTTGAAAAGGATACTCATACAGTGGTACCACCTAATACATCCGAGCAGCCACCGATTGTGCCTCCTGAGAAGAAGAAAAGAAGGGATACGGGACTCATGCCACCCAAGCAGCTCTTTCAACTTCCTCCTCGTGTCAACAAGGGGGCACATCAGACAACACCGTCAAACAGCAATACGTCACAGCATGAGCCTAGCCATGCACCACCAACCGACACTTCTCGACCTGCTAAAGAATATATTGCTATACGAAGGGCAGCACAATACTGCATGTCTTTGTTTGTAAATCAGCTTGGCCGGTTTGCACTTCCTAATGAACTGGACGATGCTCGACCAGAAATGGCTGACGATTTACATCAACTCAGACTTTACAAAGAAAAACACGGTACCTATGAACGCTGCCCCATTCGTTGTTTTATGCTGAGCGATCGAACTCTTTTGACCATTATGGACACCACAAGTCATATACCCTCTATCTTGGTCGTCGTTCGAGATACTACAGGAAAGTATGCGTGGTCTATTGAAACTCGATATATGGATAAGCCATTTGAGCCCTCAAACCAGACTGATCCGCCCAAGCAAGAGCAACAGCGACAATATCAGACGACTCAACCTACGCTGTCGACCAATAAACGTGTGACCGTACCTAAAGCTACAGCCGTAAACGAAGCAGAAATGCCGAACATGGAAAAGTTATTCGCGCCTCATTCTGACAATTGGAAGGAGCTAGAGACAGTCAAAGTTTTGATAGACAGGCAGCTGAAGGCAGAAACAACCCAAAAAAAACCCGTGGCAACAGTATGTCGAACTTTACCCGCTTGTACCAAGGTGGATTATGAACTTCCGAGAGGATTCAGACTGTTCTTGTCTCAGCTTGGATTCCTTTTACCACAAAACCGTGGACATATCATTCCGTTAAAAATGAATGATACCGTTGTTTCTGAAATGGAGGCATTAGACATGTTGAGCGAGTAAGAAAAAAAAATAGCGTGTGTACATACGTTGGTTACTGATGCTATTATGTGTATGTAGACGCGATTGTATATCTGTCACTGTGTATTATGCAAAATCTGGAGCCACAACATGGTCTGAACTTGTAGAGCAATTACCTACACCTAATGAGCGATTTCAACAGTTTATTCATTGTCTTGGCTGGACTGTAAGTTTGCCTGTTGAGACCTTGATTAGAAACTAATGATATTCATAGGTGGATCTTGAAAGCCACAAGGGTTATAAAGGACGGCTGACACCGTCTGTTTGTGATACGACCACTTATTATTCTGACAGAATCGTCGAGTTTGTTGCTCATAATCCTTACTTTTTGAAACGGCCTGTAGATGGGACCAATGTGAACAGTTTACATCAGCAGGCAACAGTCGATGATCACACATGTATTATTTGGATAGAAGATTTGGCAGACTATCAGACTTTGGCAGAGCGTATTAAGCAAAATGCAGCAACTAACTCGAAGCTAATGGTTTATATATTTATTAACCCACTTAAACACACATCAGATACACTCTATTGGATCCGTATTTATGTACCATCCAAGGGAGCCAGTCAACGCCTTTATGAGAATATGATGGTATTGAATCATATATCTTTTCTGTTATGTACTCATGTTATCATAGATACTTGGCCCACTTGTAGATGGCATTGTCGTCAGCCGACATGCTTTAGGATCTATGGTTCGAAGAACAGCGATCTCTGCTCATCAAGCATGTAGAGTAGTGATGGATACATTTACCAGACCTTATATTGTACGTAAAGAGTACATAAAAGAAATGATGCATAGACACCGTACAATTTTACCCATATCCGAGTAAGTCATTAAAGTCATACTCTTTTATATATCTAATCTATTATAGATTTTACCATGATTTATTTTCAGGAAAGTAATGAATAAAAAGCTTATTTTGATTCCCACGATTTGTTCCATGAATGTCTTTTTCTAAGCAGTCACATAGAAAAAGCTGGAAATGTTGTGTTTGAATTTTGTAAGGGCTTTCTTGAATAAATGCGGGCAGGGAGCTACACCCCCTCTCTTTTCTTTTCTTCATTTCACATCAAAAATATTAATCATGGTAAATATAAAAAGGGAAACAATGATTGAAGAATCATTTATTCACTTTGTTTAGTCTGCTGCTGGTAAGCTCAAGAGCATCGTTCCTCTTCTTGACCGTGTTTTGGTTCAACGTATCAAGCCTCAACAAGTAAAGATTGATTGTGATGCGCCAAAAAGGGAATAACTAACTGTTTCTATTAGCAAACCGCTGCTGGTATCTATATCCCAGAAAAAGCTCAAGAAGCTTTGAACGAGGGTGTTGTCATTGCTGTTGGTAAGGGTGCTCTTGACAAGGAAGGTAAACATATTCCTCTTCAAGTAAATGCTGGTGACAAGGTCATCCTTCCTCCTTTTGGTGGAAGCTCTGTCAAGGTTCAAGGAGAGGTAAGTTATCGAGAGAGATAAGAGAGAAAGAGAGCGGTTTTGACTCATATATAATATAGGAATACCTCTTATTCCGTGACTCTGAAATCCTTGCCAAGGTTGTTGAATAAATAAAAAAAGAAAAAAAAAGAGCGGCGAAAACCCACCTTTGATTGATGTATAATATTCCTTTTCTTTACAACTTGTAACTCCATATCACAGATATAATAGAAATAAACGTGACGTCCTTTTTATTTCTCTCTCTTTCTTTTATAATTATTTTCAATGGTTATCGCAATTGGCTTTGAGGGATCAGCAAATAAGTTGGGTGTGGGTATTATACGACACGAAGGAGATCAAGTGGATATATTGGCCAATGTCAGAGATACTTATATTACACCCCCTGGCCAAGGATTTTTACCTCGAGACACAGCACAACATCACCGAGATTGTATACTTGATGTCACTCAAAAGGCATTAAAGCAAGCTAATATATCAACTCAAGATATTGACGTGATTTGCTACACCAAGGGACCAGGAATGGGTGCACCATTACTCTCAGTTGCACTTGTCGCTCGTACTTTATCCTTATTGTGGAATAAGCCTTTGGTAGGCGTGAATCACTGTGTTGGACGTAGAGTATATAGCTTGGTCATAATTGCGACATTTACTCACCTCTTCTTTTTTTTTTAGATATTGAGATGGGTATAGAAGTAACAAAGGCAAAGAATCCGGTTGTTCTTTATGTCAGTGGAGGAAATACACAGGTCATTGCTTATTCACAACAGTGTTATCGTATCTTTGGTGAAACATTGGATATTGCAGTAGGCAATTGTTTAGATCGATTTGCTCGTATATTAAACTTGTCAAATGACCCAAGTCCTGGATATAATATTGAACAATATGCCAAAAGGTAATTTCATTAAAGTGTGCCCGAAATTGATAATAACTTTTATATAAAGGGGTAAAAAATACATCCCCTTACCTTACACAGTCAAAGGAATGGACGTGTCATTCTCTGGCATTTTATCTCATATTGAAAAGATTGCCAAAGAAGAATTACCCAAAGGTGAGATCACGCCTGAGGACTTGTGTTTCTCACTTCAAGAAACCCTTTTCGCCATGTTGGTCGAGATCACAGAACGCACTATGGCTCACGTTGAATCCAATGAGGTGCTCTTAGTGGGTGGTGTTGGCTGTAACATACGATTGCAGGAAATGATGGGTGAGATGGCAAAGCAGCGAAATGGTGTTGTGTGCGCTACGGATGATAGATTCTGTATTGACAATGGTATCATGATTGCTCATGCAGGCTTGTTGGCCTACAAGACTGGATTCACGACACCATTAGAAGAAAGCACGGTGACACAGAGATTTAGGACAGACCAAGTTAAAATTGCATGGAGAGAAAATTAACCCTAATTTTTTATTTTTTATTTTTTCAAAAAAAATGGCCCATAATTCCCAAAACGATCATTCAATAAATGAACAAGTAATAGAACAAAGCAGAATAAGACTGGAAGAACACTGTGAAATCACAACAAAACATAGATCTTTTCAAGAGAGTCATGAGCAAACAGCTGTAACTCGCAAACATAAAAAAAAGAAGGAAAAAGAGAAAGATTTGAATGATGAAGAAAGGAAAGCCAAACAGGCCCCTCTCATGTTCTTTTATACAAGGGCATACATATCATTAAGTGGACACACCATTGATTTCTATGGTGCAAAGGAAGACTCCTTTGTGCTTCCACAGATGCGATCGATGAGACAAGAACGTGACGGAAAGCATTATCACATTACGGTGATTAACCATATTGAAGTGCGAAGGTTGACACCGGGTCTGATAGAAGAGGGCGTATCCAACCGAAATAAGCATCTGACAGCTTTAAAGTGTATATATGAAAAGGTGATTGACCAATTTGGTGGTCCCGAACAATGGGAAACACCCATCGATCTTGGCCTTGGCCGTCGTATCAGTGAGGATAATGCTGCTGTTAGTTACTACCGTGTCATCTATTGGCCATTTGGACAGAGTATGCGAAAATACTTTGGACTTGATTTCACAAATTTTCATGTCACCTCTGGATTCTTCCCCTATGATGTCCATGAATATAAAGGACCAGGTACTCTCATGTGCTTACAAGAGGATCAGCCTTGTAGTAAAGAACAGGCTGATCTTTTAGTCTCTGTTGCTAGTCATTATAGACATGATAAAGAGTTTCTAAGTAAACTTTATCAGACATGTCAAAGAAATCGATATATCCATCAATTACATGAAGTTCAAAGGTGGCTTTGATAAATATTTATATGAAGGAAACAATAAATAAGGAATATAGAATTTCACCCTCAAAATTTTTATTTTTTATTTTACTACTATTCTTTTTTTTCATTAGTGCATGCTATTTGCTCAGCAATTTAGCATCGCATTCAGAAGGGTCAGATATCAGTTTACATTATTACAGCAACAACAAAGACGAGGCATGAAGGCATTCATTCAGATCGTAGGACAACACACGCCTGAAGGACCTCCAAGTATTGTCGTACACTATGATGCACAGCGTTATATATTCAACGTTAGAGAAGGAACACAACGACTGTGCGTACAAGAAAAGGTCAGACTGGGTAAAGCCAATCAGATATTTGTCACAAGAACAACCTGGGATTGTCTCGGCGGTCTTCCCGGTCTCTTGTTGACCTTGACTGACGCGGGGGTTCGGAAGATCAACCTATACGGTGGAAAAAACTTGGCACACTTTATTGCAGCTACGCGTCGATTTGCATTTAGGTAAGCATGATAAAAAAAAAAGAGCGAACGGATTCATTCATCAGTTATAGAACAAATTCATCGTTGAGTGTCAAGGAGTTTGATGAGGAAAAGATGAATGAATTCAAAGACAATAACTTGACTATCCAACCTGTCATCGTCTTACCCAAAAGGGCTGGTCAGAAACGAGCATTTGATAATATCGAAGGTGATGATGACATTATGAGTTCTTGTGTATCAGAGACAGATGAGAAACCATCCATTAAACAGTTGAAGGATAAAGAGGCTGATGATTATAGACAAAAGGTTATTTCAGCCATGTTTAGCGATAAGGGCGATAATGACAAGTCTAAGAATAAGCCAAAAACGGCAATTGACGCTGAGTGCGCTCCTAGAGAACAACACCCGTTAACCGAAGAGGTTCCAGAAGCATTGATGACCAACCGAAATAGCTATCTGAGATCACCTCTGCCAGAGACTTCACCCTATCCAGCGGCTATTACCTATATCTGCCGTGGATCCTCGTTACCTAGAAAGTTTAATAAGGATGCAGCCTTGGCTTTAGGAATAAAACCTGGGCCACTCTACGGTAAATTGCATAAAGGTATGGATATCACTTTAGATGACGGTCGAGTTATCACTCAGGACATGGTCTGTGATCCTCCTCGACCTGGACATTCCTTCATACTTGTTGATTGCCCCAGTACAGCCTATATTGACGGGCTGATTGAATCCGAAAAGTTCAAGGAATATCAAGTGGGAGGCAAATACCAAGTAAACACAATCCTCCATTTCCTTGGTAAAGATGTGATTCATGACCCAAGATACAAAAAATGGGTTGCTACATTTGATGAAAATACAGATGTAAGTCGAAATTACTTTGTGGAAAAAGAGAATTACCAACGTTGTTTATCTAGCACGTCTTTAGTTCCGAAGAGATTTGTAAACAGGATGCTCAATTTACGTCTCAGGCTTTATGTCAAGTGAAATTATCAAAACTGGATGACAAAATATTTGCTATTCCAAAATACAGCAATACACCCGAACGGAATCTTTCATCTGTAGAAGGACTTCCAGCAAAAAGTTTTGCGCTTGATAATATGGCAGTTTACAACCTAGAGCCCAAGCGATATTTAGAGTACAGTAACCAACCAGTGTTTGACCATACGAATACAGAGCTAGAGTCAATTAAGGCAATTGAAAGTAATGAAGAGTATAAAGAAGCTGTAGCCAAAGCAAGAACAGAGGCATCCAAAGTGGACATTAGCGGCCGTTTCCCAGGTGATGATATAGAGATCGTAACTTTGGGTACGGGAAGTTCGATTCCTTCAAAATATAGAAACGGTAAATAGAAGCGGTCTAGAAATGAATTTGTTCTGACATGTGCAACTGTAGTCAGTGCAACCCTCGTCAAAATCCCCGACTACGGGTCTATTATGTTGGATGCAGGTGAAGGCACGTTTGGTCAGATGATGCGTCGGTTTGGCATACAACAGGTAGATGACGAGTTACGGTTACTTGATTGTATATTTGTCTCTCATTTACATGCTGATCATCACTTGGGCGTTATTCAACTCATCAGAAAGTGGTTCCGAGTGAATACGAATGAAGCATCTGCTCTTACGGTGATTGCACCTCGTATATACAATGATTGGATAAATGAATATATTCAAGTAGAATCTTTTGGAAAAGGAACAAGAAAGAGGATACGCTTTCTTTCAAGTGAATATCTTGTTCATTTATACGAAAAGAACCCTTCAAAGAAAGTACCTGTGTAAGCGATTGTGATGAAAAAAGTGGCTGAAGGCATTAAAAATTTTGTTAGGTTACATGAAATACAGGATAGATTAGGATTATCGGTTATTAAGCCTATTGAAGTCATTCACTGTCGATGGGCCTATGGGTTGTCGATTGAGCATAAAGATGGGTGGAAGATAGTGTGAGTGTGTGGAATTGTTTACTTTTGCCTTTATTATTGAACGACATCAATAGATACTCTGGTGACACTAGACCATGTAACAAGTTGATCGACCATGGTCAAAACGCTACTTTATTAATACATGAAGCCACATTTGACGACATAGAAAAGGAAAAGGCGATAGATAAAAGACATTCAACGACAGGAGAAGCAGTGGATGTGGGTCAAAGGTATATTTATAAATTGAATCACAATTAATGGTTTACTAAAGAAGCCATGTAGAATGAATGCCCGATATACTTTATTAAATCATTTCAGTCAAAGATATCCAAAGATACCAAGCCTGTCAGGGAAGCAAGAGAATATATGCTTCAGTTTTGATTTAATGTCTGTACTCATCAAGCAAATGCCTATTTTACCCAAGTTTACAGATGCAATGCAGCTGTTATTCGAAGAAGAGGAGGATGATAAAGAATAAATCATTTGACTTTTAGACCGATATTCTTTTTCATGTGTTACCTGTTTATTTTGATGATGAAACTTTTTTATCATGCGCTTAAAAGCTTTTTTTTTTTTTTTTCTTTCTTTTTTGCTCTCTTTCTCTCTTTCTTTCTAATAAAAAAAATGGCTGATACTGAGATACCTCCTACTGTTAACGCAACCGAAAAGGTAGTCGAATCGCCTGTTGCTCCTATTACTAGTACTAGTACTAGTGCTGCGCGTAAGTATATGCAATATAGTTAAGGCAACTTTATGCTTATTATGGTTATAGCCGCCTCCACTGAAGGTGTGTTGGCCACTCCTCCTCCTTCCACTACCAGTACCGCTACCTCTGCTCCTACTACTGCACCTACTACTACTACTACTAACGCACCTGGACCTGCTGCACCTACTCCTACTGCTGCTGCTACCAAGAGTACTCAAAACCATTCTTATACTTCTCCAAACATTAAATTTGAAGACAGTAAGTATAGAAGTAACGGCTGTTTAGTGTTCTTTTTTATTAACTCTCCTTAAAAAAGATCCTTCTGGCTATTTGAAAGCAAAGATTGAATCTCTTATTTACTGGGAATATCCTAAAAAGAGCGCCACCTTTTTGGCCAGTACCCTTGGTCTCTTGGTCCTTACGCAGTACTATTCCGTGTTACAGATTGTTGCAGGTATCTTTACTTTGGCTACTGGTATAAACTGGTTATATGTCAACCTTCATAAACAAAGCCAAAGAATCATTTCAAACAAGTCATCTCAAGACATTGTCAACCCTCATAACCATCGTCTTCAAGTTCAAAAGACCTATATCCCCCGAGAACGCGTCTTGCGTGCAGCTCATCTAACTACCGACGTTGCAGAAGTCGTTACGCAACACGTGACACGATTAGTCTTGATTGAAGATAATTTCCGCTCCCTTGTGGCATTCATTGTCTCCTTCTTTGTTTGGACCCTGGCTAAATATGTCTCTACCAAGTACCTCGTCGGTTTCTTCATCATTTCCGCTTTCACTTTACCTCGACTTTACCTCCAGAATAAGGAGTTAGTGGATGCCCATGTTGCTAGACAATCTCAAAATGCTCGTCAATTGGCTGAACAATATGGAAGTGTAGCCAATCAGAAGGCAAGAGAAATTGGCTGTCAAGTGAAGGACTTTATTCAAAAGAAGACTGGAAAGGCTACTGCCAGTGTAAACCAAGATACAAAGAAGTCTGAATAAAAAAAAAAGGAAGCAAGACAACCACAAGTTTTTCTATTTGTGTATAAATGCTGTAATGTGTCGTCTATCTTTGTTATATATTTATAAATAAATCCCCTCTTTTTTTTTAAACAAAAACTTTATAATAAACAAAATGATTGTCTCTGATAGGAGAGTATTTCATTGGATAATTGTCTTATGCAAAAGCAGCCTCTGTTTTTTTAATTCCTTCCTTTTTCTTTCCCCTCTTTTTTTTCCTTTGTCTTTTTTTGCTGCACTCCTTAATCTAATGAGCAGATCAGATGTCAAATCAGAAAATATGCAACTGACAATCCCCAATTCAATCTCACAAAACAATGTGGATCAATTAAAAGAAAAAGATCAAGATCCAAAAGAGGTCATTCCAACATTTATCTTTGAAACAAAACACGACAATACTCACTTTAGCCCTGAACCGCACAAGCCATTCTTGTGTGTATACGAATTTTGTGTGGCCTTGGAAGTGTTTTGCAAAAGCAAAAACATAGATATAGAAAAGCATTGGGCAAGGCTGCTACTGAAAACGACGGCGCACAACTATGAACGATTCATGTGGATTCATCTTCATTTGATCAATCAATCAAAGCTTAGACTCTCTTGGCAGCAGGTCGTACAAAGGTTGATGCTCAAATACGATGATCCAAGGCGAACACAGGCAGTCAAGCGCGCTTTAAACATGTTTACCTTTGATCCTAACATAAAGCCTGAATCCATTGACGCTGCCAACAGACGATTTACAGCGTATGTACACGAAACACATTGTGATCCTTCAGAAGCGATACGTCTTTACTTGAAAGGAATGCCAACTCTATGTCGCGAGCTACTTGAACTCACAATGGCCTATGATAAACACACTGGATTCAATTATTGTCTCAACGATATCGTCCAGAGAGCGTCCGTGTTTATCAATGCTAAATCGGATGACTTTATCTTTTACTCCAAGACAGTACGTATCGCAGTCTCTTTGCCTCTAGACAAAGTTCAATCCAACCTTTGTGAATTCCATATCACAACTTCTCATACAACAGCTGAATGTCCCGACTACACCATCTTGAAATACCCTTATTTGAGCTCCATGTTGGTCGAAAACGAGTTTTGTAAAATCTATCAACAAGTAAAGGCATTAGAGCCTATAAAAGATCAAGTGAATATGACAACAAATAAAACTACAGCCCAACACACAGATGGTGCGGTTCGACCATCCTATATACCTGATCTATTACCAACTAGCGATGTCTCAATAAAGCAGGAGGAGTCAAGTGCGGAAGCGCCACATCAGGTTCAATGCTCTCAGACAAAGTCATCCTCCTCACGATCCTCTAATCCATGTCATTTCTGCAGACAGCCATTTTATCCTGGGCATTTATTCGAATGTGAAGTTATTCGTAAAAAGAAAAGAAAGACAGAACGTTAAAAATATATAAAAACTTCATTTCAAAAAAAGAGGGAATACATTTATTATTGAAGGGTTGCAATAAAAGAAATCCAATAAAGTGTAGATTCAGTGCCGTCCTTGTTTACTCTTTCATCATCCGCTTTTTCAGTCAATTCAAATTCAATCTCTTTAAATCCCTCAAATTCTAAAATAGCTTTAAAGTCCTCTATGCTAATATAGAATTTAAATGTCTTGTCCGATGGTCTATAATACATGCCTGATCTATTAGAAATAACATGCCCTCCAGCAAGTATTCCCCCTGGCTTTATTAATCGTTTGATGCGTCGAACAAACTCTTGATTCATCTCCATTGACGTGAATAAATGAAATACACTTCCAGCATGAGCCACAGAGATTTTTTTGGTATATTCACATAGTTCATCCGTAAATAGATCAGCCACAATAAACTTAATTGGGCAAGTGTCCATGTCCTTGAAGAGCTGAAAGCCACACTGAATATAAGCTGGATCAATGTCAACTCCAATTAGGTATGACTTTGGATAACCATCAATATAGAGTTTACGCAAATCAGTGCCTATACGTTATTAGTTATACATCGTGTTATACAACATGACTCTTACCAGTGCAACATCCAATGTCCAACAAGAAGGGCTCCTGTCCCATTCGAACCAATTCTTGTCCATATTTTAGAATTCTATTATAAAAAAAGCGATAATAAACTCGGGAAAAGGCAAACTTGTATTTTCGAATGCACTTGTATCCTTTCAAATATGTAAATAAGACGCATTCGCTTTTTATGTTTCACTATTATTACTACTACTACTAACAGCAGGTAATTGCTTCTTGATGCTCATCAAATGCCTTTCAAGTTCCTGTCTGTCATTCATACCACAATAGGTACGGTACAGATCAAGCGTAAGGTCATCAATCATCGGTCTCTCTTCTTGTTCCTGAGTCATCTAAGAATTAAAAAAAAAAAAGAAATAAAAGGAGGCAAAGCAAAGTGAAATTCTGGCTGACATTTAATGGCTGAGAAAAGCGACAAGAGAACATTAACCTAAAACGAGACAAGTTGAAAATAAAAACATGATTGACGTTTGATTGTATACATGCTTTACAACAACGCCCATAGATTAAGAACGCCCATTAAAAAAGAAAGAACTCCTATATTATTTGTAATCAATGTATAGATTAAATTGTTCACAATGCTTGCTTAGGTATGCATATGATATTATGCTTCATTTTGTCCATTGCAATAAATCTTGAAATGGTTTTTGATTGGTTCAAACATTATTTTAACCTGCCTCGTTTTTAGCTTAAAAGCTATGTCATCATGGTGTTCCGTCTGCACCATGAACCGATTTGCTCAGTTACGAGTTCTAATGCTTCTCAATCCTTATTTACATTTAGAAGAAATCATTGCAGCATTAGTCTCACTTTCCCCTTTTGTATTTCATGGTTACGCTGACTTTAAATAAGCTCGGAGCATTGGCTCATAGAATACAAAAGTAAAGATTATACAAATTTGTACGTAGCATTAATTGCTCAAAAGATATTATTTTGCATGAGTTGATAAATCAATTCATCTGAAACTGTCAAGCAGGCAATAGTAATGCGTGGTGTATATTCTGTCTAAACTGTCTCTTTTTCTTTCTTTCTTTCTTTTTTATACTCATATACTTATACATTTATGCATAATGAAGAAATCTATTTTAAAAAAGAATAATGGTCAGGCAGAGGCAATATCCGAAGATAGTTCAGACGAAAGAAGAATTGAATCAGATACTGCTTTTGCAGGTGAAAACTATACAGGAGAAAGCAATGGTGAAAATGATGATGATGACGATGATGATGATGATGCTGAGGATGGCCTCATTCCGCCTATTCGTAGTAGAAAGCGATTTACAATTGAACAATCACGCATTTTGGAAGATGCATACAAGGAACACGGCCACCCTTCCCGAGACTTTAAAGAAAAGCTAGCCAAGAAGTTTGGCACGTCACCTAGGCGTATCCAGATATGGTTCCAAAATAGAAGAGCAAAGGATAAAAGAGACAGAAAGTCTGGTGATCCTCATCTGCAGATATCACATTCATCATGTCATCTCGAAAGTATTTTAACACAATCAGAATCATCTATAAGAGATTCAATGGTTTACGATGACTCAAAGATGGAGAATGAGCATGAACAGACTGATACGAATGGTGAATATGAAGGTTTCCATCAGTCTAGTTTAAGCGGTATGTTTTTCCCTTTGCATGAAAAAAATATTTATCTCTTGTATAATAGATCCATCAATTCCGTTTCAAGAACTACCTAATCCATATTATAATAATACCTTACCTTATATTGTCCCTTACCCTTATAATAGCTACTCATCAAACAATGGCGGTAATTGCCCCAAGCAAAATCTATATTCACTCTTTTATCCTAGTCCAACTGATCTACCCAGCTGTTCTTCTAATCTATTATCTCATGAGGCCAATGAAACAGACGACATTCGGTATGTCAATCCAAGCAATACAATCCATACAAAGGGACAAAATAGTGATAGTAAGTTATCAAAAGGCTAAGCCTCATCAACATCATCATAATCATTATTATTTGTTCTAGACAATACGATTGGAACTAGTCCAAGCAACTAGCTATTAAAATGTTTTTTATCTGTTTCTGTGTGCCTTTGTCCTGTATTTTTATTTGTGTCAGTGTGACTCATTTTAATTGATTAATCCCTTTTTTTGGCTTTTTCTTTTTTTTTCACGCAGCTCAATGACTACTTTACTTATTGACAACTACGACAGCTTT